TGTGGACGATCCCGATGTCGTTGGTGAAGCCGTGGAGGACACAGGAGTTGTCGATGAGGCTGTGGACGATCCCGATGTCGTTGGCGAAGCCGTGGAGGACACAGGAGTTGTCGATGAGGCTGTGGATGATCCTGATGTCGTTGGTGAAGCCGTGGAGGACACAGGAGTTGTCGATGAGGCTGTGGACGATCCCGATGTCGTTGGTGAAGCCGTGGAGGACACAGGAGTTGTCGATGAGGCTGTGGACGATCCCGATGTCGTTGGTGAAGCCGTGGAGGACACAGGAGTTGTCGATGAGGCTGTGGACGATCCCGATGTCGTTGGTGAAGCTGTGGAGGACACAGGAGTTGTCGATGAGGCTGTGGACGATCCCGATGTCGTTGGCGAAGCCGTGGAGGACACAGGAGTTGTCGATGAGGCTGTGGACGATCCTGATGTCGTTGGCGAAGCCGTGGAGGACACAGGAGTTGTCGATGAGGCTGTGGACGATCCCGATGTCGTTGGTGAAGCCGTGGAGGACACAGGAGTTGTCGATGAGGCTGTGGACGATCCCGATGTCGTTGGCGAAGCCGTGGAGGACACAGGAGTTGTCGATGAGGCTGTGGACGATCCCGATGTCGTTGGCGAAGCCGTGGAGGACACAGGAGTTGTCGATGAGGCTGTGGACGATCCCGATGTCGTTGGTGAAGCCGTGGAGGACACAGGAGTTGTCGATGAGGCTGTGGATGATCCTGATGTCGTTGGTGAAGCCGTGGAGGACACAGGAGTTGTCGATGAGGCTGTGGACGATCCCGATGTCGTTGGTGAAGCCGTGGAGGACACAGGAGTTGTCGATGAGGCTGTGGACGATCCCGATGTCGTTGGTGAAGCCGTGGAGGACACAGGAGTTGTCGATGAGGCTGTGGATGATCCCGATGTCGTTGGTGAAGCCGTGGAGGACACAGGAGTTGTCGATGAGGCTGTGGATGATCCTGATGTCGTTGGTGAAGCCGTGGAGGACACAGGAGTTGTCGATGAGGCTGTGGACGATCCCGATGTCGTTGGTGAAGCCGTGGAGGACACAGGAGTTGTCGATGAGGCTGTGGACGATCCCGATGTCGTTGGCGAAGCCGTGGAGGACACAGGAGTTGTCGATGAGGCTGTGGACGATCCCGATGTCGTTGGTGAAGCCGTGGAGGACACAGGAGTTGTCGATGAGGCTGTGGACGATCCTGATGTCGTTGGTGAAGCCGTGGAGGACACAGGAGTTGTCGATGAGGCTGTGGACGATCCCGATGTCGTTGGTGAAGCCGTGGAGGACACAGGAGTTGTCGATGAGGCTGTGGACGATCCCGATGTCGTTGGTGAAGCCGTGGAGGACACAGGAGTTGTCGATGAGGCTGTGGACGATCCCGATGTCGTTGGTGAAGCCGTGGAGGACACAGGAGTTGTCGATGAGGCTGTGGACGATCCCGATGTCGTTGGTGAAGCCGTGGAGGACACAGGAGTTGTCGATGAGGCTGTGGACGATCCCGATGTCGTTGGTGAAGCCGTGGAGGACACAGGAGTTGTCGATGAGGCTGTGGACGATCCCGATGTCGTTGGTGAAGCCGTGGAGGACACAGGAGTTGTCGATGAGGCTGTGGACGATCCCGATGTCGTTGGTGAAGCTGTGGAGGACACAGGAGTTGTCGATGAGGCTGTGGACGATCCCGATGTCGTTGGTGAAGCCGTGGAGGACACAGGAGTTGTCGATGAGGCTGTGGACGATCCCGATGTCGTTGGCGAAGCCGTGGAGGACACAGGAGTTGTCGATGAGGCTGTGGATGATCCTGATGTCGTTGGTGAAGCCGTGGAGGACACAGGAGTTGTCGATGAGGCTGTGGATGATCCTGATGTCGTTGGTGAAGCCGTGGAGGACACAGGAGTTGTCGATGAGGCTGTGGACGATCCCTGATGTCGTTGGTGAAGCCGTGGAGGACACAGGAGTTGTCGATGAGGCTGTGGACGATCCCGATGTCGTTGGTGAAGCCGTGGAGGACACAGGAGTTGTCGATGAGGCTGTGGACGATCCCGATGTCGTTGGTGAAGCCGTGGAGGACACAGGAGTTGTCGATGAGGCTGTGGACGATCCCGATGTCGTTGGCGAAGCCGTGGAGGACACAGGAGTTGTCGATGAGGCTGTGGATGATCCTGATGTCGTTGGTGAAGCCGTGGAGGACACAGGAGTTGTCGATGAGGCTGTGGATGATCCTGATGTCGTTGGTGAAGCCGTGGAGGACACAGGAGTTGTCGATGAGGCTGTGGATGATCCTGATGTCGTTGGTGAAGCCGTGGAGGACACAGGAGTTGTCGATGAGGCTGTGGACGATCCCGATGTCGTTGGTGAAGCTGTGGAGGACACAGGAGTTGTCGATGAGGCTGTGGACGATCCCGATGTCGTTGGTGAAGCCGTGGAGGACACAGGAGTTGTCGATGAGGCTGTGGACGATCCCGATGTCGTTGGTGAAGCTGTGGAGGACACAGGAGTTGTCGATGAGGCTGTGGACGATCCCGATGTCGTTGGTGAAGCCGTGGAGGACACAGGAGTTGTCGATGAGGCTGTGGATGATCCTGATGTCGTTGGTGAAGCCGTGGAGGACACAGGAGTTGTCGATGAGGCTGTGGACGATCCCGATGTCGTTGGTGAAGCTGTGGAGGACACAGGAGTTGTCGATGAGGCTGTGGACGATCCCTGATGTCGTTGGTGAAGCCGTGGAGGACACAGGAGTTGTCGATGAGGCTGTGGACGATCCCGATGTCGTTGGCGAAGCCGTGGAGGACACAGGAGTTGTCGATGAGGCTGTGGATGATCCTGATGTCGTTGGTGAAGCCGTGGAGGACACAGGAGTTGTCGATGAGGCTGTGGATGATCCCGATGTCGTTGGTGAAGCCGTGGAGGACACAGGAGTTGTCGATGAGGCTGTGGATGATCCTGATGTCGTTGGTGAAGCCGTGGAGGACACAGGAGTTGTCGATGAGGCTGTGGACGATCCCGATGTCGTTGGTGAAGCTGTGGAGGACACAGGAGTTGTCGATGAGGCTGTGGACGATCCCGATGTCGTTGGCGAAGCCGTGGAGGACACAGGAGTTGTCGATGAGGCTGTGGATGATCCTGATGTCGTTGGTGAAGCCGTGGAGGACACAGGAGTTGTCGATGAGGCTGTGGATGATCCCGATGTCGTTGGTGAAGCCGTGGAGGACACAGGAGTTGTCGATGAGGCTGTGGATGATCCTGATGTCGTTGGTGAAGCCGTGGAGGACACAGGAGTTGTCGATGAGGCTGTGGATGATCCCGATGTCGTTGGTGAAGCCGTGGAGGACACAGGAGTTGTCGATGAGGCTGTGGATGATCCTGATGTCGTTGGTGAAGCCGTGGAGGACACAGGAGTTGTCGATGAGGCTGTGGACGATCCCGATGTCGTTGGTGAAGCCGTGGAGGACACAGGAGTTGTCGATGAGGCTGTGGACGATCCCGATGTCGTTGGTGAAGCCGTGGAGGACACAGGAGTTGTCGATGAGGCTGTGGATGATCCCGATGTCGTTGGTGAAGCCGTGGAGGACACAGGAGTTGTCGATGAGGCTGTGGACGATCCCGATGTCGTTGGTGAAGCTGTGGAGGACACAGGAGTTGTCGATGAGGCTGTGGACGATCCCGATGTCGTTGGTGAAGCCGTGGAGGACACAGGAGTTGTCGATGAGGCTGTGGACGATCCCGATGTCGTTGGTGAAGCCGTGGAGGACACAGGAGTTGTCGATGAGGCTGTGGACGATCCCGATGTCGTTGGCGAAGCCGTGGAGGACACAGGAGTTGTCGATGAGGCTGTGGATGATCCTGATGTCGTTGGTGAAGCCGTGGAGGACACAGGAGTTGTCGATGAGGCTGTGGACGATCCCGATGTCGTTGGTGAAGCCGTGGAGGACACAGGAGTTGTCGATGAGGGCTGTGGACGATCCCGATGTCGTTGGTGAAGCCGTGGAGGACACAGGAGTTGTCGATGAGGCTGTGGACGATCCCGATGTCGTTGGTGAAGCTGTGGAGGACACAGGAGTTGTCGATGAGGCTGTGGACGATCCCGATGTCGTTGGCGAAGCCGTGGAGGACACAGGAGTTGTCGATGAGGCTGTGGACGATCCTGATGTCGTTGGCGAAGCCGTGGAGGACACAGGAGTTGTCGATGAGGCTGTGGACGATCCCGATGTCGTTGGTGAAGCCGTGGAGGACACAGGAGTTGTCGATGAGGCTGTGGACGATCCCGATGTCGTTGGCGAAGCCGTGGAGGACACAGGAGTTGTCGATGAGGCTGTGGACGATCCCGATGTCGTTGGCGAAGCCGTGGAGGACACAGGAGTTGTCGATGAGGCTGTGGACGATCCCGATGTCGTTGGTGAAGCCGTGGAGGACACAGGAGTTGTCGATGAGGCTGTGGACGATCCCGATGTCGTTGGTGAAGCCGTGGAGGACACAGGAGTTGTCGATGAGGCTGTGGATGATCCTGATGTCGTTGGTGAAGCCGTGGAGGACACAGGAGTTGTCGATGAGGCTGTGGACGATCCCGATGTCGTTGGTGAAGCCGTGGAGGACACAGGAGTTGTCGATGAGGCTGTGGACGATCCCGATGTCGTTGGTGAAGCCGTGGAGGACACAGGAGTTGTCGATGAGGCTGTGGATGATCCTGATGTCGTTGGTGAAGCCGTGGAGGACACAGGAGTTGTCGATGAGGCTGTGGACGATCCCGATGTCGTTGGTGAAGCCGTGGAGGACACAGGAGTTGTCGATGAGGCTGTGGACGATCCCGATGTCGTTGGTGAAGCCGTGGAGGACACAGGAGTTGTCGATGAGGCTGTGGACGATCCCTGATGTCGTTGGTGAAGCCGTGGAGGACACAGGAGTTGTCGATGAGGCTGTGGACGATCCCTGATGTCGTTGGTGAAGCCGTGGAGGACACAGGAGTTGTCGATGAGGCTGTGGACGATCCCTGATGTCGTTGGTGAAGCCGTGGAGGACACAGGAGTTGTCGATGAGGCTGTGGACGATCCCGATGTCGTTGGTGAAGCCGTGGAGGACACAGGAGTTGTCGATGAGGCTGTGGACGATCCCTGATGTCGTTGGTGAAGCCGTGGAGGACACAGGAGTTGTCGATGAGGCTGTGGACGATCCCGATGTCGTTGGTGAAGCCGTGGAGGACACAGGAGTTGTCGATGAGGCTGTGGACGATCCCGATGTCGTTGGTGAAGCCGTGGAGGACACAGGAGTTGTCGATGAGGCTGTGGACGATCCCGATGTCGTTGGTGAAGCCGTGGAGGACACAGGAGTTGTCGATGAGGCTGTGGACGATCCCTGATGTCGTTGGTGAAGCCGTGGAGGACACAGGAGTTGTCGATGAGGCTGTGGACGATCCCTGATGTCGTTGGTGAAGCCGTGGAGGACACAGGAGTTGTCGATGAGGCTGTGGACGATCCCGATGTCGTTGGTGAAGCCGTGGAGGACACAGGAGTTGTCGATGAGGCTGTGGACGATCCCTGATGTCGTTGGTGAAGCCGTGGAGGACACAGGAGTTGTCGATGAGGCTGTGGACGATCCCGATGTCGTTGGTGAAGCCGTGGAGGACACAGGAGTTGTCGATGAGGCTGTGGACGATCCCTGATGTCGTTGGTGAAGCCGTGGAGGACACAGGAGTTGTCGATGAGGCTGTGGACGATCCCTGATGTCGTTGGTGAAGCCGTGGAGGACACAGGAGTTGTCGATGAGGCTGTGGACGATCCTGATGTCGTTGGTGAAGCCGTGGAGGACACAGGAGTTGTCGATGAGGCTGTGGACGATCCTGATGTCGTTGGTGAAGCCGTGGAGGACACAGGAGTTGTCGATGAGGCTGTGGACGATCCCGATGTCGTTGGTGAAGCCGTGGAGGACACAGGAGTTGTCGATGAGGCTGTGGACGATCCTGATGTCGTTGGTGAAGCCGTGGAGGACACAGGAGTTGTCGATGAGGCTGTGGACGATCCTGATGTCGTTGGTGAAGCCGTGGAGGACACAGGAGTTGTCGATGAGGCTGTGGACGATCCTGATGTCGTTGGTGAAGCCGTGGAGGACACAGGAGTTGTCGATGAGGCTGTGGACGATCCTGATGTCGTTGGTGAAGCCGTGGAGGACACAGGAGTTGTCGATGAGGCTGTGGACGATCCTGATGTCGTTGGTGAAGCCGTGGAGGACACAGGAGTTGTCGATGAGGCTGTGGACGATCCTGATGTCGTTGGTGAAGCCGTGGAGGACACAGGAGTTGTCGATGAGGCTGTGGACGATCCTGATGTCGTTGGTGAAGCCGTGGAGGACACAGGAGTTGTCGATGAGGCTGTGGACGATCCCTGATGTCGTTGGTGAAGCCGTGGAGGACACAGGAGTTGTCGATGAGGCTGTGGACGATCCTGATGTCGTTGGTGAAGCCGTGGAGGACACAGGAGTTGTCGATGAGGCTGTGGACGATCCTGATGTCGTTGGTGAAGCCGTGGAGGACACAGGAGTTGTCGATGAGGCTGTGGACGATCCTGATGTCGTTGGTGAAGCCGTGGAGGACACAGGAGTTGTCGATGAGGCTGTGGACGATCCTGATGTCGTTGGTGAAGCCGTGGAGGACACAGGAGTTGTCGATGAGGCTGTGGACGATCCTGATGTCGTTGGTGAAAGCCGTGGAGGACACAGGAGTTGTCGATGAGGCCGTGGACGATCCTGATGTCGTTGGTGAAGCCGTGGAGGACACAGGAGTTGTCGATGAGGCTGTGGACGATCCTGATGTCGTTGGTGAAGCCGTGGAGGACACAGGAGTTGTCGATGAGGCCGTGGACGATCCTGATGTCGTTGGTGAAGCCGTGGAGGACACAGGAGTTGTCGATGAGGCCGTGGACGATCCTGATGTCGTTGGTGAAGCCGTGGAGGACACAGGAGTTGTCGATGAGGCCGTGGACGATCCTGATGTCGTTGGTGAAGCCGTGGAGGACACAGGAGTTGTCGATGAGGCTGTGGACGATCCTGATGTCGTTGGTGAAGCCGTGGAGGACACAGGAGTTGTCGATGAGGCTGTGGACGATCCTGATGTCGTTGGTGAAGCCGTGGAGGACACAGGAGTTGTCGATGAGGCCGTGGACGATCCTGATGTCGTTGGTGAAGCCGTGGAGGACACAGGAGTTGTCGATGAGGCTGTGGACGATCCTGATGTCGTTGGTGAAGCCGTGGAGGACACAGGAGTTGTCGATGAGGCTGTGGACGATCCTGATGTCGTTGGTGAAGCCGTGGAGGACACAGGAGTTGTCGATGAGGCTGTGGACGATCCTGATGTCGTTGGTGAAGCCGTGGAGGACACAGGAGTTGTCGATGAGGCTGTGGACGATCCTGATGTCGTTGGTGAAGCCGTGGAGGACACAGGAGTTGTCGATGAGGCTGTGGACGATCCTGATGTCGTTGGTGAAGCCGTGGAGGACACAGGAGTTGTCGATGAGGCTGTGGACGATCCTGATGTCGTTGGTGAAGCCGTGGAGGACACAGGAGTTGTCGATGAGGCTGTGGACGATCCTGATGTCGTTGGTGAAGCCGTGGAGGACACAGGAGTTGTCGATGAGGCCGTGGACGATCCTGATGTCGTTGGTGAAGCCGTGGAGGACACAGGAGTTGTCGATGAGGCTGTGGACGATCCTGATGTCGTTGGTGAAGCCGTGGAGGACACAGGAGTTGTCGATGAGGCTGTGGACGATCCTGATGTCGTTGGTGAAGCCGTGGAGGACACAGGAGTTGTCGATGAGGCCGTGGACGATCCCTGATGTCGTTGGTGAAGCCGTGGAGGACACAGGAGTTGTCGATGAGGCCGTGGACGATCCTGATGTCGTTGGTGAAGCCGTGGAGGACACAGGAGTTGTCGATGAGGCTGTGGACGATCCTGATGTCGTTGGTGAAGCCGTGGAGGACACAGGAGTTGTCGATGAGGCTGTGGACGATCCCTGATGTCGTTGGTGAAGCCGTGGAGGACACAGGAGTTGTCGATGAGGCTGTGGACGATCCTGATGTCGTTGGTGAAGCCGTGGAGGACACAGGAGTTGTCGATGAGGCTGTGGACGATCCTGATGTCGTTGGTGAAGCCGTGGAGGACACAGGAGTTGTCGATGAGGCTGTGGACGATCCCTGATGTCGTTGGTGAAGCCGTGGAGGACACAGGAGTTGTCGATGAGGCTGTGGACGATCCTGATGTCGTTGGTGAAGCCGTGGAGGACACAGGAGTTGTCGATGAGGCTGTGGACGATCCTGATGTCGTTGGTGAAGCCGTGGAGGACACAGGAGTTGTCGATGAGGCTGTGGACGATCCTGATGTCGTTGGTGAAGCCGTGGAGGACACAGGAGTTGTCGATGAGGCTGTGGACGATCCTGATGTCGTTGGTGAAGCCGTGGAGGACACAGGAGTTGTCGATGAGGCTGTGGACGATCCTGATGTCGTTGGTGAAGCCGTGGAGGACACAGGAGTTGTCGATGAGGCTGTGGACGATCCCGATGTCGTTGGTGAAGCCGTGGAGGACACAGGAGTTGTCGATGAGGCTGTGGACGATCCCTGATGTCGTTGGTGAAGCCGTGGAGGACACAGGAGTTGTCGATGAGGCTGTGGACGATCCTGATGTCGTTGGTGAAGCCGTGGAGGACACAGGAGTTGTCGATGAGGCTGTGGACGATCCCTGATGTCGTTGGTGAAGCCGTGGAGGACACAGGAGTTGTCGATGAGGCTGTGGACGATCCCGATGTCGTTGGTGAAGCCGTGGAGGACACAGGAGTTGTCGATGAGGCTGTGGACGATCCTGATGTCGTTGGTGAAGCCGTGGAGGACACAGGAGTTGTCGATGAGGCTGTGGACGATCCTGATGTCGTTGGTGAAGCCGTGGAGGACACAGGAGTTGTCGATGAGGCTGTGGACGATCCTGATGTCGTTGGTGAAGCCGTGGAGGACACAGGAGTTGTCGATGAGGCTGTGGACGATCCCTGATGTCGTTGGTGAAGCCGTGGAGGACACAGGAGTTGTCGATGAGGCTGTGGACGATCCCTGATGTCGTTGGTGAAGCCGTGGAGGACACAGGAGTTGTCGATGAGGCTGTGGACGATCCCTGATGTCGTTGGTGAAGCCGTGGAGGACACAGGAGTTGTCGATGAGGCTGTGGACGATCCCTGATGTCGTTGGTGAAGCCGTGGAGGACACAGGAGTTGTCGATGAGGCTGTGGACGATCCCTGATGTCGTTGGTGAAGCCGTGGAGGACACAGGAGTTGTCGATGAGGCTGTGGACGATCCTGATGTCGTTGGTGAAGCCGTGGAGGACACAGGAGTTGTCGATGAGGCCGTGGACGATCCCTGATGTCGTTGGTGAAGCCGTGGAGGACACAGGAGTTGTCGATGAGGCTGTGGACGATCCCTGATGTCGTTGGTGAAGCCGTGGAGGACACAGGAGTTGTCGATGAGGCTGTGGACGATCCTGATGTCGTTGGTGAAGCCGTGGAGGACACAGGAGTTGTCGATGAGGCTGTGGACGATCCTGATGTCGTTGGTGAAGCCGTGGAGGACACAGGAGTTGTCGATGAGGCTGTGGACGATCCTGATGTCGTTGGTGAAGCCGTGGAGGACACAGGAGTTGTCGATGAGGCTGTGGACGATCCTGATGTCGTTGGTGAAGCCGTGGAGGACACAGGAGTTGTCGATGAGGCTGTGGACGATCCCTGATGTCGTTGGTGAAGCCGTGGAGGACACAGGAGTTGTCGATGAGGCTGTGGACGATCCTGATGTCGTTGGTGAAGCCGTGGAGGACACAGGAGTTGTCGATGAGGCTGTGGACGATCCCGATGTCGTTGGTGAAGCCGTGGAGGACACAGGAGTTGTCGATGAGGCTGTGGACGATCCCTGATGTCGTTGGTGAAGCCGTGGAGGACACAGGAGTTGTCGATGAGGCTGTGGACGATCCCTGATGTCGTTGGTGAAGCCGTGGAGGACACAGGAGTTGTCGATGAGGCTGTGGACGATCCCTGATGTCGTTGGTGAAGCCGTGGAGGACACAGGAGTTGTCGATGAGGCTGTGGACGATCCCTGATGTCGTTGGTGAAGCCGTGGAGGACACAGGAGTTGTCGATGAGGCTGTGGACGATCCCTGATGTCGTTGGTGAAGCCGTGGAGGACACAGGAGTTGTCGATGAGGCTGTGGACGATCCCTGATGTCGTTGGTGAAGCCGTGGAGGACACAGGAGTTGTCGATGAGGCTGTGGACGATCCTGATGTCGTTGGTGAAGCCGTGGAGGACACAGGAGTTGTCGATGAGGCTGTGGACGATCCCTGATGTCGTTGGTGAAGCCGTGGAGGACACAGGAGTTGTCGATGAGGCTGTGGACGATCCCTGATGTCGTTGGTGAAGCCGTGGAGGACACAGGAGTTGTCGATGAGGCTGTGGACGATCCCTGATGTCGTTGGTGAAGCCGTGGAGGACACAGGAGTTGTCGATGAGGCTGTGGACGATCCCTGATGTCGTTGGTGAAGCCGTGGAGGACACAGGAGTTGTCGATGAGGCTGTGGACGATCCCTGATGTCGTTGGTGAAGCCGTGGAGGACACAGGAGTTGTCGATGAGGCTGTGGACGATCCTGATGTCGTTGGTGAAGCCGTGGAGGACACAGGAGTTGTCGATGAGGCTGTGGACGATCCCTGATGTCGTTGGTGAAGCCGTGGAGGACACAGGAGTTGTCGATGAGGCTGTGGACGATCCCTGATGTCGTTGGTGAAGCCGTGGAGGACACAGGAGTTGTCGATGAGGCTGTGGACGATCCCTGATGTCGTTGGTGAAGCCGTGGAGGACACAGGAGTTGTCGATGAGGCTGTGGACGATCCTGATGTCGTTGGTGAAGCCGTGGAGGACACAGGAGTTGTCGATGAGGCTGTGGACGATCCCTGATGTCGTTGGCGAAGCCGTGGAGGACACAGGAGTTGTCGATGAGGCTGTGGACGATCCCTGATGTCGTTGGTGAAGCCGTGGAGGACACAGGAGTTGTCGATGAGGCTGTGGACGATCCTGATGTCGTTGGTGAAGCCGTGGAGGACACAGGAGTTGTCGATGAGGCTGTGGACGATCCCTGATGTCGTTGGCGAAGCCGTGGAGGACACAGGAGTTGTCGATGAGGCTGTGGACGATCCTGATGTCGTTGGTGAAGCCGTGGAGGACACAGGAGTTGTCGATGAGGCTGTGGACGATCCCTGATGTCGTTGGCGAAGCCGTGGAGGACACAGGAGTTGTCGATGAGGCTGTGGACGATCCCGATGTCGTTGGCGAAGCCGTGGAGGACACAGGAGTTGTCGATGAGGCTGTGGACGATTCCGATGTCGTTGGCGAAGCCGTGGAGGACACAGGAGTTGTCGATGAGGCTGTGGACGATCCCGATGTCGTTGGTGAAGCCGTGGAGGACACAGGAGTTGTCGATGAAGCAGAGGCCGGCGGAGCCTTGGTTGTTGCTGAAGCAGTTGTGCTTTTTTGTGAGCAGCTATCGCATGGTTCTCCTGCTTTTCCTTTATCTCCTTGATCGCCTGGGTTTCCGTTTGGACCTTGTTCGCCATTAGGGCCAGGAGAGCCTTGCTTTCCGTTTCCACCTTTCTTCCCTTTAGTTCCTTTTGTTCCTTGCATTCCTTCCGCGCCTTGGTTTCCTCTCGACCTTTTCGGTCCTTTAAACCCATCATCTCCTTTGGGTCCCATGCGGCCTTTCTCTCCACGGTCACCATCTCTGCCACGAATTCCTTTATTTCCCTTGTCCCCTTTAGCTCCGTTCTCTCCAGTTCTCCTTTTCTTCCTTCATTGCCTTTATCTCCTTCTTTTCCTTTTGGTCCTGTCTGTCCAATTGATCCTTTGTTCCCCGGCTCTCCTTGCATTCCCGCTTTTCCGTCCTTTCCTCGGTCTCCGTCTCCGCCTTTGTCTCCTTTTTCGCCTTTCCTTCCAGGTGAACCATCAGTTCCTTTCGATCCATCAGTTCCTTTTATTCCGTTGATTCCCTTCGATCCCTTCTGTCCTTTCACTCCTTTTTCTCCAACGGGACTGTATCCGGTCTCTCCTTTGGGACCGTCCAATCCAGGCTGTCCTTTATGTCCTTTTGCTCCTTTCTGTCCATCATTGCCTTTTTTTCCTAAAAGTCGTCAAATGTATATTGAACCGCACAATCTTAGCAAACCTTTTGGACCTGCGGGACCTGGTGGTCCTGGGGGCGCCTGCCTCGGACCGATCTCTTCTTCACTCGATTCCGACTCGGGATCATCATAGTAATACTAAAAAATAACGGGCGGGAACATTCATCATTCATTGTTTGCATTACTCACATCGTTGGACTGTCGATACAATACAGCGGGCGCATGATTGTAGTTCTGACTCGGATTGTAGTATCCGAGTGCTACCGGTAGCAGAAATACGACGAGAAGCCGCATTTCTTCTCTCGCCTGCAATACCGTCGCTTCAAGTTTATATAGAAAAGGAGAGCCCGTGTTATGTTTCACGTAGAGCAACATAGAGTATCCAATGGTGACTTTCCGCACGTACACAATATCCAACGAAACAGAAGATGGTTCCCACCGATGGTTTGATCATTTGATCTGACGACAATGTGGACCGTCATGTCGCTCATGGAGTCACCTACAATCAGTGTTCTTCTGATCTGCAGTTCGCTGACTAAAATGGCATTTCCAGCGAGAATAGTGATCGTTTTTTGTGCTTGTTCTCACAGCTTTATGTGTCAGATATTGACGCCATTCACTGGGAACAATCAAGATGGAATACTGTTGTTTTCTTTTTTTCGGATGATCTAATTTTTTCAAGTGTTCAAGTTCTAAAATTGAAAAAATAGCAATGAATTTATTGAAACATAGTGAATAAAATGAACAGAAATGATCAGGCCACTGCTTTGGTCGGAGGGCAGTTGGTCGCGTCTTCTCCAGGAGGTCCTTTCAGCCCCTTCGGTCCAGGATTTCCTTTGGTTCCCGGCGATCCCTTCGGTCCTTGTGGTCCTTTCTGGCCATCGTCTCCCTTCTCGCCAGAATCTCCAGTCTTTCCTTGAGCTCCAGGTGGTCCTTTCTCTCCTTTCTCTCCACTTGGTCCTGGATTTCCGCGATCTCCTTTGTCGCCGCCGTTTCCTGGATCTCCTTTCGTTCCATCCGGACCCACGTCTCCTGGTGTTCCCTTCTGTCCGAGCTGTCCTGGATCTCCCTTCTGTCCTGGATCTCCATCCTTTCCCTTGTCGCCCTGCTTTCCATTTGCACCTTGTTCTCCTTGTTCTCCTTTCGGTCCCTGTACTCCTTTCTTTCCGTCGTTTCCGGTTTTTCCTTCATCGCCCTTCGATCCTGATTGTCCTTTGGCACCTGGTCCTCCGCTGCTTCCTGGCGCTCCCTTCACTCCAGGGTCTCCCTTGTCTCCTTGGGCTCCATCGTTTCCATTATCACCTGCTGGTCCCTGTGCTCCTTTTGCTCCATCAGAACCTCTTTCTCCCTTGTCGCCGGTCTCTCCGAGGTCTCCGTCGTCTCCGACTTGCCCGTCCTCTCCCGAATCTCCTAATTTTCCTGGTGGACCCGGAGGTCCAGGCGGTCCCGGGACGTAGACAATTTCCCCCCTGCTTCTGTCATCATCGTCACGATCATAAGGCTCGTAGTAGATCGGTTCGAATTGCGGCTGAAACTAGATTATTGTGAATTAGATTGAAACGAACGAAAATAACTCACCGCCGGTGGAGCAGCAGGCACATTATTCCCTGGCGGATAGTAGTGATGTGCTCCGTCTATCGGAACAAACAGCAAGATCAGAGCAGGAAGCATTCTTGACTCGGCTCACAAGAGAGATTGTTCCTTTTTATATTGTTCTTGTATGTTTATGCAAGACGACACGAATTGAAACTTTCGAAATGCACGTCGCCGGTTACGTGGATGCTTTTCACAGATCAGGAGCATATCAACTCTCACTCTCTGAAATCAGAATAAGCGGGACAATTGATCGTCATCATCATCATCATCATGTCGTGTTACCACCTCATAAAGACATGTGCATGTCTTTAACTACAAAGTATTTCGGACTCACTCTAAGGAAAGATCATGTGAGCGACCTTTTCGGGAGAAAGCGTGAGAATCAAACGCAGACGACTTGTTCCCGTTGGCCAGTGCTACGTAGCATAATTGGAGCCAAAAGACACATGCAGAAAACTCAATTTCCCCTCGTTTCTCGGCCGTGTTGACGCCCTGCCCGACCACCTGCACACTCATTCGAATGTCTTCCCTACCACTCGTCGAACTCTCACACAAACTGAGCGGAACTCTTCTCGCACTCACCAGTATCGTCAACTATATTCTTATCTATCTCACTTTGTTCCACGCGCATAATTTGTTTGGCACATATCGCCATTTGATTGTTACCTTTGCAGTTTTCGGAATATTTTATTCATGCTTGGAGTTTCTAACAAAACCGGTAAAACATCAACATTCTTGACTTGATTATAGGCGTTTCCATTCAGATTCTACACCTTCACAAGTCGTCGTTAGTCCTCTTCACTCTAGAATCACCGCTAAGAGCTTCTGATTTCGTCACCACCGTCATGCTAGGCAACCAATCCAATTTCACTTCCTATTCGCTCACATCATACCCTTTCAGCCAGTTTCACAGGATTCCACTTCTCAATTCTGACCCTTCTATGCGTTCAATTCCTCTACAGATACTGGTCAATGTTCGAGTGAGTCACTGGCCGAAAACCACAAGAGCATAGATTTTTCAGCTGTCGGAAGGTTCGACTGTTCGCCAAAAACAGAATTGTTTATTGGATACTCGGAGTTATTTTGAGCGGTTGTCTCTGGGTTTTCTTCTCCTATCACGCCATGTCGTGCGATTCTTTCAGCAGATTCTATTTGAAATCGGAATTCTGGGAAAAGTATCGTGTGGACACGAGTTATCTGAATTGCATTAGTCTCGTTTATGTGGATCACACAGACCCGAATGAGACAAAGATCCGTTGGGCCGGTGTGACGTATCTTTTTGTGATTTCTGTCCTTCTGGTAATTGTTTTTTCTTCTTCGATAAAGTCATTATGACGTCCGAAATTCAGACTACGAAGCTATCCATTATGATGTATTGCGGACTGAAAATGGCGGCGAAAGTGAACAAGAGATCAAACTTTCGTTCATCGAAACATCACAAGCAACACGCATACTTTTTGAAATCATTATTTGTGCAGGTTCCGAAGAAAAACATGTATGTTACGTTACGATCGTTTTTGTTTTCATTTCAGCTCGCCGCTCCCATCGCGATTGTGTATCTTCCGACACTCTTCCTTTCGTATGCGCCACTTTTGAACATTGTGATCAGTGTCCCCAGCGGAATTATTGTCGTACTTTTTGCAATTTACCCGGCTATCGATGGAATCATCGTGCTGGTGATAGTGGCAGATTACCGGATCGCATTGAAAAGTGGGACTAATGCAATCAATGTACAGGGAAACGTTGAATTCCTTCCAGAAGCATTCCGCTGTGCAACTTCGTTTATGAGGAACTCCTATAGACAGGACTCGATAAAATTATATAATTAGACTCTATTTCATAAAGTTTTATCTCGTACTGAGGCATTTAAAAGTTTTGCTCAAAACGTTGTCACTCTCCCCGACTCATTCTCGGTCCTCATGAAATCAGTGTACTGCGACTGGTCGTAGTCGTAAACAGCAATGTCGTTTTTACAAGCCATTCTCATTATTTCTAGATATATCATGAACATTAATTAGGAAATAAGCGGAAAGCAACTGACCGATGAGTGTGCTCCGGTAGTCTTCGATAATGAAGAGCATTACGATAGGGTCGAGAGCCGGATAGAGTTGGGCCATGATCACTTGGTAGTTGGTACGAGGACCGAGCTGAACGTCAAGAATCGGGCATATGTAGAGAAACATCAACGGGATAAAATTGAAGAAAACAGGGATGAGGGTCTGAACGACGAGTGCACGGAACAGTTGGAGTTGAAGACAACGTGTTTGCGAGGAAGACGTCGAACTTTCGTGTTTCTTGACTGTACAATAGATGGAAATGCCACAAAAGAACAGAATAGAAAGTGCCAGTATCTGTAAAAAGCCCCTGACGGTTAGATCAGTCCTCAGTATAACCAAAGTACAGTTACTGTCATATGCTGTGTCATTCCGAGTATGTTCAGTTTGTCGATTTTTCGAGTTCCATTCTCGTAGTTGAACTGAAACTTAAATTCTGGTCCAGACGTCTTATTCGAGAAATCCTACATATTTTAAAGGAACATAGTCGGTAGTTTCAGGATCTAGACTATAAACAGTGTTCAGTAAGTGGGAAAAACTCAAATCGGTTCTTTCAGTCTTCGGAAACAAAATGACAAACGCCGATGCCCAACTTGCACCGACCAGGATGGCTCCAAAAATCCACAGATACATCCTCCATCCCTCGATATAATCCAGCCATTCATATCTCCAAAAAAAGCGTTTCATTCCGCTGATTTTTCATTTTTGTTCACCTGCAGACTGCAATATAACGATAAATGAATTGTAGGGCGAGCAGTACGAAGCTCATTGAAAAGCACCAGCAATAAGTGGCTTAACAACTTTCAATACAACCATTCTCAATGATTCTTACATTACTCACTCGGTATGATCTTTGTTATCATGGGCGGCTTGTTCTCCCACTTTTGGTAGATCAAAAACAGAGTGTTGTCGTGCATGTGGATGAGTATTTTCGCTTCCATTTCAACAAAAGAGTAAAAGACGGAGAAGAGAGTAATGAAAATGAGTAATACTTTGTAAGATCCCATAAGCGGAGACGATTTATATTGGATGAGTAAGAGGAGAATCGCATTGGCACACAGAGAAATGTAAAATCCAAATTGTCCACCGAAAGCGGTCAGTTCCAACCAGTAGGAATCAGGCATTCTGGGGAACAGAGGAAATAGAACGACTACAATCGAAAACAGAAAACACTTGGGATTCAGAAGAATCGCTTCATTTCTTAATGAGGGATGTGCGCGCTGACAGTGGAGCTCTTCGGGCGGCCGATGTCTGCTCGAGGAGCCGTTCCCCCGACGCCGTCGTAATTCTGTGAAATATCGTTTGCCGAAGAACCGGCGTGTGAGGACAGACGGCAGAAAATCCATTCTGAAGCAGCGAGTTGAGTTCCGTGTTTTATGTTTTCAAACTCACTAATGAGGGTCCGGCGGTAGGCGGTGATGAGGAAAATAATGGCAAAAGGATCCACGCCAGAGTACAGCTGTCCTATGATGGTCTGATAATTGGCCATGGCGCCGAGTTGAATGTTCATCAGAGGACAACCGTACAAAAAGAGCAGCGGACAGTACATGAAGACAGTTGGGATTGTGGCCTGAATCGAGATAGATGGATCTAAATACGATTTTCACCGGCAAACCTGAACAACTAGCGCTCTGAACAGTTGCACTTGAAGCTCTCTCGTTTTGCATGAAATCCCCTTGTGCTTACTAATTGTTGAGTAAGTTTTGAATGCGCAGAAGAAAAGAGTTCCGAACGAAACAGTCATGACGATGACGTGTTGGACGATTCCGATGATGTTCAATGTTATCACTTTGCGAGCGCCATTCTCATTTTCGAACTGAACAATAAAGTTCACACGTTGACAAAAAGTAGATGAGAACTCACGAATCTATAGGGAATGTAATCAATATAGCGGGGATCGAGACTGTATGACGAGTCCAGTATGAATGATAATATTTCTTCAGTTCTTGAGCTCTTTGGGAACAAAAAGCAAGCAGCGGATTGCCACGTCAACGCAATAAATATAGCTCCGATTATCCAAAAACCAAATCGGAACCCTTTGAATAGACGGACGTGTACAGGCTTGCAAGTTGCCACGTATCGGTACAAGAATTGCAGAGCGAAAAGAACGAAGCTCATGGCATAACAGCCGCAGTACACAGCTGAAAGAAAACAAGCATTACATGCAGAAGTAGGACTGGTGCTCACTGGTTGTGAAATGGGAAACTGTTGAGTTCATGTCAAACCACTTTCGTTGCATCACAAACAACGTGTCATCGTAAATGTGGATCAGTGGCATCAAAAAGATTTCGACGGCCGAATAGAACATGGTGAAGATGCAATAGAAAATGAGAATGTTCTTGTAAACTCCCCGAATCGGCGACATTTTCGAGAGAACCATCCCGAGCAGAATCGAGTTGGAGGAGAGCGAAAGAGCCAATCCGACGGCCCCGGTTATGTTGGTGATGTGGATCCAGTGGACATCGGACATTCCTAACGAAAACAAGTGGTGTAGACGGCGAATACGTATGACGAGAGCAATTTGGATACTGGCGCTTGGATATATATTTTATTACTTTGGGGAACATTCGTGGAATTGCTTGCAAACCAAGGATCAAATAGGTCATTCACCGCTTTCGCAAAAATAGTTTATTAATCAAATAGCAGAAAAGTGAAACTAGCTATTGTGGATGTAGGTTGCCGAGAGAGACGGCTTTGCTTGTTTCGGAACATCAGACACTGAGGGAATCCATCTGGGAGCCGGCTATTTCGTTGCGATGCGTCCTGTACTTTGGGTGGATGTATTCTGAAAACTCGGTTAGGTTGCACAAGTTCTCTGATGTTCTTTCTTACAAAGAATAGTGTTCCTGTAGGATTCGATGAGGAAAAGAAGGAGAAGGTTGCATCACAGTGATTTCTTTTCGGGGTCTCGCGGAGGTTTCTCGTCCCTGATTCCGCGGCCATCGCCGTTTTACTTGGCTGTTCCCCGACTTCAGATGCGTGCCGTCGGATGAATACTGATTCATTCCACTTGATTTTCATTATGATGTAAACTAACAAGGAGACACAAAGAGCACGCACGAGCAGTCATATTTCGAAAACAACTGTTTTGACAGTGACCCCTACACATTTCTGCGAGTTTCTCGTTGCTGCTTGCGAGTTTCAATCCAAATGAACACATTCCCAGAAAATTAGGAAAAATGAATCCGCATTCATCGAACAGCACGCATCAGAAGTTGTCCTTGTTGTAATTTTTTGATACCGCCTCGATAAGACTTAACGAGTGCCATGTGCTGCTGCCGTCCTGCTGATAAGCCGATTTGTCCTGTTTCGATTCGTTTTCCTCTTCTCGTGTTGCCGCCGCCGACACTTCTCCTTCAGAAATGGTGAATTGGACCAACGCGCGCGACATTTTGGCCTTTTGGTAAGTGAAATCAGCAAATCTGATTGTATTATTTGTTTAGGCTTCTCGGGTTATGCAACAACTACGGGTATGTGATCATGTTGTCCGCAGCTGAAGACATTCTAGACGATCAAAAAGGAGCTGACAGTACAAACTCTACCAGTAATACCTGTGAGGTTTTGAGAGATTCTTAAGGCTGAAAAATGTTTTACCATCTTTTTGCAGACAAACTTGAGCTCAAGACATTGTCAATCTGTGTCAACTGGAGCGGTTCTTCTAGCTGATAACCTTCCTGCTCTGGTAGTTCAAACCACTTTCCCATTCTTCATGCATCGCTTTCCTTTTGGGTAAGCAGTGGAGTACAACGCCAGCAAATGCCTTCTTTGCAGATTCCGTGCGTTCATCGTGTGCCTGCTCCAGGCGGCTTCGTACTTCGTCGTCGCCTACTCCAGCAGCATCGCCATGTCACTCGTCGGAGTTTGCATGGCATCACTGGGACAGGGCATCGGGGAGATCACATTCCTCGCGATGGCTGCACATTACATTCCGTGAGTGCGGGGTGTGGTTTGTGCTCCGATGCTCAATGCTTGTTTTCAGAGAAACGATCGCCTCGTGGTCGTCTGGAACCGGGGGCGCCGGCCTTATCGGCTCCTTCTCCTACGCGTTCATCACTCAAGCGGGACTTTCGCCCTCGAATACACTTCTCGTTCAGTTGTTCATTCCGGTCCTCTTCGCAGCCGCCTACTTCTTCATTCTGACTGTTCCTTCAACTGTATACTCACCAACATTCCAACCAAAAACATGGATTATTCCCAAGAACTATGACAAGGATGTGTTTGAAGCGGCCGAGGTCAGAGGAGAAGTACTGAACACAAAGAAGGTGCCACAAAGAGAACTCTCACCGCTGGACCGCGTCAAACTAATCGCTCCCCTTCTTTACCTGATGGTCCCGCTGGCCACAGTCTACACCGCAGAATACATGATCAACCAGGGACTCACGGAACTGATAATCTTCGACTGCAACCAGGGTCTCTCCCTGCCCCTCTCCAGCCAGTACCGCTGGTATCAGGTGCTCTATCAGCTCGGCGTCTTCATTTCCCGTTCTTCCGTCAAGTTCTTTGAAATGCCTCTCTGGCTCATCTGGTGCCTTCCGATCCTTCAGTGCGCCAACATGATCTTCTTCTTCTTCGAAGCTGTTTACTGGTTCACTCCCACCATCATCATCATCTTTGTGCTCATCGTCTTCGAAGGACTTCTCGGAGGATCTGCCTATGTGAATACCTACAACAAAATACACAAAAAAGTGAGTTCCCTGTCTTCATAAACTGTGAATTTGCACATTTTAGGTCAATCCGGACGTCCGCGAGTACTCCCTGTCCGCGGCTTCGATGGGAAACTCTCTAGGCACCAACATCGCCGCATTCCTCTCGATTCCACTGTACAATTGGGTGTGCGGAATGGGCGTTCCACACCGATGACACCTACTATTTCTCTCTTTTTTCCCGTCTTCTTATTGTAAGGCATCCCTTATTAGGTGTCTTTGGATACCCATCCCCACGCGGCTCCCCGATCGCACTTTGCCCCTCGACGCGCGCATTCCTGAGGCCAGGAAGCTACAGTCCGAGCAAATCCATTAGACACGTGTCCCCGCTCGTTTTCCATCACACAATCTAACTGGAATGCTTTCAGATCGGATCGTCAGCTCCCGACCAGCCTCGTCCGATCAATCACGCCACCGCATCCGGTCGATCCAGCTCCGGCCCATCCGATACCTATATGTATAACCCTCCTGAATTTTATTCCTGATAATCTTCCGCCTCGTTCGGACCCCTAATAAACCGGTCAACCTCAATCGAGCTAGTTACACCTTATTCTATAAATAAATGATGCAGGGCACAAAAAACAAAAAACAAAAAGATTCGCATTGTGGTTCTGTTCGAATGAGTTTGGTGCAAAATGACAAATACAAAGTCAGAAAGTTGATTTGCGAGATTCTATTCATCGAAACTCTCGCCCACTATACTATTATCGGCTCAATTACAACCAGGTCGCAAACTAAATTTCGGAGAGACCACGAAAAGTCAGCTGCTGCTGCCTCTCTTGAATGGAAAATACTCGCGTTGCATGGAAAATCCGTTCAATTTGTCGTCGTGCGACTTCAATAGATATTATCCATCGCAGAAGGCGGCGGTCCTCTGGGCTCCAGTCTACGCATTTCCCGTCTATGCGACTGCGGTCTTTCTGCTCAGGTACTACTCTGAATCGCAAAATACTTATATCCGAGTGGCACAGTTTTTGGCAATCATTTTGTGAGCTGTTTTTCCTTATTCTCCCATATCTTTAAATTTTCAGCAACTACTTGGAATTGATAGACATGTCCACTTTGTTTTTCCCGCAGTTCAGAGTACCAGTGTTAGGTCTTCAAGTCGGTGGCATTCTTGATGAAGCATATCCACGAGTCATCACGTTCATTATTGCCGCTTTAGTTTTGCATCACGGTAAGTTCTGCGCCAATTCAATAAATGTGATGATTAGTGTTGGACACAAAGTTCAAAAGACCGAAAGGGAGCCAATTCAGGCATCAACACGACGACTCTTTTCATTGCTCACTGTCGTCTGCTCATTCTGTCACGATCTTTAGTGATCCGGAAGTCTTCGATAAACGCGCTGCTCGATAAATCCCATCAGTTGACGTGCATCAACTACGTCCTGATGATCATAAGTGTCGCGAGTATCCTTCTTCTGTTCAACACGGACAACCCGGAGTATCAGAACAAGTGGAAGAAAGAGTTGTACGCCAAGTACCGTCTCGAGTTCATCTGGTGCCCCAGTTATTTCGTGATGGACCCCACCGTCTGGGAGTTCATAACGATGTTGTCCGTGGCCGGCTCAGTTACCGTACTTTTCGCAGTGGTCTTCGTGATTTGCAGTCTGACCACCATCGCTATTGTACAGTCGGCAAAGGACACAATGTCGGTGCAGAGTGTCCGATATCACATGCAAGTCGTCGTCACCTTCCTCATCTCCTGTGCCATTCAGGCATTTTTTGTGGTCCTGCCAGTTATTCATATTCTATTCTGTGTTTATTTTGAGTTCTTCAAAGTTTATACGGGTGGTACGTTTCTTTAAGGGAAAACTTCAATTTTAACAGTCCGGTCTCTTACAGATTACCTATTCTATTCGCTGTTCACTCAAGCTCATCAGGGCACTGCGTTCACACTCTTCTACGTCTTATTCCATCGAAAAACGAGGAAAACTTTGACAAAATGTAAGTTGAAAGTTGACTTTTCTTCACCTGCCCAACTTTTCAGTTGTTCGGAAAGCTCGGAAGTTGCCGAATGATCGAATATTCAAACGAAGTTTCCAAGTGTCCATGACAATATGAAACCCTTCTTCCCTTTTTCACTTCCCTCTTTTCGCCGTCATTCATAAACTTTTCTACACGAATCTTCCTTCTCAATCATCAGAGTTCAGCTCCCCGGGGACCGTGCCCGCCTTTCAACACTTTTGATTTCTTGTCTACGAAGAGCGTTACGATGAAAGAGACGTAGAGAACCGATTTATTCAAAGGCAGGCGAGCCAATATTTTTGTTTCTCACTCTTGCTCGGCACAAAATGCTCCAGCAGCAGAAGCTCACCGTTCTTTTTCTATTCGTATTCGTTCCATCGATTCTCTCACTTTCCGAACGGTTCAGAATTGAGAATGTAAAGTTTCAAAAACCTGGATCAATTAGACCGAAGAGAGATGCGTTTGTTAGAAGGTAACAAAGACATAGAAAAGGCGAATCTTAAAAGATCAAAGTCTCAGGGAGACTGGCGTTGCCCAAAATGTGACAACTCTACTGAACAACGTTCTAAAGAACTACGATCAACACTTCAGACCTGGATTCAAGTGTAAGTGTGCCAATCTTTACGAGACAAATCAGCTGAGAAACTTTTCAGCTGGAAAACCGACGAAAGTGTACATAGATCTGTTCATCCGAACGATGGGACCAGTGGCTGATCTCGCCTACACCTACTCTTTCAACTGCTACTTCCGTCAGAAATGGACCGACGACCGACTTCACTTCAACAATAGCGGCATCGGATTCCGTCAACTTTCGTTGAGTATGGCAATGCTCGACAAGATCTGGAAACCAGATACGGTAAGTTTCGGTTTTCTTTTTTTTTCACTCCTGACTTGGTTATTCAGTACTTCTGGAACGGAGCTGGAAGTTATGTGCATGGAATCACAACTTCGAACCGTCTTGTCCGATTGGAACCGGATGGAACTATTCTGTACTCGAGCAGAATCACTATCAAAGGTTGCCTCTATTCACCTGAATAGTTTCTTCCGCTTCGTACTCTTCCAGTTTTCAGCCAAATGTCAGATGGACATGAGCAGATACCCACTGGACAAGCAGGCGTGCCGACTCGTACTCGGTTCTTATGCGTATCCTTCGGATGAAGTTCAGTACAAATGGAGGATAATGGATAATGATAAAGGAGTGAAAATAGACTACGAAAGCATTGCGGACCTTCCTCAGTTCTCTCTCACCGGCTTCAAAGTCTACGATCCGGCCAACTTGACCAGAGACAAGGAGTATTCGGCGCTCGAGGTCCGTTTCTACTTTGACCGGCACTTCGGCTACTTCCTCATGAACTTCTACGTTCCTTGCGCCCTCGTCGTTCTTCTCTGCTGGGTGGCGTTCTTCACAAAACGAGAAGCGACGGCCGAACGGATCGGAATCGGAATCACGAATGTGCTCACGATTGTGCTCATTTCATTGGACAGCAAGAGCGACTCGCCGAAGGTCGACAGTCCGACTGCGTTGGATGTGTACATTTGGATATGCTATTTAACTCATCTGTTCTGCATGATCGAGTTTACCGTAGTCCACTATTACACCAAGTATAATACTGGTGATCCAGAGATTCAGGAAGTTGAAAGGGAACGGCTGAGACAAATCATCAAGCAGATTCCTAAGTTTGTTTCTTTTAAGATAATCATTAGCTTTACTAAACTTTTCAAGTATTCTTCAGAAATTCGAACAGTCGTGTTGCCGTTCCTTCTTTCAAAAGAAGAAATGCTGCGCAACCTGTATCAATCACTGTAAGATTTCAAAGTATTCAAATATAACACATCTACGTCCCCAGAGATCCCTTCCCAACAAAGCCATCCGTTTCATGTCCGTTCGACAGCCGAGAAGAACCGAGCAAAGAGAGTCTATTCAGTTGATGAGAAAGATCAGTCACATGGAAACGAGCACGCAGGTGAGCGACAAAGACAACTTTCAGCCAACCCAAAACAGATTCAGAATGAAGCTGGGAGCAGTCTGAATCTGGAAAGTATTCGGCAGGAAAATGTGGGATGGAGGTTGTACTACTGGATGATCGATCATGTAGGTTTCCTCCAGGGATCCAATAGATCCTTTCCTTTCCAGGACATCAAAACGGACCCGTTCGGAGTAGCTCAGAACTCAATCAGCAGAATCGACAAGATCTCCGTCGTCGTCGCGCCGCTCATTTTCATCCTTACTATAGCTCTTTATTATGACTTTTATGTGAATCGCCCGTTTAAATTCAAATTTGAAAACGATTTTAGAAATATTTAGATGATCTTCGTACTTTTTTAGTTTCAAATAAATACATAGTACTCCCCAGGTAGATGAGAGGAGAGAGTTTTGAATGAACGGTTTTACCGTATTGTTAATGAAATGTGTACGGCAAAACTTGTCAGAAATGAAGAGAATATCATTTGTAGAATGTTCAGAAGGATGCGCAAGATGGAAATGTCCGTTTCTAGGTGATATTCATAGAAGCCAGCAGCGACAGGTGGCCACAGAAAAACGAACATTTCCTGCTGAAGATAGAATGAACGAACGTGTTTTCGTAAAAAAAGACATTTATTCGTCAGTCACACTCATTAAAAAGGAACACGAAAACAAAAATAAAGCCCGCTTGAAAAGGAAGTGAGCGAAGAACGGAAGGAGCGGAAGGAAGGTGCCGCCGGCTCGGATTGAACTGGACGGATCACATGAGAGGTCGGCAGAATCACTTGAGGGACTGCATCAGTTGCTCAAAGTAGATCTCCTCCTCCTTTCGCCTCAGCTCCAAATCCCTCGGAACCACTTTTCTCTTCTGATATCCCAACATCTTCAGGAAGACATTTCGGTAGCCCTCGACTGCACAGATGAGTGTTATTGTTATGTAAATCGGTCCCCTGTAATCAATGTATCGTTCCGCCTGGACTCTTCCGGTTACTCACGCATGTACTGTCATATCGGTGACTTCTCGGAACGCGTACTTACTGCTCGCCTTCACCTCCATAATCATCGGAATCGTCTTGAGGAAAGCAATAATCACAATCAGAGCGGTGAATGTGACGAATAACTTTTTGAGCATCTGAAAATGATTTTAAAATAGATTGGCATGAAAGAAAAGGAAAGTTACTTGGAAAGTCTTCACATTTTCCCTCAGCTGATATCGGACACTTAGCCCGAACTTGACGTCTCTGTTCTTTGTTTCCACAAACTTCAAAGTGGATTTGTTAACTCGATTTATGTGCAAAAAAACCTAAAAAACACGAATCAGAACGATAAGCAGGATGGGGCAAACCAAAAGTGAGCCGAAAGAAATGGCTCCGGCGAGAACACCCGCTGATACATAACGGAGATAGTTGAGCACAGTTAGACATGTAAGAGCACATCCGAATGAGTATTGAAAAAGAAGCATCAGCACAAGGATGTGACGCCGTTTCATTTTCTCGTAATCGCTGAAAACCGATTTGTTCGAGATGTAAGAATTGTGATCCAATGTCTAGCTTGCCCCTGTCAAAATGACTCACAAAAGGAAGCGGGTGGCTAGAGTTCGCTCGATGACGACAACAAGCGGAAAAGCCAACACACTGAAGATGAAATGGTAATGAGTCGCGGCACTCCAGGCAATTAGAGAAAGACCGCCGGTGGCCACATCTGAAAAGTATCCGATCTTAAAGTTCGCACCTGAACATGCTATTATATTACTGTCTTCTGACAGGTACACGACCTGGAATACGATAGTGATAATCTTGCTGGCGGCCAGTTCGAAATAAGTGAATGCGGTGCACCAAATCGGTGCTTGCAGGTTACTGTGGAATGAGGTGGAACGCGCGACGATGGTCAAGCAGAGGCAAGTGAAAACGGAGCCGATGACGACGATCAGAAGGTAGGCGACGTTCTCCCAAATGTTCATTTTTCGAAGCATTCCGGAAACAAAGACGGAGAAAACTGTAGGATTACCTGAAAAAGCATCAAGATGACTGATACCTAACACCTAAGGGATTGGCTTACATTCGGAAGAGTCGAGCACCATTTCCAGTTCCTCGTTGGACATGCCAGACTAGAGATTGAAAGTGAAATGACAGTAGACAAAACTAGAGTTGTTATGCCGAAAAAGAAGAAGAAAATGGGAGAAGAAGAAGGAGGAGGAGGGGACAAATTATAGGCTAGGTAAACGATCAGAGAGTCTGGTGACGACGAGTGAAACTCAATTTCAGCTGCGTGCGTTTGTTTCACTCGAAAACTTTTCAGGTGAGCCTTCACTTCTGCTCACTCGTTTCCTCATTATTATGTATCGTATCAGCTGGCTGGCCAATGTACACAGAGAGACTTCATATATGGCACAAACACGTATCAAAACTGAACAACAGAAGAGGGATGGGGAAGGGAAAACAAGAAATGAGGAGCAGGTGGAAGTTAGAGTTCGTCCCGCTTCACAAGCTTCTCGAGCACTATTTCAAAGAAAAGACGCGCTCCGCCGGGGATCTCTGGAGGCGAACCCTGTGCTCCGTATCCGTACTCCGATGGGATCACAACTCGACGACGCTCTCCTTCGCACATTCCGTCCATCGCAATGTCCATGCCGTCAATCACTTCCTGAAATTTCTTTACCAGTTCTGCTCTACTCATGCTTCTTGGCTCCACTACGTGTATTAGCTTATCGAATTACTTCCGATTCCGCGAAACAATTTTTCTTTGCAAAACATCAACTCACTCTATTTCTGAGCCTGAACACAAACGGGGAGTTCCGCGAGTAAGACGAGTCGACCAGGGTGTTATCTTCTAGTCGAAGGACGTACTGCTGATAGATTTTGTCGCCCTGCTCCGCTTTTCTGCACTTTTCCGCCTCGATCTTGTGCGTCTGCTCGATTTGGATGCCCTCTTCGGTGACCCATCTCTCTCCGGGATTCGCGCGGAACAGGTTCACCAGCTGCACGGTGTAATAGAGAGGCTGGCCAGACGTGTCTCTAAAAAGCTGCATGAGAATAAGAAATCAGACATCACCACTCACTTTGCAAATCCCAACTTTGGCGGAATGACCACTTTTCGGATCTCTCCGATGCACATTCCTCTCATCGCACGGTCCATTCCGGCTATCACTTGGTTCTTGCCCAGCGTGAACGTGTACGGCTTTTTCCCGAAATTGCTGCCAATCTCGGTGCCGCTCTCGTCCGTCAGTTTGTAGTACTGATCGACGACGTCTCCGCCGGCCGACTTCATCTCGCACTCCGCCTCATCTATCGCCTTTGTTATCGTTACTTCCAATCCGTCCTCGTCCTGAACACTCTGTTAACGGGTTCGTACCATTTGAACAACGGAAACCTTCCAATATTGTTCATCGGCGCAAGAATAAGAGAGAATAAAAGTGGAAAGACATGTGATGTGAACTAGAAACTTCATTTCATTCCGCACAGAATTAGACTAAGTGGGGGATGAGGGCGAGCGCGGGCCGAAGGTTTTCTTACACTGATTCGAAGGCCGCCGTGCAGTATCTTCTGTCGTGTCCTCCTTTTCCGACTGCGTCTCCGCTCTCTCCTCGCCCTCGAATCGTCTAACAAGCTTTCGGGTACAATAACAAGATGAAGGGAGTGACGAACAAAAAACGATTTATCCAAGCAAAGCTATCCAAAAGTTTTACTAGATGGTAATCTTTCTGAAACAACACCGCTTCGAGGATTGACACTTTTGATGTGTGCCGGTTTGGCGGTCATTCTGAGCACGAACGTGGCGATGATAGCGTCAAAGAAACAGGAAAGGCTCTTCGCGGTCGCATTGTATGGTCCGTAGATCTGAAACAAACTTCAGGTATTCTTGTGGAGTCTGCACAAGACTAACGTCAGCGGACAGAAGTTGTGTCTTGAAGACGAGGGTGATGAGAAAAGGCGAAAAGTCGAAGAGAATGGTGAGACACGCGTCGACGATGCACAAATAATTTGTCTGCAAGAGAAAAGGTCATTGGGAGCACGAGCAACTACTCACTTTGGATAAGTCGGTGTTGAGATGAATCTCACGCTTCAGCGAGAGAAGCTTGACGAACAGGATGAGCGAGCTGACGCACGAGAACGCTCCGATGATCTCAACGGTTACATTTACAAAAAAGCACGAATTATGCAGCAGCTCACCAGCTTGTTACCTGTCCAATATTGTAGAAAACAGTCATTCCAGGTGCAAGCAAGAATGGAGCAGCTTTTGGCGAACGGGGAGACGTTGCAGACTGAGAAGTACATGACGTCCTCGAACGTTCCCCACATGAACACGAGGACGAAAAAGATGAAAATGGGGATTCTCCGACGGTTGTTATAGAAATTGATCGGGAAGAACACAGCGATCAGTCTCTCGATCGATATGAGAAAAGCCAAAAGGAAACGGGTGGAGGTCATGTTGGAGGAGAGCAAAGTGATAAAGAAAAGGGATTTGTACTCGAACAGAACGAACGAATCTATGTAGGACAGAATGAGTCCGGTGTAGTAAAAACTCACTGAAATTTGAAATTTGAACTAATTCTAAGATCATGAAACAAGTACCTGTGAGAGAAAAACAAATGTCAATGACGAATCGAATGGTGAACAGGTGATATTCGGGTTTGTGTCGCATCGCCGACGTCCGGAAGCGCCAAAGAAGACGCGCGTTAAGAATCACAATGAAAACCGAGCAGACGAGGCCGGTTAGAGAGACCAGGAACGCTCGGATATTGAAGGTTAAGGAAGACATTGGTCATGGAAAAAGAATGGAAATAGAAAGAAGAAAAAGACGTTCTGACTTATTCTGCTTATATCTGACATGAGACTGGGCTAGTGAAGTGTGAAATGAATCAAATGCGTGATGGTTCCGTCGCATGTGCTTCATGATGTATCAAATTTTTCTTCGTAGGTAATCAAACGGAAAGTTCATTGATAATCTTCAAAAGAACGTGACATCTTTCCGTAACATTTCAATCTTAACGTTACCATTCCTTCAATTCATCAGGCCCGATCAATTGTGAGTTCCCAATCGTCTTGAACGGAAAAATTTAATTCTTTCAGACTTGTGATTGATGAAAACAGTTATATTGCTTCTTGGAGTACTCGTTCTTTTCGCTACGGCTTCCAGCAATGAGACCTGCTCCATGTGGTTTCCGGAGCCAACCGCCTACCGACAAAACACGTCTCACACGTTCTTGACTCGAAATTTCATGATAATCGAAGACATTTTGGAGGATAAAAACGCGACAGAATGGAAAAATGTCACAAGAGATTATGTATTGAGGTCTTTAGATGAGGAAAAACTGAACAAGTACGAAATATTTCTTATTATGACTGGCAACTTGGTGAGGTTTTCATAAATCCACGTGCCGTCACATCTTCCTTGAATTTCAGCCATCACTCCGTCTCCTTTTCGTCTCTTTCTCGTGTTTGATTTTCGCCGAATTCGTCCTTTTCGCTGTCTGGCAGCTCTCTCTTCAGGACGTTTTCCATTCGATCGTTCTCCGTTTCAATTTTGAGCGCTACCGAATCGCCCTCACTTTCATACCGCTCATTTGCATCATCGGCCTCATGATTCTCAATTCGCACTTCTTCAAAGTCACCAAAATGACGCACAGTGGACTTGGCACTCTTGACACTAAAGATGACAGCAGTTTCATGCGTATGTAGAAAAACCTTGAAGTACTGTATTCATGATTTTGTTTAGCAATCAAGGAAAGGATTCAGAAGACTTTGAATTCGGTGAAGTGCGAGTTTGGAAAGCATTTATTGAGAAAACTCGATCAAGTGCAAATCGAGAAGTTCTTGAATGCGTTCATGCAAGAAACTGTTAACGGGACCGTCTACGGAAGTGTTTATGTGAGGAAAAAATGTATCGAAATCACAAAAATTGAGAATATTCAGAACAACTTCACGGGACACATTCAAAACCATTCCTCGAAGTCGGAACAATGCGAGCAGTTGAAAAGAGAGATGGCGTCAGCAGTTCGTGAAAAGGAAGAAAACTGGGAAATCGGAGACGAAATCAGGAAACTCGGAGAAGAATACGTGAGAATGACACAGGGCCAAATGACCGTTTCGTTCGCCGCACTCGGAAAAGCGCTCGGCACAATTGAAGAGTTCGTGGAGAAATATCACACGGATGTGCTCCAACTTCCTCTTCAAACGGATATCGACGCGTTCTACAACTCGGTCGTCGGAATCTCAGTCGCATCTGCGGCCATCAGTGGAGTCTTCTCTTTCCTGCTGATCACGTCGGTCGTTCTGAGGAGTAGGAATCTGATGCAATGTCTGTAACGATTCCTTGATTTTAGGAAAGTGGATGATAATCATCGCAAACATCTCCATATTCTTGGTCATCTGTTTCTCTGCCATTCTGATCAGCTGCTTTCTACTAATCATCAGTTGGATTTCGTTCATTCAACTCACTCAAGACGCATGTCTCAGCTTCCAACTGTTCGGAACTGCGAAGCCAAGTGTGATAACCGAAAGCGGATTCACAAACACAATCAACTACGGAGTGTTACTTCGCAAGTCTTATGACTACCATGGCACCTACTTTTCTCGTATCAAAGATGATCTCAGAAGAGACAGATGTGGGAATGCGTAGATGAGCACAAAATATGCATCCATAGTTTCAGATGATATCCCGATCGCTCTCGACGGAAAACGATTGTGGAAACCGAGTGCTCTTTACAATGAAACGTTGCGGAACGTGACAGAATATGCGGAGCAATACGATTCGAATGCGGCGAATGAGTGCCGGAATCTGAAACAATTGTACGAAAACGTCAGAAATTTGAGTGTTCGTATTGGGTGCCAAGAGAAAGAGTTTGTGGAAACGATTCTGAAAAAGTGAGACATAATGATTGACAGAATAAACTGAATGAAGTTTCAGGTTTGAGAGCAAAACGAATGAAAGTTGTCGAGAATCCGCTGAAGCAGCGATCCGAAAGCATCCAAGCGTCGATGAGATCCGTTCCAAGTCGTTCGACTTCTGGAAACGCACGCTGATCCCCAAACGAAGCTACGGAGTCATCTCGAAGAAAAGGCTCGAAAGGGGCCGCGGCCTCTTCCAAGTCTACCTCGTTTTCATGAATCCCGCGAGGAAACTGCGGCCGGACGTTCTCGAACCCTTGTTTGGAATGGCTCTTTTGATGCTCGCGATGGCTCCGATTCACTTTTTTATGGCCATTTACCTCATGAGCATTCTTCCTTTGTTGACAACTAAAAAGGATGTTTCACAGCGCTCACAATATCAGAATCTGTAAGATTTTTGTCCGTCATAGAAGGTTTTACGTTCATTTTCAGATCGACAGAAGATACAACAAGCAATGAATCCGGAAGTGAATCATGAATCGGAGAAACGCAAGAAGCCGTAACTAATTTGTCTTCTTTTCTCGAATCCAAATCCGTTTCCTCAAATATCCGATGGTCCCAATCGCTCCATAGACTGACAATAAAAGGAATATTCCAGTGTAACAGGCGATATCCAGGTTGTAGAACTCCACAAGTCCCAAATCTTTGGCAAACGGAGTCAACGAGGGCATTTTTCCGAATCGAGCAGCACTCTCCGCATATTTCACGACCAGCTCTCGGGGACTGATTGGCTGATGGTTCAGAACTTCGGCCAAACGGACTGCTGCTTTTTGATAGCTAGAAATGCATGGTGTTACCAACACTTGGAAGAACACAATAACTGTACCTATTGTCAGTCAACATTTTCCTCAACAGATCGCTGTGCTTCTTCCAGTTTGGAATATCATGCTTCGAATAAACTTCGACGCATCCATGCCTTTCCAACATTTGAGCGTTGTTTGGTTGATCGGCAAACAACGGCGTCTGAAATTGGGTCCAAGTCTTCTGTGGATTATTTCAGTTCACTACCACAATCGCCGGTTTGGCAGCATATGCCAACTCCATCGTACTTCCCAGTCCTCCATGCGTGATGAACAGATTGACGCGCTTATCAGCTGCAAAACTACAATGTGCACTTTATAGTTTCGTGATGCTCACCCAAAAGTGATTGCTGGGGGAACCACTTGGCCAAGTGCACATTTTCCGGAATGTTCTTCTTGATAAACTCCTCCTCCGGGTCTTCGTACTTCCATAAAAATGTCACGTTCGGATTGTGTACAAACAGGTTGATCATGGCTTTTTTGTAATCATCCGGCATGTTTCTGGAGGCCACCATCGACCCGTAAGATATAAAAACGGTAAACTTTCTGAGGCTCAGCATTTGGTCCAACTCCTGAAGCAACAGAATTAGTGTAATAACAGTGAATATTGAAACCTTGGAAACTTTCGGAACTTCTGCGTAGTCCATTGTGTAGCCACCAATAGGAACCACTTTAGATATAGTCGGACTGACAAAATCAAGATAGGGGTTCGAATTGGAGAAATGATAGGTGACATCGTTGAGAATCTTGGTCCAATGTCTCACTTTGCCGCCGGTAAGCTCGTTCACAGAAGCATGCTGTCTATCGAACAAGTCTCCAAACGCCGCGGAAGAGTGCACTTTGTGCCACAGATTGCTCAAACGGTCAATAAGTGACATTTCCGGTCCGATGTGAGAAGATGGGGCTGGAATTGATGACAATTACATTGTGAGCCATTTGAAATGATTAACCGGGGAAATAGTGCAGAAAAGAGGGCTCGCCGAGCGCATTCGTGATCGCGTTCAGCTTGCTTCCAGTGAATGTCGAGATGATTGCAGGCATCTCCAAATAATCGGCAAGGTCTGAAACAACACATTGGTCCCCCATAAAATCCGACTCTTCTCACATAGACCACAAAAGTCGAACGTTTCAGAGATGACCGCGTCGAACTTTTTGCTTTTCAGCAATTGATGCAGTTGCTTGTCTTCGAACATTTCTGAACAAAAAAACGCGAAGAATTTCGGAAAGATTAATATCTCTCCTACTTCTGCACATATGTTCGAATGAACTGTGAAGAACCCGTGGGACAAGTATTCTGATTCCAATGTCCGATTGATATTTGACAGAGTACCATGCATCGTTGAGCACGGAGTGACTTGGCATGTTCTTCAGACCCTCTTCGTCATGGAAATAGTCAATCACTTCGACTCTCTGATTCTTAATCAGCCCGTGATCTTTGTAAAGGTCTACCACAAATGGTTGGAAATAAGTCTGAAATAATTCAAAATACATTCCCAAAACATACGTTCAATTGTTACCACTTCATGACCGGCATCAGCCAATTGATTAGCCATAGCAGCCATGCATTTCATGTGACTGAACCCGTAAACTGGGGAAATAATGAGGAAATTGTATCCATTAGTCAACTGAATTGAGAGAAATACAGAGAAAATAAAGAGCAGTTTATTCATCATGCTGTCAAAGGGTTGTCTGCAGAGTTGAGACCATCTTATCACTGTGATGATATTGATAACGAAAGAACCCAGACATGTGAAGAAGTTACGCACTAAAATAGTTTCCAAAGATCCATTACAATATTAGACGATACGATCAGCAGGCAAATAGAGAAACCAACTGCCGGGTTTTCAGTTCTCAGCCTTTTCTAGAAAACCTGTGGAAGAAAATCCACCAACAGAATGTGGGAATAAAGACAAAAACCGCAATGAGATCCAAGTTGTAGAACTCAATGATTCCCATGTTTTGAGCGGTCGGAGTCAGTTCGGGCATCTTCCCGAACCGAGCAGCCATCTCAGCGTGCTTCAACATCAGTTCCCTCGGTTGGATTGGCGGATGAGCGAGCACGTGAGCAAGCCGATTGGCAGATTTCTGATAGGAGTTCGTGCGAAGCATCTTGTGGAGGAGACTGTTCAGTTTCTTCCAATCGGGAATGTCGTACTTCGAATAGACCTCCACACTCCCATGCCTTGCCAACATGTTCCCATTGTCCGGTTGCTCGGCAATGAGAGGGATCTGAAAGGGAATAATACTGTAGTTCAGCACCTTTCGAGACACCCTACCACTATGGCCGGTTTCGCGGCATACGCCAGTTCCATCGTGCTTCCGAGCCCTCCATGAGTGATGAACAGTTTCACTCGGTCATCGGCCAAAAGAGATCTTTGAGGAACCATTCTCGTAGGTGAACGTTTTTGGGAAGCTTGCTGGTGGCAAAGGTGTCCGTGATATCTTCGTACTTCCAAAGGAAAGTAATGTCTTCAGAGTTGGCAGCAAACAGATGGAGCATTGATTCTCTGAATCATCATATAAACGAAATACAGAAACAAGTCGCTCTTTTGTCACTTGTAAGTATTCGGCATAAGCGTCGACTTGACCATAGATCCAAACGACACGAATACTGTAATTGGTCTTTCGTTCAAGATGGCGTCAAGTTCATCGGAAAGTTTGGGCGCCTTGGTCAGATCCACGTCATATCCACCAATTGGAATCACTTTTGATATGGTGGGCACTGCGAAGTCCAGATAGGGATTCGAATTTGAGAAGTGAAAGTGACATCTTGCATTATTTCCTGAAAAACTTAATACAAAGAAAGCGGAAAAGGAGAATTCGGACCTTCCAATGTTTAACTTTTCCTTCCGTCAGCCGGCTCACTTGATTGAATTGCCAGTCGAAAAGGATCGCATATCCACTTCCGAACACGTATTTATGGTACAAGTCGTTGATTCTATCAAGCATTGATGCTCCTGGACCGAAATGTTTCGAGCTCGGAGCAGGCAAGTAATGGAGCGAAGAAGGTTCTCCGAGGGGAGTGGTAATGGAGAGAAGACGACTTCCGGTGAAAACGGAGATGACGGAACGGGCTTGGATGTAGTCGGCAAGGTCTGAAAGCACGTGGTCAGCTAGTGAACTAATAGAGATGCGTACAAAGTCCGCAGAAATCGAACGTTTCCGCAATGACCACATCGAAATTACCGGACCTCAGTAGCTTGTGTAGTTCTTTATCTTGAAATATTTCTGAAAAAAGCGAAAGGCTTCAGTGGAATGAACCTGATTTGCTCACTTCTACACATGTGCTCCCAGGCGGAAAACAAGAATCCGGGCATGACGAGAACGGAGGCAAGAGCCGACTGATACTTGCCCGAGTACCAGGCGTCGTGCAGGTCGTTGCTCGGAGGCATGTGCTTCCGACCCTCTTCGTCGTGCCAGTAGCTAATCACTTTTATGGAATCGCCGTTGAGAAGTGTGTGATTCTGATAGGCTTCTATCACAAATGGTTGGAAATATGTCTGAGAGCCCAGAGATTTGTGTCAATAATCACAATAAAAAGTCAGTTCCCACCACTTCATGCCCTTCTTCTGCTAACTGATTGGCTATTGTAGCCATAAACTTCATGTGGCTAAACCCGTAGACGGGCGAAATAACCAAAAAGTTGAAGGCATCAATGACAAGTGCGATATTGAGAATTAATATGGAAAAAGTTAAAAGACGTTTCATATCTGAGAGAGAATGTCTTCTACGACCAACTTTATCATACAATAGTCGGGTCATGCGCTCCTTTCAACCAACTGTTCAATCAAACAGTGCATTGATAATGATAAAAACCGTCTAGACACCGCGAAGCGAAACATTCCTCTTCTCTTTTCTTTTCCTTTTTGTTCCCAACTGTGGCAGACATCACGATTACTTCTTTTGTGTCAGTATACCCGTTCAATCGATTTATTCTACCTTTACTTTGAGGAAACTCCTCACTTTCCAATAAACAATACACACAGCATAGCTAATTATCATAAAAAGTGCAGTTATCAAAACGAGAAGATCAATGTTATGAAATTCAATGAAATGCATGTCTTTCGCATGAGGCACCAAAAAGGGCATTCTTCCGAATCGAGCAGCGTTCTCCGCATGTTTGACCATCAGATCTGCGGGCGGAATCGGCTGGAATTGCAGTGTCTCCGCTAGCCGATCGGCGTGCTTCTGATACGATGGAGTGGTGAGCATCTTCTGAAGCAGACTGCTCAGTTTCCTCCAGTTCTGGATGTCGAGCTTCGAGTACACTTCCACACTCTGATGCCTCGCAATCATCTTCGCATTTCCCGGCTGATCAGCAAAAAGCGGTATCTGAAAGAATCGGTACGTCGCCCGTCTTGTCATCAATCATCCCGTTACCACAATCGCCGGTTTGGCAGCATACGCCAACTCCATCGTACTGCCCAGTCCCCCGTGCGTGATGAAAACGTTGACGCGTCGGTCGCCTGAACGACGGTCTTTCTTATTTCTCGTTTCATACAATCACCCACTTAAAAGTGCACTTTGCGAGAACCATTTTGCAATGTGCACATTTCTTGGAAGTGACTGCAACACTTCCTGGTCGTTTAGAGACTCGTACTTCCAAAGGAATGTCACATTCGATTGACTTGCAAACATTTCGAGCATCGCTTCTCTGAACATCTCATTGACATTTTTGCGAATGGAATTGAGGACTCACTTGTATTCTTTGGGCATATCGACAGATCTTACCATTGACCCGAACGAAACGAATACTGTATACTTCCTGGCATTCAGAAGCATTTCCAACTGCTCCGAATGTCCGTCCGTCGGCTTCTGATCTTCTCGGTCTACCGTAATCCCTCCGACCGGCACTACTTTCGGAATTGTCGGAATGACGAAATCGAGATAAGGATTGGAGTTGGAAAAGTGATAGGTGACCTCGTGAATGATGTCCGTCCAGTGTTTCACTTTCCCGTTTGTCAGTTTCTGGACTTGTTGGTACTGCATTTCGAACAGTTGCGCGAAGCCGTACGACGAGAAGAACTTGTGCCAGACGTCGTTCGCGCGGTCCCACAAAGTCGCTTCGTCGCCGTAGCGAGACGTGGGAGCAGGAAGGTAATGGAGGAAAGAGGGCTCTCCGAGCACGGAGCGAGAGCATTCAGTCGGTTTCCCGTGAAAGTCGAGATAAGAGACGGCATTGAGAGGTAGTCGGCAAGGTCTGAATTATGAATTCAAAGAACAAGATTTGTGTTATGCTCTAACATAGTCCGCAGAAATCGAACGCTTCTGATAAAACCACGTCATAATTACGGCTTTTCAAGTCCTGATGAAGTTCAGTGTCCTCGAACATTTCTGAAATTTTTTTTTGAAAGTGTACACCTTAGCATTACTCAGAGAATTTTGAGCAAGGGTGTGGCACGTAGCAAGCAAGCTGCTGCACAGAACAGCATGGATGCCGACTCCAGTGGGCACCCGTGCTGTTCTGTGCAACAGCTTGCTTGCTACGTGCCGCACCATTGCTCAAAATTCTCTGAGTGCTCACTTCTGCACATGTGCTCAAATGCTGGAAACAAATATCGGGAAAGTAGCACAGCAGCACCGACATCCGATTGATACATGGAAGAGTGCCACGCGTGACGCATGCAGCTCTGCGGGGGAATGTGCCTCATTCCCTCTTCGTCGTGAAAATAGTTCCAGATTTCGATCGAATCCTCTTTTATCAAATCGTGATCGTGGTATTCATCGACGACGAATGGTTGGAAAAACGTCTGCGAATGCATCATTGGACCCGCAACAGAACAATAGAATCTTACCACATTGTGTCCAGCCCAAGCTAACTGATTCGCCAAAGCGGCCATGTACTTCATGTGACTGAATCCGTAAACGGGGGAGATGACCAGAAAGTTGAAGGGAGCAGCATTCTCAAGAACACCGACGAGAATAACGACGAAAAGAAGCGGAGACTGACGCATTGGTGAACTGGTTTCTGCTGTCCGTCTAGTTGTAGTTGTATATATTTACGTGAGCTTATCAGTCGGTCAGTTTGAGTTTGAGTTTGATAACTCAGTTTTTGAGTACTGCCAATAAAACTATTTCCTTCAAACGCGTCGTCAGCAGTGTTACTATAAACAATTGCACTCTTTCCGATAACCGAAATCGTATCGCTTTGAGTCGAGTTGTCAGACAAAGAGAGGACGGAAAGTTGTCAGCCAAAGAGAAGACGGAAAAGTTTTGCAGAACACATTCGTCCATTTTTTATTGCTAACATTACAGTTTCAAATAGTTTCGGACATTCAAATCATAAAAGTGAAGATTCCCGTTTTTGTTTTAAAGCTTTGGAGAGGAACGAGTAAACATAAAAAAGAGCTTAAAGATCACACATACAACAACAAAAATTACAAAACCAACAATAGAAAGAGCGTCGAGACAATAGAATTTGATAAAGTTGTATACTTGTTGGCGTGAGGTTCTAAGCTTCTCATTTCCCCGAATCGAGCTGCGAACTCACAGTGAATCAGAATACAGTGTTCGGATTCATCGGCTGATGGTGGAGAATGTCGGCCAACCGGTGCGCGCTCACTCTTGTACTCATCACTGACCAGCAACTTTTCAGCGTCTCCACAAGTCTTTCACTATCAGGAAGGTCGAACTTGTCGTAGACAACTGCACTTCCGTGTCTGGAGAGCATGTTTGCATTGGTTCCCTCGTCACTGAAAATTGAAAACTGAAAGGAAAACAGGAACATCGCACTGAAAGTACGAGATACATTCAGAATACTCTTCGGATAACTCCCACGTCTCCTCGGTCAGAAGCCACCCGCCACTGTAATTATCCGTCTCGAGCCACTATGCGACCAAAAACTGCTCATTTATAAGCGAGAATCTCCAGTCTTTCTCTCTCTCTCTCTTTCTGTTTTCCTTTGCCAAAAGAGCAGCTGATGGTGGTGGAGTTAACGAGTTCTTATTGGGTTCTTACGTTCGTCGGAATTGCTGTCACATTTGCTCAAGTTCTACTCAACGTCTACATCTTTCACAAATACACACTGTAAGTCGGCAAATGTCATCAAAAGAAGGTTTGATATTATCCAGAAAGTCGAGAATATGGAAGAAACTTGAGTATCAACTCATACTACTTCGTGTCGTTTTCGACGGATTGAATGGGCTTGGAAGTGAGCGTCACTTTTTTGAAGATCAAAACGATGACCAGATGCTTCAGGCTTTACGTACTTCACCTCGAGCATTCCAATCCTAATCTTCCCCGATGTTTTTCCATTTGATATCGCGTTCCTCATTGCTCTCTTTGGGTCCAACCTTCTGGAAATGCGCAGTTTCCTGGCGGCCGTCATTTCCATCGAACGCGTGTTGGCTACCACATTCCCCATCGAATTCTACCGTTACCGAAACCGAATTTCCAATCTCCCTATCATTGGCTTCATTATTTTCACAGGCCTGTCTGGCGACGTCGTTCTTTTCGGCTTCTGCGGCTTCCGTCTGCCCATCTCTTCCGATTGCTCCAATTTCTCATGTGCTACTCCGACATGCTATCAGAATTACTTGGCCGCCACAAAGATAGTCTACGCCTCGCTCAACTCTCTCTTCTCCACTGTTCTCTGCTTTAAACTGCTCTGGTTGTCGTGGCAACATACTGAAAGTCCGACGGATCTCCGGAAGGCCAATTTGCTTTCGCTGACCGATGGACTCTCGACTCTTCTCTTCGACCTGCTGCCTTCGCTACTTTTCAATAGCGGCATAATTAATATCAAGGTACAAAAAGTTGAAGATTGAATGTCACTAATCGCCTTTCAGGGCCCAGTTATGGGAGTTTTACGTCAAATGGGAAGAGCTGTCGAGGCCGCAGTGATGGTGAGACTGATGAAGAAGACGAAACGCGTGGCACACGTCAGATTGTCCGCCAGCAACCGTCAGAACGTTCATTGAAATGGTTAGTTGTCGGCTCTTGTCTTTGGTAATTCCTAATGCCGGCCTAAAAAATGGGGTTTTTCATTTCAAAATTGAGTCTGACTTTTGTGACAGGCCGGGGATCTTCAGTACGTCCGGGACGCTCATGCGGAACTGACGTTCCGTTCTTCCTCTCTCCACTATTTTACTCCCCCCCCTTTCTATAAGCTCCCCTTTATTTTATCCCCCCCATATATTATTCTCTATTATTGTACTGGATCTGCTCTCTATTATTGGATCTGCTCTCTATTATTCTCTATTATTGTACTGGATCTGCACTTATTCTTTATATTTATAATAAACAGGTATTTAATCAAACCCCCTTGTTCTTGCCTGAACCGAGAGTAGAAGGAAAAACGCCCCGAACTCCTCCAGAAGTCGGGGACACCCCCACGTTTTTCATACTTTAAAGATTAAATAATCAGGCCAGAAATGGGACCGAAGTTTTGTACGTGCGTTTTGTGGTGTCTTCTGAGCTTCACGCTCGACCAACTTTACAGAAAGCTAATGTGCCTCTTCTCATTTTTGCATTTATCATTTCTATTTAGAGTGTGTCCTTCTATAACAAGATCATTTTAACAACAACTATGAGTGGCCACCTCGTTCCGTGTCTCATGTCAACTCTCGGATGCGTTTCTTCTTTCGCCGCTGCCTGCATCGGCTTCTACAATGTTAATTTCGTCTTGAGGTATCTCAGAAACCTTGGTGTCTGAAAGTTGAACATGTTTTGCAGCCATCCGTATTTCCGAAAGAAGTACGAGTATCAGCTGTTCTTCTTCAGGTTTCTCGCAGATTTCAACATGACAGCATTCTGTAAGATGAGCACCAAACTGAAAGTGATCAGGTTCTGATTTCCAGCAGCTGTGTACTACTTCATCCTGATTGTTTCTGTGCACAACGGGGCCGACGAGTTGCTGGCCACCGTCGAGTACTGGTTCGGTCTGATCGTCTCCAGCTCGGCCACCGTCCGCGTGGTCACCTCCTTCATGATAGCTGTGGAGCGGACTGTCGCAGTCTACTTCCCCGCTGCTTTCCTACACTATCGAGCTCAAATTCCGAAGCTCTTGCTCCCAGGATTCGCGGCTTCCTTTGCATTGATCGATAATATCATACTTTACGGAATCTGCGGCTACGTCTTCGTTCCAAACGTCTCCTGTATCATTTTTACGTGCCAAATCAACGAGTGCTTCGGAAAATACTATTCCATGAACAAAACGGTGAGACTACCCCGTCCGCCTGAAATAATTTCAACCATTCCTGCCAGATATTGTACGGTAGCACAGGCACAGTTCTGATTGCTTTGTGCACAAAACTGTTCATAATCAACAAGGTGGGGTCTATGCATCAGGAGAAGTTGTCAAGAGTGAACAAATTGGCTCTGATTGATGCAGTCATTGTGCTCTTCTTTGACTTTTCGTCTTCTTTCATAGCTGCGAGGAAGATATTCAAATATGAGGTCTTGTGGACACTCTAGTGGTTTGAACTAAATGAACTTTCAGGATATTGGACCCTATGATGCGGCGCCAAAAATGTTAGGTCGAGCCATCGAAGCATTCATTGTAGCCGTTCAACTGATGCGCGCACTGAATACCCCCGTAGTCCAGTCCCGCAACAACACCCGCCAATCTTTGAACAAACTCGAAAGCGCCCTCCGGCAAAACTATCACGTCCCCAACTCTGTCCATCCATAAAGGACAATACGTTTATGTATTTATCAATAAACAATTGAAGTTTATCACCGAAAAATAAACAAAGAGTATCATCTTTCCGCTGCAAATGGATCCTCGGGGTGCTCGGCAACACTGCAAATGAATAGAGTTTGATCTGAAACAAAGTTGAGACGCACTTGGGCCACCAAAATAGACGTTCCTGTTTATGTTTGCCGTCCGATTCCAGAAAGATGACATCCATTGGACACATTGGAAAGTCGAAGACGTTGATGTTCTCTTGAAGCCGACTCTTGATGGTAGTCTTCGGAATGACAACGATTCCCATCTCAACAGTGGCACGGATGATAATCTGAAAAAAGAAGAGTTGAAAAATGGAAAAAGGAGATTGCAATCACTTGAGCAGGAGTTTTGCTGTATTTTTGAGCCAGCGCTTTCACATTTCTGTCATTCATCTCGTTCGCGGCATCCTTGGTCCCATCGAACAGAGGTCTTCCATTCGAAGCGACCACTTGCATTCTTCCCGGAGAACCCAGACTTGCGTAGGCGGTTATTATGATATCATGCTTCTTGCAAAGAGCTCTGTGAGCTTTCTGAGGGAGGTACAAATGAAGTTCCAGCTGTAAATCAAATCAAATCAAATTCTCGCACCTATATCGTCGTCAATTCACCTGTGAAACATGTATTGGGACCTTGTATATCTTAATTATTCTCTCCAATTGACTCTCATTGAAGTTGGAAACCCCGATGGCCTTGGTCAGTCCGAGATCGTAAACCTTCTCGAATCCTCTCCAAATGTCCTCCACTTTCACGTCGGTCCGATGGCTACCGTCTTCCTGTTAATTTGTTGTTTTTCGTTTGCCCACTTTCCGATTCTTACATTAGTGGCAGCCGGAATGTGCGCGAGATAAAGGTCAACATATTGCAAACGGAGGCGTTTCAAAGAGTTTCTCAGTGCCTCTTCCACCACGTCCGGCGCAATTTCGTGGCAGAATGCCTTGGTTGTTATGAAAATGTCTTCTCTTCTCACGACGCCCTCCGCGAATAGTTCGGCAAGAGCATCTCCAATCTGACTCTCGTTCTGGTACAAAGTCGCTGTGTCGATGTGCCGATATCCGGCTTCAATGGCGTCCCGGATCACAACCTTCGCCTCTTCGCCAGTCATCTCAAGTATAAACGCATTCGTATGAATTCATCTTTCTGTGCGTCCTCACCTGCCAAGTACCCAGACCGACACTCGGCATCCGAACCCCATTCGAGAGGCTGAAGATCGGTACTTTTGATGACATTGCAACAAGAAAACTGGAGGAGAAAATGAGAATGAGAATTCGTATGGAACTTTCTTATTTATACGTACACTGCATGTCCTTTGGCCCAATCCGAATTATCGAATTAAAGAGACCTTGATTTTGTTTTGTACAAAACAAATTGTTTGTCTTGCCTCTCACAACTTTCGGTTTGTATATTCATTGAGGTAAAATAAATAGAGACGGATAAATACATAATTACATGGGATCGAGTTGAGTCGTGGTTCATTCCGTCACAGACCGAGCTCCTTCTGGACCTGCGCGCGGACCTTCTCCTCCACTTCCTGCCGATACTTCTCCTCCAGCTGCTTCGAATGATTGTTCCACTCCTCTCTGCCGAGTAGCCATTTCAGTTCAAAGTTATTTCTGATGATCATCTTGTTCGCTCGCTCTTTTCGTTCGTCCACAGTCAGAGACAGCTTAAGCAGTCGTTGGCTCTTATACTTTCGGTACTTTTGCATGACTCTCTCGTTGTGATCCGCGAAGATATCCACCTGCAAATTCAAGTAAATAAATTGTGAGATCACTAACTAGTAACTACTGACCGCCCATTCCCCAGACAATCCTGGAGACCGTTTCTCCGGGTTGTTCTCCAGCCACTCTTCCAAAGAGTTATCCAGTGCCATGGCGGAAGCGTAGCTGTTTCTAAGTGGCAGACAAAGCGGCAGCGCCTTCAGATTCCTGTAGTACTTGCGAAGTTTTCTGTAGTTCTGCTCGTTCATCGTCGCGTATCCGGGGAAGTACTCGTTGAACTCTTCAATAGCGGCCACATACTCGATGCTCATCAAGTTATGCTTCGATTGAGGGAACGTCTCTCTCCAGAGTTTGAGCACTTTCTCAAACATAATAACGAGAAGCTGTGGAATATGGAAATTGAAGGGGGACAAGAAGAGGGAAATGCGGACGAGTGGGCGAACGACCAGTAGGGGAAGTGGAGAGGGCACCCCGGGCGGCGAGGGAAGAAGCAGACGACGAGAGAGCGCTCACAAACAAGGAGAGCCGCGCACACGTACGGAGCTGTTGTTTTGATTGATTTGCAGAGGACTGACCGGGTAACAGGCGCCATGATAACAACATTTCATGTGGCGAGACAGCGATAAGATAAGACCGAGCTGAGCGATCAGGTGGCTGGTGGCTGGTCAACGGGCGAGGCAAAAGCACGAGGTCTCCCCCCAACGTGACCTTCTTGCCCGGCTGTCTATCAGATTCGAATGATAAAACAATAGACCTACGCGTTCCCCCAAAGCTCTCTTTTCTTTTTGCGTTTCACAAAGAAATACAAAGAAACAAACAGCTGGGTTCCAGCTGATCGACCGCCTAACCGATGGTTATCTGCATGCATAATGGGACATCTGCCGTGTCTGATTCGCGCCGATTCGCCCCTCATCCTTTATTACTGCCACTCTTTTTCTTGCGACGAGAGGAAGAAGAAGCTGACGCGGCAAACCGGTCATTGTCAACAAACAACAACAAGATTCGGAAATTTGTTGATGCGCAGCGCGAGAGAATTTCACAGAAATGTGGTAATTGATGGGGGGGGGGACGCAAATCCGGATTTAGTGGTTCTCACATCCTTTTATTTGTAAATATATTCATTTTTTTACATGGAATTATTGACGGAATTATATACAGCTAACTACAGGACAGGACAGGAAAAAAGAAGAGGAAGAGATAGAGAGAGAGAGAATTATTTACTCCGGGAGCAATTGGTTTCAATAGAGACCGGATGTATATGGGAAAAAAGAGAAAAGGAAAAAAGGAGAAACGGGACGGAAAAGGAAGCGAGACACGTGGAAAAGTGCATAGGAACCCGTTGGGAAGGCGAGAAAAGGAGCACATCTAGATCATCTCGTACTCGAGCGCATCCACATCCTTGTCCTCGATCTTCTCCAACTCTTCTATGTCACTTCCATCATCCGAATCGTCGGAATCGTCGTCGTCGCAGTTGTCGAACTCGTCCTGGCTGTCGTCGGAGTCGCTCGACACCACGACGATCTTTGGCTGTCTTCCCTCCTGAATATTCTCAATGTTCATTTGATTCTCCAAAAGTTGAATACCTTTTTATGCTCTTCCAGTTGCAGCTTCTCCATGACATCCTTCAGAAGACTGGCAGCAGACGTGAGGTCGAGAGACTCGAGCTCTTGCACATTTTCCGAAGTAGAAGCGGTCTTCTCGACTTTCTTCACTCCAGCTGGCTTCGCAACTTTGAACTTGTTCACTGCTCCGTCATGTTTCTTTGTTACCGGAATTTTCGACTTGTCGGCACTGTTCTTTAACAGCTTCTTTTGAATCATCTTGGTTCTGGCAAGATTGGCCACTGCCTCGTCTTCCTTCACTTCAGGAACTGTCGAAGTCACGCTCACATCCACTGGAGCAACCAACAGATTCTCCGGCTTGGTGAATTCTATGCGGACCGTCACTTCCTTCTGTGGAATAACCACCTCACTAATCGCCTTCGATATCTCGGCCAGCTCCTGATCTTCCGCAGTCATAGCCACGTCGACAGTCTTGGCAGTCACCGACGTGGCAATCGGGAGGATCGATGGAGGAATCGCCATTTTTTCAATTGGAGCAAATGGGTCGGTGGCTGGCCTCGCATTGGTAAACACGTCCGAATCGCTGCTGCTGGAGCCCTGGTGCGGCAGCTGAGTGTGTCGTTTAACCTGGAAAATTAGACCTTTAGTCCGTTTTGTTCTCGCACATGTGTTGTCCTACATTCAGTGCCTTGTGACGTTTCTCGTTTCGTTTCGTCTCCTTCGCAGCTGCACGCGCCTTGTATCGGCGATACTTCGCCATGAAAGTCATGTTGTGGCCGGAGAGAATTTGGATCTGAACGAACAGAAAACATGTGATGATAGGGATTGCCGCGAAAACTCACAGCCATATCTCCAGTGACATTCGGCTCCTTGCGACTGACGATCATGCGGTCAAAGTGTCTCTCCAGTTTGAGGACGTGAAAGAACGTGTGCTTGTCCGGGAGCATCGAGAATCGATTGATGTCCGCCGTGATGCTCATCATGCACAGATCGTTGTGCTTGCTCGGCTGGTACACCTTGATGTAGGTGTAGAACTCATCGACGCGCTCCGGAGAGCCCACGTACGCCTTTGTGTAGGCATTGTGGACCGTCTCGCGAAAGGCCACGATCGGCTTCTTCACCGTTTTCTTCAAGGCTCGGAAGTTATCCACCACCGCCGAGAGACCCATTTCTGGAAAAGCGAGGATCGATCGTCGGAGAAAGAGGGGGGAGAGACGAGATGTAGAAGCGGGAAAGCGTGTGACTGCTAGACTATACAACGAACTGGGTGAAGAGGGAAGAGAATCTAGATGTATCTGGGACGAGAGAGAGGGCGAGCGAGAGGCGTGGCAAATGCGGGGCGACGACGGCGGTCCACAGCTTCGTAGGTGCGGGGAGCCGCGAGTTGTGGGCGAGAGCAACGAAGAGGGATCCAACGACGATTGTCAGCTGAGGAAGAAAAGCGAGGCGAACGAGTGAGCGAGGCGGGAGAGATAGAGGAGGAGCAGGCGGAGAAGGGTCACTCATCGGTCAGCTGACCAGGGGAGGACGGAGGAGGCGAGGCGGTTGGCGTTCCGAGTAAACAAGCCAATGACGGACGAATATTTATTAGTCAGATGCGCACAAGTGTACAATCAGACGTGCTCCAAAAACAACTGGCAGCAGCTTTGGCGCGTTACAGTACTACCGCGCCGTCCGTCGTGTTTGTTTTCTCAAAAACTTATGGCCGTCGTTCGATTTTGACGTGTCTTGTTTATCTTTTGCTTTCGAAAAGAAGGAATCACGCGGGTTTCGCAACACAAAAACTCGGTACGATTTCCGGAATTTCAGACAAAACATTGTTATTTGTCTGGCTGCGGGGACTCACAGTCAGCTGACAATGGTATCGATGTACATGTACCGTTGTATTTGCATAAGTTTACTATTGTTTTGGAGCAGTGTTTGACCACCAACTCTTTCGTAGCAAAGAAAGAGAGAAGAAGGAAACGAGCGAGTAGGAGACGAGTGATCTTCGCGGGAAACTGCGTGGGGGAGATTTGTGACCAACGAGTACAAAACAAGGACTACCTGCAGCCACAGAATCCTGTTTTTGCTGGCGGATTGTCTGCAGTCATACTGAACCCTGAGCGTGTCATGGGACTGAACATGACATCGGAGGCGGAGTGCAACTGGAAGCGACGACGACGACGACGACATCAGAGTTCGTTGGCTACAGGACAGGTTCCAGGACCCAACGTTTTTAATCAGTTTTGGATCTCGTGATCAGCGGAAGTTCCCCCGAATGCGTTCCAGTCTGAAAACGTATAATCAGTCAGTCAGTCGTCGTAAAAACCGTAAACAGGAGGATTATAATGACGAACGCTCATTTCTTTTCCAATATTCACATTCACAAATTTATGCAATTTTTGTCTTCACAAATAAAAGGGTATTCAAGAAAAATAGTGTGGAAGGAAACGATCAATGTACATAAGCGGGGGGAGTTTACAGGTGGACCTGCGCACGCGCACACAATTTTCGACGACCAGAAACTGACAAAGGAGTGGGTTCTTACGTAATGTACAAGTTTACAGTTTCAATTGTTCAGAGCAATTCGTACTCGAGCGACTCGATTTCCTTCTCCTCGATCCTCTCCATTTCCACGTCGTCATCGTCGGACTCTGCCGCGTCTTCCTTTTCGAAGTCGTCATCGCTCTCCGCACTTTCCAAGGACATGTCCTTTTCCAGAAGAATCTTCGTTTCCTCCCCACTGACCTCTTTGTCTTCAACTTGATGGGAATCCTCGTGACACGGTGCACTCTTCTCGTCCTCTTCTTCTTTTTCCTCTCGATCCACGTCATCATCGTCTTCATCTTCTTCTTCTTCTGACTCATCGTCCTCCTTTTCAGATTGCCCCTCCGCTTCCGTCTTATTGGCCGTCGAAATGAGCTGCTCGACCATCTCATTCATCTTCTCAGCCACGTCATCCCTTTCTCTCTTCTTTTCAGCCTCCTCCATGTGCGTTTTCAGAATTTCGCAATACTTTTTGATTTCTGTCAGCTCGTCGGTCACTTGAGCAACAGGAACCTCGACAACGGGCACGATTGGGACTTTCTCTGACACGTTCACTGGCTCGGTTTGAACCAAGACTGGGGGACCAATAATGGGCATAACGATCTTCTGAGAATGCGGAACATGAACAACTGTCGGATAGATGAGAGGCGCCTCGTTCCTCATCATCTCCGCGTGTCGGACTCTGGCGCGAGCTTCTTTGACGGCCGCCAGAATTTTAGACTGGAAGAACAAAAACAAGATTATCAGGTTACACATTCGCACAGATACTCACATGTTTCTTGGCCGCCTTCATATCCTTCTCCACTTTTTTCATGTCTTGTCGGCGTTTGAACTTGCGGTAGCTCTTGATGAACTGCTCGTTGTGGCAGGCGAGGATTTCAATCTGAACTCGAACGATTAGTCTTCAAAAGAGAAAGTAAATGCGCTTACTCCACGCGATCCATAGATTCCATTGTGTCCTTCCGCCACAATTAGATCATCCATGTGCTTCTCGAATTTCAGCATTTGCTTGAACATACTCTTCGTTGGGAACAATGCCGCTCTGGCCAATTGAACAGTCATGTTCATAAAGATCAGATCGTTGGACGGGCATTGTTTGTACACTTTTATGTACTTGTAGAACTCTTGCACTTGGAATGGTGAACCGACCGCCAGTGCCTCATAAGCGCCCTGCCAACGTCGAGAGACATTCTGCAGAGTCGGCCGGATATCGATTCGTTTAGTGACGTCACGAAGGCGATCCACAAAGTTTGCAGTGTTCACCACCGGCATTTTGGCGCGGGGAAATTGATAGAAAAGGAGAGAAGCCCGCGCGAATGATGGCAGGTGTAGACCTTACCAATTATGGGCCGCGGGTCAGTCGATGCAAGAGTCACGAGACGGGGACCGCTTCGCGAGTGGCGAGACGAGCGCAGCGTTCAACGACGACAAACACAACTGGGAGCGAGCGAGCGAGAGCCGAGGGGCGAGCGGCCGTGCGAGGAGGCAGTCGTCGTCAGATGTCCTCCTGCCTGCGTGCGCGAAACGAGGACGAAGAGACGGACAGAGAGAAGGAGCGGTGCACAATTCGGAGGAGGACTTGACGGACTACTCCGCTGTGACGAGAAGAAGGAGTGTGTGGGCAGAATGCCGCAAATCACGGGCGCCGCAAAACAAGAGCTTTGCTGGATGGAAGCAGGATGTTTTCTGTGAATGCCTTTCTTCCGTTACGAATGAATTTCATTTCATAGCGAAAGTACTAAGGTAATTCATCACTTTCGCCCGAGAGAAACAGGAAAACGTGCCCGGAGCTTCTGCCGGACATCAGTTATCAAAAAGACAACATAAAAATCATCGTCTTGTGGTGCGTAAACTTTCTAGCCAAACCGCATGGTTTTCTAGCTCTTATCAATCAGTGAATCATTTCATTTTCATCCCGTCTTTTATTAATGCACCTCCGTGACCTCATTTTCTGTCTTGCCTTCATTAGCACAAGCCTCTCCTTTAAAGTTCTCGTATTCAATCCAGCCTATGGAGCGAGTCACGCCAATTTTCTCGGGAAAATTTCCGACATTCTCATTGATGAGGGACATGAAGTGGTAAGATGGAAATGAATGAAAAGATCTACAGATGAACAGATTATTTAGACAATGTTGATACCGGTATACTTGGAAAGTAAAAAGGATATTGTTGGATCGAAAAAAGTTCAAAAAATTGTCAGAATTGGACAAGATGCAAGAGCGGGCGACATGTTCAGAGAAGGAGGCGTTGAGAGCATTGTGAGGAAGAAGGTGTGGACAATGGATCCTGAGATGATGTCGTTAGTGAGGGTACTGTGTAGATTTGCGCTGTTCATCTGGGTCAACTCTCGTTTTCAGATGATTGACAAAATGAACACAGCTATTGGACATCAATGCGAATGTACGGAGTTGAGAATAATCCACGTTGCCTCTAAGTTTGCTTTCAGATATCTTCCAACAAACTGACGTGCTAGACCTCTTGAGAAGTGAACAATTTGACCTCGGAATCACTGAATCCCTCTTTTCGTGTGGCTTCGGTAAGCCGGTAAACTGAAACCCACTCCGTTCTGACCTGATTTGTTACAGCTGTCTTTGACCACGTGCGCGTGAAAACCGTCATAAACGCCGAGTCGAATCTTTTCAAAGACGCAGTGAAGTATGCTCACGGAGAGCCAGCTGCGATCAGCCATTACCCGGGACTTTTCTCGCCAAACGACGACCGAATGTCTTTTTTTGCTCGCGTCAAAAACATGATCACAATGACGTTCACTAACTATCTGTTTGGCTCGCGGTACAACAGGGAGTTGGAGATGATCCGGCCCTACTACAATGGGACCAAAAGTTGGAGTGAGCACCTGAGCGGAGTCGCCTTCAACTTCATAAACTCCAATCAATATCTCGACTACGCGAGTCCAACTCTGCCGAAGACAGTGTTTGTGGGTGGAATGCAAGTGAAAACGAAGAAGCATGGAGTTCAGCTGGAGGAGGAGTGGGATCATCTTTTGAGTGTTCGAAAGAGCAATGTGCTCATCTCATTCGGCTCTAACGCTTATTCTTCTGATATGCCACGTGAATACAAGTAAGTCATTGAAAGATTTTCAGGAACACCTTGAAGAGAATTATTGCAGAACAGCGTTTCTAGAGGTGTTTGCATCAATGCCGAACACCACTTTTATCTGGAAGTACGAAGAAGCGAAATCCACAATAGCCGAGCATCTGCCCAATGTGAAACTGACCACGTGGATGCCTCAAAATGAATTGCTCGGTGAGTCACAAAAAGATTAACTTGATGTATGATGCGTTCTTCATCAGCTGATGGCCGTCTAACACTATTTCTCACTCATGGAGGGCTCGGCAGCACAATGGAACTTGCTTATCAAGGCAAACCGGCAGTGATAGTGAGCACACAAAAAACGATCGATGAAAAAGAAGAGTCGGTTTAGATTCCACTGATGGCAGATCAGCCCAGAAATGCTCACATGCTCACAAGGCACGGCGGAGCTGTTCAACTTCACAAAACACAATTGCGCGACTCGGCAAAGATCAGAGAAGCTATAGAGACTGTGCTCGGAGACAGTCAATATGCGGAAAGTGCAAGGAGGCTTGCCAGAATTCTGGAAGAACAGCCCTTTTCCCCGAGAGATGTCGTTCTGAAGTACTGCAAATTTGCCGTCGATCACGGAGCTCTGGAGACGTTGAGCTCAGAGGGAAGACATTTGAACACATTCCAATTCTACTCTTTCGATGTCGCACTTGTCGCTGTTGTTTTAATCATGACGATAGTTATAGTTGTTGTTGTAGTTCTCCGAAAAGTATTCAAACTGATGTGCAATCTAATCATGCAAAAACGGAAACTGGTCTAAATCATAAATTTCCTGCGCTTCAGAAAACTCTTCATAAACCATAAACCCGATTCCAAAAACCAAGCTCTTATCGTACAAGTCATGCTTCGCAAGTACCCCGTATAAAGGTGATAATCAGTCGGTTCTCACTGTCACTGTCACTGTCTCCATTGCAAAATGAAGTTAACCATTCAGATTCTATTGATTCTCGCCGCGGAACTGTGTAGCAGCTACAAAGTTCTCGTATTCAATCCGGCTTTCGGTGCTAGTCATTCCAACTTTCTCGGAAAGATTTCCGATATTCTGATCGATGCCGGACATGACGTCACGATGTTCATTCCGATCTTTGTGGACGGAAAGAAGGAGCTGGTTGGATCGAAAAAAGTGAAGAAGATCATCAGATTGGAGCAAGATCCGCGAGTTTATCAAATTCACAAAGAGGGGGCCACCGAAGACATAATGAGGAAAAAGATTTGGAAAATGGACTCTGACATCACTTCTATGCTTTCGGTTAGTTGAATATTCGGATAGCACCTGAACAGTACTCATTTTCAGTTTGTCGGAAACTTTAGCAAATCCGCTGCTTATCAAACAGAGTGTGAGCTCTCTTTTTGCTGTTTCATTGTTTAAAAAGAACTTTTCCAGACTTGCTCCAACAAGACGAACTCATTTCAAAATTGAAAGCGGAAAAGTTTGACCTCGGAATCACAGAGTCGCTTTTCATTGGCGCTTTTGGTTAGTTCTGACGCACTCAGTAGAAATGAAATTCAGTCCGTTTTCAGTTTTCTTTGACGAAATCGGAATTCCATCGGTTATCAATGCCGAGTCGACGCTGTACATGAACGGAGTAAAAGACGCTCTGGGAGAACCAGCCGCCCTTGCCTACTATCCAGGGCTGTTCTCACCCATCGACGATAAAATGAACTTCTTTGGAAGAGTCAAGAATTGGATCGGGTACCTTTTCGGAAACTTTCTCACATTGCTCAAATCCAATATGGAAATGGAGGCTCTTCCGGAAAGTTACAAAGGATCCAGAGATTGGAGAGAGCACATTTCCAAGATTGCATTCAACTTCGTGAACTCAAATCAGTACATCGACTACGCGAGCCCGTCCCTTCCGAAGACCGTCTTTGTGGGCGGAATGCAGGTGAACACGAAGAAAAACGGGAATACGAAGCTCTCGAAGGAATGGGATGATGTTCTCGGCCTGAGAAAGACCAATGTCCTTGTTTCGTTTGGATCGAATGCCTACTCTTCTGATATGCCTGACGAATTCAAAAACGCATTTCTGGAAGTTTTTGCATCAATGCCCGACACTACTTTCATCTGGAAATATGAAATTGCCAATGCCACTCTGGCTGATCATCTTCCAAACGTTAAACTGACTACATGGATGCCTCAAAACGATATTCTAGGTAGATTTGTTGTAGTTTCATTGCAGTTTGACATACTTTCAGCCGATGACCGTCTGTCACTCTTCGTCACTCACGGAGGACTTGGCAGTTCTGTAGAGCTTGCTTATCAAGGAAAACCGGCGGTTGTGGTGAGTTCGAAAAACTCTTCGTCAATCAATTTCAGTTCTCTTACAGATTCCTCTGATGGCAGATCAACCACGGAACGCTCACATGCTCACCAGACACGGAGGGGCTCTCCAACTGGATAAGACCCTTCTGGACCAACCGGAAGAGATCAGAAAGGCCGTCAAAACAGTTCTAAACGATGGGAACTATAAGAAAAACGCTGAGAGACTCGCAAAGATTCTGGACGAGCAGCCGTACAAACCAAAGGATGTCGTGTTGAAACACTGCGACTTTGCCGTCAAATTCGGGCCGCTGGAGACTTTGAATTCGGAAGGACGTCATCTGAACATTTTCCAGTACTATTCTCTCGATATTGCTTTTGCCGGACTAGCCGTCGTTTCTATCATTTTACTAGTTATTTTCTTGATTATCCGGTTTGTTCTTAGATTTTTCAAAAGACTGTTCTTCAGCTCAAAAAAGAAGGTCGAATAGGAATAGTTTATTTAGGTCCATTCTTTTTGATAAGGGGGATAATGGTGCAATGAATTATGTCTTGATCAGTTTTTTTATCTCTGGAATCACGGTTTGTGCTATTTGTGTCTTCCTTCACAAGTCAGAAGTGATAAGAGACCCATATATAGCTTCAAACTTCAACTATCGTTTTCACAGTTCAAAATGAAGATTGCTCTCTTTTTGCTGCCGACACTTCTTCTCGATCTCGTTGCTCCCTATAAAGTTATTGTCTTCAACCCCGCCTACGGAACCAGTCACTCAAACTTTCTCGGAAAACTATCGGATATTCTCATTGATGCGGGCCATAATGTGGTGAGATATTATCAGTTTGTCTGAATCCATCTTCCATTCACAGACAATGTTCATTCCAATATTCGAAGCGAGAAAGGCACATTTGGTTGGATCGAAAAAGATCAAAAACATCATCAGACTGCCACAGGATCCCAGAATCGCTGAACTTCACCAGAAAAGTGCCAGCGAAGAGATTTTAAGGAAGCAGATTTGGAGAATGGATGCCGATATCACTGCGTTGCTTTCGGTACAGTCATTTTTAGTTGTTCATGCTCTTCTTATTGTAATTGTGGATTTTCAGTTTATGAAAGCGTTCAGTGAAGCCAGCCGCTTCCAATGTGAAAACATTTTTCAACAAACGGAACTTTTGAAGCAACTAAAAGAAGAAGCGTTTGATTTGGCCTTCAGTGAATCATTCTTCGCATGTGCATTTGGTATGTATCACGGAAAGAAAGATAAACTCGCCTATTTTCAGCGCTATTCGACGAAATCGGCGTTCGTTCGGTGATCAACGCAGACTCTTTTTTGTTCACTGAAGAGATGAAGAATGCGCTCGGGGAGCCGGGCGCGGCCTCCTACTTCCCCGACACTTTCTCTCCGACCACCGACAAAATGAGCTTTTTCCAAAGAGCGCAAAACCTCTTCACCAAACAGTTCATTGCATATTTCGTTAATAAAAAGAGCAAAATGGAGTTGGAAAGTATCGGACGCCTCTACAAAAACGGGAAAACTCTCAAGGAGCTTCTTTCGGGAGTTGCCTTCAATTTTGTCAACTCAAATCGCTTCATTGACTTTGCGAGGCCGACCTTTCCGAAAACAGTGTTTATTGGAGGAATTCAAGTGGATACGGATAAATCGAAAAAGTCGCTGCCTAAGGAATGGGATGATGTTCTCGGCCTGAGAAAGATCAATGTCCTCATTTCGTTTGGATCGATGTCCTACTCCTCTGACATGCCTGACGAATTCAAACAGGCATTTCTGGAGGTGTTTGAATCAATGCCCGACACTACTTTCATTTGGAAATACGAAGAAGTGAATGCAACTATTGCTGATCATCTTCCCAACGTGAAATTGACCACGTGGATGCCGCAAGTAGATATTCTAGGTTTTAATCTTCATCTAGAAGTCAATCAATCAATCAATGAACGATTTCCAGCTGACGACCGTCTGACTCTCTTCATCACTCATGGAGGTCTTGGAAGTTCTGTGGAGCTCGCTTATCAGGGCAAGCCGGCAATAGTGGTATGTTTCGGTCAACACTCTCTCAAATTTTGCTCTCTTTCAGATTCCGCTGATGGCTGATCAACCGAGAAATGCACAAATGCTCACAAGACATCAAGGATCAATTCTTCTAGACAAGACATTGCTAAGCAGTCCGAAAGCAATCAAAGAAGCCATCGAAACCGTTCTGAACGATCCGAGCTACAGGGAAAATGCAGAAAAGCTTCGGAAGATACTAAACGAACAGCCATATTCTCCTAAGGAAGTCGTCCTCAAACATTGTGACTTTGCCGTCAAGTTCGGGACATTGGAAACATTGAATTCGGAAGGACGCCACCTCAACACTTTTGTGTACTATTCATTTGACATTTTTGCTGCTCTAGTAGGCGTTGCTTTGATTTTCTTGTTTGTTGGCTTTCAGATTGTTAAGTTGATCACAAGGATCGTTTGCAAACGGTTCATTAGTTCAAAAAGCAAACTGGAATAAACGTTTCTGTAAGAGCTCCATGTGTGTTTCTTATCAAACTTCCGACTGTCCAAAGTATAGGTTTCTTAGATCGTAGTCGGTGTGGCCAAGATGATACAACGGAAAAGTGCAAAGTGGTGTGACTTTCATTTGTCACAAGTGAGAAAAGACAAAGTCAGCAGTGTACAAGTCCTCTTTTTTGTTTGTCTCTCGAGCACTTCGCTCCTTATCGGTTCCAGTTCTGGTTCTCCCAGTTCTATAAAAGTTCTCAACAACCTTTTTTAGTTTTCGATGAAGTCGTTATTTCTGCTGGCAGTACTTTTCGTCAACCTCACTGACACCTATAAAGTACTCGTTTACAATCCGGCTTTCGGTGCGAGTCACTCCAATTTCCTCGGCAAAATATCGGACATTCTTATTGATGCCGGCCATGACGTGGTCAGTTCGTTGCGTACTCTTGCACTTTTTGTTTCTCCGTTGTTCAGACTATGTTCATTCCGATTTGTATGAAATCGAAACGAGATTTGGTGGGCTCGAAAAAAGTGAAAAAGATTGTGAGAGTCGAACCGGATCCACGTGTGCTTGAGATGCAGAGAGAATTGAAAACGGAAGAGTTGATTAAGAAACAAATTTGGAAACTAGATGCTGATATCATGATTTTCTTTTCCGTACGTTTTGTTTCACAACTGTTTGTGGAAAAAGAGTTTTCAGATGATCAAAAACTTCAGCATTTCTTCTGGTTATCAGTGTGAAAGTGAGATGGAACACCTTTCCTGCTCAACCTCAAGATTTTAGGTATCTTCCAACAGACTGCTATTCTGGAGAAGTTCAGAAATGAAAAGTTTGATCTTGGAATTACAGAATCTCTATTCCTCTGCGGATTTCGTAAGCTAAGTTCTCGCACTTATGATTTCAAAAGACGTTCAGCGTTGTTCGACCACATCGGAGTGAAGACTGTCATCAACGCGGACTCGGTTCTGTATATGGACCTCGTGAAATCAGCCATCGGAGAGCCGGCCTCCACCAGTTTCTACCCGGGACTCTATTCACATTTCACCGACAAAATGACATTTTCCGAACGCATCCGTAACCTCTTCGGAATGTTCTTCTCCTGGTACTTCTCGTGGACTCGATACGTCGGAGAAATGGAAGCCATAAAGCCGTACTATAACAGTTCGATGACGTGGCAAGACCATATAAACCGAGCGGCATTCAATTTCATAAATTCGAATCAGTTCATCGATTACGCGAGTCCGATACTTCCAAAGACAGTTTTTGTGGGCGGAATGCAGGTTAATACGAAGAAGAATGGGAAGGTGGAATTGGAAAAGGATTGGGACGAGCTGCTGAGCATTCGGAAGCAGAATGTGCTCATTTCATTCGGATCAAACGCATTTTCCTCTGATATGCCTGATGAATTCAAGTAGGTTGTGTTCCGTGCTAATTCCTACAAACTCTGTTTGTTTCAGGGCCGCGTTTTTGAAAGTTTTCGAAAAAATGTCCGACGTCACCTTCATCTGGAAGTATGAAGAAGCAAATGCCACTCTGGCTGATCATCTTTCCAATGTGAAATTGACTACGTGGATGCCACAGAATGACTTGCTCGGTTGGTAGCATCAAATATGTAAAAGTATAATATCTTCAAACTCTTTGCAGCTGATGACCGTCTGACACTCTTCGTCACTCACGGAGGACTTGGCAGTTCAATGGAACTCGCTTATCAAGGAAAACCGGCGGTCGTGGTCAGTAATAGTGTACATAACCTGATCGGAACTAATCGCAGATTCCTCTGATGGCCGATCAACCGAGGAATGCGCTGATGCTCGCCAAACACGGTGGTGCTCTTCAGCTGTCAAAGACAAACCTAGACAAACCGGAAGAGATTGAGAAAGCAATTCGGACAGTAATCGAGAATGAGAACTACAGATTGAACGCGGAGAAACTGGCGGAAATCTTGGCAAATCAACCGTATCAACCAAAAGAAGTTGTGCTGAAACACTGCAATTTCGCGGTGAAGTTTGGAGATTTGAAGACTTTGAACTCGGAAGGACGCAATCTCAACACTTTCCAATTCTATTCCATTGACATTGCTCTCAGCGCTCTAGCTATAATACTTGTTGTTGTGACTGTGATTTTACTGGTTGCCAAATTTATTTTAAGGAGGACATACGGATGGTTTTCCGGCGGTAAGAGTAAGATTGAGTGATGAAGAAATAAAGTGATTTGATATGAGCGAGAAGTGTGGAAATGCACCGAGAATCCGGAGCCAAAGATCGGTTCGGATATTATGGTGTTCCTTCGAATGATTGGCAATTCCAGTACGGCCTGAAGTTATCAGTGCGAATCTGAGAAAGTATAAAAAAAAACACGAAGAGCATGAGGAATTTCAGATACTTTCCAGCAGACAGAGAAGCTGCAAAACGTGAAACTCTTTTTTTTTTGCTGATTTCGTGAGTTTCATTTCATCTCCTTACAGAAGCGTACTATTATTATAGCAAAAGACTTCAGTGAGCCATCATCGGCCACTTTCTACCGTCACCGTTTTGGTCGGCCGGCCGAAAGTCGAGGCACATTCTTCCCCCGTGCTACCGTCGTCACACTGCTCCGCACGTACTTAATCCTGTCCAAATATGTATGCTATTCACCGGTCTGCAATTATTTCGCCGACAGCTTCCTCCTCCTTTCCGGCTGATAACAGATAGTAGCTATAAATAAGTGTGGATGGATTCCACTCGCCACTCATCAGAATGAAGACGGTCTTCGTCTTGTGTGGAGTCCTGGCTGTAGTGCTCGGAGCTCCTGAACAAGTGCACATTGCTTTCTACTCAAGTCCATGGGACATTTCAGTCAGTTGGATCACTTTTGATGCAGGTAACCTTGATTGAGGGTTATGCTCATATACTTGTGAGTGCTCTTCAGCTGAACCTTCATTGAGCTATGGAACATCAGCAGCTAACATGGCCAACATGACTGGAACCACGAACAGTTGGATATTTGGAGGAATCACGAGACACTCCCATGTGGTGATACTGAAAGATCTGAAGCCATCTACACAATACTGTAAGTGAAACTCCTTTGAAGATTATCAAATATTTTCAAATTCCATTCAGATTATCAAATTGAAAGTAGAACTTTCAATTTCCGAACATTGCCAGCTAACCTGAATTCCTATAAAGTTTGTGTTTTTGGTGATCTTGGAGTTTATAATGGGCGCTCGACTCAAAGTATAATCAACAATGGAATCGCTGGAAAGTTCGATTTTATTGTTCACATTGGCGACCTCGCTTACGATTTGCACAGTAATAATGGCAAACTTGGGGACCAGTACATGAACTCTTTGGAGCCAGTCATTTCTAAAGTGTCGTTTTGTCAAGTGCTCATTCTTACTTGAGAAGATTTCAGATCCCGTACATGGTAATTGCTGGTAATCATGAAAATGATGGCGCAAACTTTACCAACTTCAAAAACAGATTTGTGATGCCACCGACTGGATCCGATGATAACCAGTTTTACAGGTAACAGCAATCTGCAATTACTCAGAGAATTTTGGGGAAGGGTGCGGCACGTAGCAAGCGAGCTGCTGCACAGAATAGCACGGGTGCCGACTCCAGTGGGCACCCGTGCCGTTTTCTGCAGCAACTTGCTTGCTACGTGCCGCACCCTTGCTTGAAATTCTCTGAGTAAATGTTAGTTCTTCGTTTCAGTCTGGATATCGGGCCGGTTCACTGGGTCGGACTCAGCACCGAATACTACGGATTCGAGGAGCAGTACGGGAACGCGTCGATCTTCACTCAGTACAACTGGCTGAGTAAGGATCTGGCAGCTGCCAGCCAGAACAGAGCCGCCGTCCCATGGATTGCTCTTTACCAACATCGTCCGTTTTACTGTAGCGTTGCGGAGGCAGCAGACTGTACTCTTTATGAAAACGTAGTGGTAAGGAAGTTCTTCATTCTTTTCATTCACAATATTTTGTTCCAGCTGCGTCACGGAGCACTTGGACTTCCTGGTCTCGAACCAGAATATATCAAAAATTCGGTGGACATTGGGTTCGCCGGACACGTGCACGCTTACGAGAGGATGTGGCCAGTGGCTGATATGAAGTACTACAAGGGCACGGAAGCCTATCACAACCCAGTGGCGCCGGTTTACTTCCTCTCCGGATCCGCCGGTTGCCACTCTTCCGGAATGAAGTTCAGTCCGTTGCCAATGCCATGGAGTGCCCATCGAAGTGATGATTACGGATACACTATAATGACAGTCGCCAATCTGACCCATATTCATTTCGAGCAGATTTCGATTGATAAGAACGGAGCAGTGATCGATGAGGTGTGGGTGAGCAAAGACATCGGACATGTTCATTCGGAAGAGATGCGCGAGGAAGCCGTTGGTGAACGATTTTACTGAAATCATCATCATTCTTATTTAATAAATAGTCAGCGGGGTCTGTCCCTCTGTCTGTTTGTTTTTGTTCATTCCTTACCCACCTTTTCATTTCTAAAACAAAAATAGTCGTTTTCAAAAGTCGTGTTGCATAATGTGAACTTTGCTGTTGATGATGATAATAAAACAAAGAGAACGAACTTATTGCAAGATCAAAAAAACAGAACAGGACTGGACAGCATACAGACCTACTGTGCAAGATCTTCTAGCACTTCACTACAACATACATAGATACAGTGATCCATTCGCTGATGATACCAATCGTCTCGTTGTCTAATTCACTCCTCTCTCTCTTCCCTACTTAAATGATCGTTCTGTCAATTATCATTCGACTCGTAGATCTCATCATCATGTCACCCACTTCTTTCCTTCTTATTCTCTCTATCTTCAATTCATGTTTTGCCTACAACATTCTGGTTTTCTCTCCCGCAACCAGCAAGTCCCACTTGATATCAAACGGAAGAATTGCGGACGAACTCGTCAGAGCCGGCCACAAAGTGGTGAGTCATTCTATAGAAGAGGACAGAAACCAAAAGTGTACATTTTAGACTTTGCTCGAAATAGAATTTCTCCGAATATCAGATACTACAAAGAGTGCCGAACTCGTGAATAAGACAATAGTCAGAGATTTGAAGGGAGAAGCTCATTTCAAGAGAGTTCTGCTCAGTTTCTCGGAAAATGTCATGGAAGATGGGAGTATTCTCGACGATTTACAAATACAAAATTCCTGGCATGGCGCGTACATTGATCTTTGTGAAGGTCGGTGTACAGTTCTTATCTACATGCCGGAAAAGGTTCAAATTCAGAGTTTTTGACGAGAGACGATGTGTTCAATGAACTCAAAGCCCAAAACTTTGACGGATTTTTCGCAGAACAGCTCAATCTTTGTGGATTTGGATACGCGAAAGCGCTGGGAATCGAGCGGAGGTTCCTCATTTCCAGCTGTCCGTTCTTCGCTCCTGTCTATGATTTCACCGGGCTCCCCGCTCCGCTATCTTCGGTTCCGTTCGTCTCCGACATGAGTCCGGTGCCGACCTATCTGGAAAGAGCCAAATCGCTGCTCGCCGGAGTGGCTCATAACATCCTGTTCCGTGTTTTGAACAGCCGATTGACAACAATATTTCAGAAAAAATACGGGTGATTCATCATTGATCTTTTTGTTTTCTCAAATCTGTTTTGTGTTTATTGTAGGTCTGACTTCCCATCCGTGACGGAAATCGCGCGGGACGTCGACATAATCTTCTTGGCTACAGATGAAATTATTGACTTTTCGGCGCCAACTCTTCCGAATGTGGTGCACATTGGAGGACTAGGAGTCGATTACGACACATCCGAAATGGACCCGGTGTTCGAAAAGGAAATGAAGAAAGGCGAGAAGGGAGTCATATTCTTCTCGTTGGGAACCATCGCAAACACCACTAACATTGATAAAAAGGTTATGGAATCATTGCTGAACATTGTGAAAAAGTTCCCGGACTATCATTTTCTGATTCGAGCCGACAAGTATGATAGGAATACGAGGGAGAAGGCGAAGATGATCTCCAATGTGTTCGTGTCCGATTGGCTCCCACAGCCTGCCATTTTGCGTGAGTGAACGCCGAATTAAAACTACATTTCAAATCATTTCTGCAGATCATCCGCGCCTCCGCACTTTCATCACTCACGCCGGCTACAACGGCCTCGTGGAAGCGGCGCAAGCCGGAGTTCCGCTCATCACCATCCCCTTCATGTTCGATCAGAACCAGAATAGTCGAGCCGTCGAGAAGAAGGGCTGGGGGATCAGAAGACACAAGAAGCAGCTGCTGACGGATCCGGACTCCATCGAGCAGGCCATCCGAGAGATGCTCTCCAACCCGAGCTACACGAGACAGGCCCACCGGATCCGTGATCTGATCAAGAGCAAGCCGTCGGGAGCGCGTGAAAGATTCATAAAAACGACAGAGTGGGTGCTTCAGAACGGCGGCGTGCACGAGTTGCTTTCGGAGAGCCGCAACCTGAACCTCGTCACTTTCTACAACTTGGACATAATTCTCCCCGTACTTTTCGTTCTCGCATTTTTGATTTTCCCACTCCTGGGGCGTTTGTACTATTTCAGTTGTTTCGGGTACATTGAGATCAAGTCAAACGAGATTGATTGTGAAAATGAATAAATTAATTTAAAGTTATCACGTTTTGCGGGAGTTCACACGGACGGCCGAATACAAATGTGTGCCGTTCTTTGAGTTTCCAACTTCATCCGAAAGTTTCGAGATACTGAACCGGCATTGACGGACTGCCAGAAGATATTTGAAGAGCATTCTGAAACAAGTTTTCCAAGTTGCCGTTTTGAACTATAATATGTACCTTCTGAAAGGTATCACAAAAATAATTGATAGTATTGGGTCAATAAGTGTGGGAAGAATCACGAGAAAAGAGTTGAGATACTCAAGTAGAAGGCATCCCGAATCTGCAAAATCGTTCATTGGTCGGTCGATGGTCAATTGGATTGAAATCCAGCGCACCTGAGTACTGCGTGACGAAAAATTGTGCTATCAGCGGAAGAAAGCAGATACTCGGAACGAGCGTCTGGATCGTGAGCCCTGTGATCATGCTCTTCGCGTGTTTGATCCGCCGAGAATTGTACTCTTCGTACTCGTTCAAAAGCACCCAGATCTTACTGAAAACGACGAAAAAGAACGTGGTAAATGGGAAGGATACTCACTTCCGATATATGACAGCTGCCAGAGGATTTAGGAAAAGAACGATGGTGAAAATGATGGTGGAAGCCTTGACGGCCGGAGAGCGGAGCGCCGAAAAGCCGAAAACGGAATTCAATTCGAACAGATAGGAGGGATGGAGAGCCCGAGTTTCGAGCACAATTGCATTGTGATGCGAAGGATTTATGAACTGGCAAATGGCACAGAAAAGGGCTGGCAAGTGGACGAGAATGAAGTTGCGGACGACCTGTCCGGACGTCAGTTTCCGATGGGATAATATCTTGTATCGATAGTAAAAGACGTGAACAATTGCGAAGAGAGCGACCATTGAAGAAGCCTAGAGAATCCGAGATTCATAAAATTACGGTGGAAAAAACTTACATCTCTGAGCAAATGGAGCAGGAAGCACGTGTTTCTCCCCACTCTCGTACATATCCCAGTACAGACAAAAGCGACGGTGGTATGATTGGTGACCATTCTGCACTGCGTCAAGAATCCAGAGATGATCGTGACCACCTGCGCGGCACAAATGTTCAGAAGGTAAATCCGCATCGAATACAAAAGTTTCGTCTGATTCTTGAATATCAAAAAGAGGAGAAGAACCTGCGAAACGAGCACAGAAACTGCGAATATCGGATAGGCGACCCGTATGAACGCGAGCACGTCGACTTCATTCATGATGTCTGAAAATGGTAGGAAGTAAAACAACGGCTACGGCGGCGAAAAAACGGGTAAAAGTGATGACGAATCCGTGTGGATTACGGATGCTAATAGGTATAAGACGAGACGGAGACACATGATCAACTGAGTGTGAGAACGAGATGATGTAGGTGGGAAGAAGAAGAAAGAAAGAGCAGAAGAGGGGGGAGAACTTGATATTGTGTATGTATGTCTAATGTCGGCCTGAAAACTGAGAACTTCTGACTCGCGAGCTGTTCTTCGGAGTCCGCGCTGCACAACGCCCTCGAGCCATTCAAATATTGAAAATAAATTGAGGAGGGAGCAAGTTGAGCGGAAATGCGGAAGTGCAAAGAGATGGAAACGGACTCGGCGAGCTCGCTTTCGCACCCAATCTGGTTATGTTTTGATAATCTCGGTAACCCGAAAGAGAGAGAGAGAGAAATAGAGAGAAGAAGAGACTCTCACGGGTTTTCAATTTTATTTTTGAAATCCTTGGCTGGCCCCGGAATAGAAACACATTGAGTGGGCGTCGAGTGGGCGTCAAAAAAGTTGTGCGCCTAAAACAATTCGAGAGGAAAGAGCTGCAAGATCTTCGAGTTCTTCCCAACTTTAGAACATAAGAACAGGCGGCCGAGGTTTAGTCGAAATTAGTCGAAATTTGATATCTTAAGATTAGGCGAAACGGCCAAACTCCATATTCTGCACCACGTGGCGGCAACGCCAGAGGCGTCTGCTTCAGGCCTGAACAAACATTGGAATCTCATTTCCATGTGCTTTCTGCTTCTTCTCCGAACTCGTTTTGTCCTCCTCCTTTTCTGTTTTTCAGCTTCGTCACCAACTCATCTGATTGCAAAGAAGGGCGGGAAGATGTTTGCTGCGCACAAAAAAGCGGCGCGAAGGGCGTTTGTTTTGATATAGACGCGGTGAGAAGAAAGGGCGATGTCTACTTCGGAGTGGGTATGTTTTTATTCGGGAGCGGCGAGGACAAAGGGCAAGAAGGGGGAGGGCTACGGTAGTCTGGAGGCACGAACACATGCTCGTCGAGAAGCTTCGAAGTTATACTCTCACAAAAACAAACTTGTCGCGGTCCGCGTCGAGCCGGGCCAAGCAAGGCAAAATATAACTGATTGTGAGACACTTATTGTCAAAATCATAACTTCTTGTAATTTAGAGTATGAAAATTACGTTTTCCTGCTTGTAATGAGGAAAATCTGCAAAACATTCTTTTTTCAGACAATTTTTCAACAAACTATTTTCGACGAGTCTGGATAAAACTTTGAGGTAAAGTTGCAGTACAGGAAGAATTTTTTCCGGTTGGGGAATATGAAACGCAAAAACTGCAGCTTCACGTGCGTCCCTGAACGTGACCCTTGTGCTCTTGTGCTCATTGGAAGCAAACAATGATGTGGAACTCCTTGCACGTGCCATGGAATGTATTGTTCCGTCGTCCAGGGAAACGTTTGAATGGTCGCGAGAAAGAAAGACGAGCGGAGACAGAAGGAGAAGAAGGATGAGGTGCGGAGCATCAAGCGGAAGCACGAGGTGATCGCTCAGCAAGATCTTGCACTAAATGAGACACACTCTAATCGGGCCACTTACAGACGGAAAAGGTCGGCGTCTCCAAATTGGGTAGTTATCACGAGATGATGAAGAGAAACAGGCGAGAGAATCGGCTCGCGCAGATGATGCCCTTGACGGAGCAGGCGATCGTCGAGATACTCGGAAGGCCCGTGAAGGGATCTCCTCTCTACCCGGAGACCAACAACAAGCTCGTCAAACTCACCGTTCTGGAACTGGCCGATGACCTGCAAATCCCTGTTCTTGACCTTTAACCTTACTTGCCACGTTTTCCATTCCTTCTCACCCAACTTGTGACTTTTCATCTAAATTAGTTCAATGAAGTTTTCAAAACAACAACATCTTCCGTATGATTTCTATTGGTCCGCCGAGTCGAGATGGTAAAGTGGGAGGAGCCTCATGCACAAGCACATGCGACAAATCGTTCACTCTGTTTTTCTTTTATTCCACACCGACTCCTGCTTCTGAGGATGCCGCGCAAATGGGAAACGTCTTCCGAACATGCACTCGCCAGATGCATGTAGGTTTTTAATCAATGATCCAAACAAGGCCTGAACTTCTTTAGCTATCAGCGCAATTTGCACAATTCGAAGAAGAGCCATATTGCCGAAATAAGCGCCCTCTTTTCTCCGCTGAGCGTTTGCAAAGAACTTCGTCAGAATCTCAGGTGAGCATCTAGTGTTGTGTTTTTATCCTTTGAAAACGATTTTCTAGAAAGATTCGAGAGATCTTCGCTAGAAAGTGGCCTAATCCGTACGGCGCTGCAAACGGATGCCAACTCCGTCGAACTGTGAACTTTGGCCAGGAGAGAAAATCCATCTGGGCAACCGCAGATATTTCGAAGAACTACGAGCTGTTCCTAATGACGACGGTGAAAAGCGGCAAATCTGGGAAGGTGAAGAAGGAGCCTTGTTCGAGAGAGTCGTCCAAAGAAAGCAATGAATCACAGGAGCCGGAAGAACCAGAACTAGAAGCTCAGCCATCCGATAGGAACGTCCCAGCGCCAACGGAGTTCCACTGGGAATCTCCTGTTTTTCCGCAGCCAGTCGCTCCGATTCCCGCTCCGATTCCCGCTCCGATCCCCGTGCCGTACCCAACGGTCCTTGCCGATTATCTGAACCATGCCTTGTATCCTCAGCCGTTCATGGACCCACTGCACATGTTCCCTGTTCCTCCGATGTTCTTCCCCATGAACCCTCTGTCTGCCCCTGCTCTCCAGAACTTTCCCAATACACATCCAGCACCGCTCTTCAGATACGATCCGGGTAAGTACTTATGTTCTATCCTTATTCCTACGACTTTATCTTCAGAAATGGACGGCTTCTATCATGACTATCATCAGAGATACACTTGGACAACTGGCCACCACAACCACCACTAGAACTCGAAAATAAGTGCTTGTTTCGTTCATTTTTTCATTCATTATTCCTTCAATAAAGTGAAATAACTATTTAGCATTGAATGAAAACTTTGATGACATCAGCCTTCTGCGAGCGCTTGAATGCCTCGTGCACTTCTTCCAGCTTGTAATGGGCACGAGTCAGTCCGGAAAGATCCAGTTTGGCGGAAGCAATGAGTTCCAGAGCTGTTGGGTAGCTGGAATTAATAAAGATTCGAGGAAAGTGCGCGGGTTTCTGCACCAGTTGACATATCTGAATATTCCACGGAGATCGACTTCTCTTGTCGCCGACTCGATGATCGGAATCTCAACTCGATCCGATCCCAATCCCACCAGAACGATCACACCGCCCGACCTCGTTGTCTGAAACTCTTCTTCGTTTTTCTTGTTTCCAATCTGTCTTCTCACCGTTATCGCCGTCTCGATACTAGGCTGCGCACCGGTACACTCGATGCTGACGTGCGGCTGCTGATCTCCTAACGCACTGATTATCTCCGCTCTCACCGTTTCCAATGATTTACCCCTACAATAGGAACAGATAATAGTTGCTCAGTGGTAGGTGCCTGACAGTACCTAACATTGATCGTTGCATCAGCTCCCAACTTCTTTGCCAATGCAAGACGTCCCTCATCCAAGTCCGTGATAACCACACGTCCGGCTCCAACCGCCTTTGCGGTGAGCATATTCAGAACTCCAATTGGCCCGGCACCGAGAACCAGTATTCGCTGACCCATTTGCACATTTCCACGACGACACGCGTGAATGGCAACGGAGAGCGGCTCGAGAAGAGCTCCTTCTTCGAACGAAACATTGTCCGGGAGTCTGAAACACACTAAACTTCTTCGTAGTTACAAGTTTAGCTCTCACTTGAAACAGAAGTCAGCGTCATGAGCCACAAATCTAGCGAGGGTGCCGTGAATTGGCGGAGTGGCGAAGAAACGCATTTCCGGGCACAGATTGTATCGGCCGGTCTTGCAGTGTTCACAGAGTTTGCACGGAAGTCCGGGCTCCATCGCAACTCGATCGCCGACCTTCAGATGTGTCACGGCGCTGCCCACTTCGGCCACAGTTCCAGACGTTTCATGACCGACAATCTGAAAATGTGAGGTTTAAAAGGAAATCATATTGGGTGATGTGCATCGTACCATTGGTTCTTTCACAATAAACGGTCCAATGGATCCATGAGTCCAATAATGAACGTCACTTCCGCAGATTCCGACGGTGTGCACTCTAACGAGCACCTGATTCGGAAGAGGTCTCTGAATGGGAACTTGCTCCAAACGGAGGTCATCGACTCCGTGAAGGACGGCGGCCAGATTGTCCTGGGACATCACGAGAAGCTTTCGAGTGGGAGCCGAATGACCGAGAAGAGAAAGAAGAAGACAACGAATGTTCGCATTCTCCGTTATCTATCTCTTTCTTGATTGATAATGATAACAGCACGTGTTTCGAGAGATAGTGTGGACTTGATGAGACTGGGTGCAAACCAATCGATTTCCGGAGGGACTCGATCATTTTAGCGAGAACAGAAGATCCCTGGGGTTGACAAAAGCACAGTAATTGCCTACAATAAAAAGAGGCAATAGTTATTGCGTTTTTTTTTACATCCTTCCCATCATCTGTGAATTCACGAATGTTTTTCATCAAGTTATTTCTACGCTACACAATCATCACACAACCTTTTCTGTTCTGGTTCTACTTACGTTCTCTGATTTAATGTCAGTCGATACTCCGGAGACGCAGACACTACAATGTGGCCGACTCAATGTATCGATCGATGCGCTACACACCTGAATGTACACTACATTCCGTCTACTGTACACTGTTTTGCCTACTTCGTATTCTCGCACCTCGCCACAATACAATCTTCTTCAATACAATCTTCTCTTCTTTTCTCCTAACTTCCACGTTTTATTTCAACAATATCGATAGAATGGGCGAGCACAAAAATGAATCATTTATGGAATCGAAGCCAGAACCGACTACTTCATCGTTTCGGGGCAGATATGCTAAACCAAAGTGCGCAATTTGCCACGAGGACGGCGACGGACTGCACTTTGGCGCTGACGCTTGCAGGTGAGAGAGAGAGAGAGAGAAAACAGATACTATTTGATTGATCACGCTAAATTTGAAATTTTTCAGAGCATGCACTGCATTTTTCCGCCGGACCGTCGCCTTGAACAAGACATATGAGTGCAGAAATGACAAGAATTGCGAAGTTTCATCTAGTTAGTTTCGGTTGCTGCTCTTCGAAATACCAACAATTACAGATATCCGTTGTATCTGTCGTTCCTGCCGATATGATAAGTGCATTGACGTGGGAATGAAGCCGGAACTTGTGCAGAATCGGAAAGACGGCGCCACTGAAGAGAATCTCGAAGTGGCCAGATTGAACTCGAGCAGTGCTCCGCTGCAGTCTCTTTCAGTCGCCCCGATACCACAGGCACCAGTGGCGACCACAGCGACCTCACAACTTTTCGACTTCTCATTTTTCCAATCTCGGCCTTCCACCAGCTTCTCACCTTTCCCTCTTCCGGGTCTTGTGATCTCTCCGTCGTTGGAGAGTATGCCACTTCTGGAGAGAATGAAGATCAATTACGAGAAGATGGAAAGTGCTAGAACTGTGATTCATAGATGGGAAGGAGACAACATCTTCCAGCAGAAACAGCCGAGAGCATTGACGTTCCGGCAGGCGGCAGAAGTGACGACGAAGGAAGTCTCGCTGGTGGCCGACTGGATCGAGTGGTGCTTTGACGACTTCTCGGTGCTACCGTCGGATCAGAAAACGATACTCTTTCAAAACTTTTTCATATATTTCACTATGCTAGAGAGAGGTTATGCAACTTTTAAAAGCGGTAAGCGTCTGTCTATCAAACGAGTACTTAATTGCAGTTTCAGGCAGAGAAAATGTTGTTGTGATGGCTTCGAAGGATTACGTTGATATCGGAAACCTCGAAGTGTTCTTTGGAGAGTGCCTGACTGACTCCTCTTGTACACCCGAGAAGCTGGCCAAGTAAGTCACTGCCTAATTCTGGGGTTAGCTCAAAGATCTCAAGGATTTGCAGACTCATTCGACCGTCTTTCGACCTTCAACAAAAAAGTCTATTCAATTTGATACGAATAGAAAACGTGGATATCTACGAGTTCTTCGCCCTTTGTGTACTCCTTTTCTGGGATTTCGGCCTGGATGGACAGAGTGACGAGTGCAACGAAGTGGGCAGAAAAGTGAAACAACGAGTCACCAGGGAGATGACATTCTACTTGAGACACGTGAAAAAGCACGAGGAGCCGCTGTTCCGGATGACCGGAGTCGTCTCTATTCTGCCGACATTACAGGTAAAGTGCCAAGACAAAATTTACTAAGACAATTATATTTCAGCGAGCTGTTCGTAGATTTCAAGAGGACATCGAGATGGCTCATCTCTGGAACATTTATGCTCTGCCCGAAAACTTTTACAATATAGTCAATGGAAAGTTCTCGACATAAATCATACTCGATCTCTTTCACTCACAGCCATTACAAATGAACAGTATGCCTTGATCTCAAGCCAATCGATACTCATTTCGCCGCCACAAACTACTCGTATCCGCTCTTTGGTCGCTTGTCCGAGGCTACTAACTCGGCTACAAACTACACGCCGCCCGTCTCTCCACACACTCTCTCGCCCTTCGTAGCCTTTCCTCTCGCCACACATCAGTACACAAACACACGCACAACACCTTTTCTATTATTCACTCTCTCTCTCTCTTTTTCACTGTGGTTTTCGTATTTCTCAATGAGCACAGAAGAAGGAAAAGTCGAACCGTTTCTCAAATTGGAGCCAGTTTCATCGCCCGGCTCTTCAGTGAACTCGTACCGAGGAAGAGGTGAGAAACCGAAATGCGCGGTTTGTCACGAGGACGGAGATGGATTGCATTTCGGCGCTGAAGCTTGCAGGTAGGAAGGGAAGCTCCGGAATTTTCGAAATTTGTTGGATTCAGAGCTTGCACCGCTTTCTTTCGCCGCAGTGTGGCGCTCAACAAAACGTATAGATGTAGAGTCGATGGGCACTGCGAAATAACATCCAGTAAGTTGCAGATTGAAACGAAACAGTACAAAAATGAGTTCAGACATCCGATGCATGTGCCGTTCGTGTCGATATGATAAATGCATTGATGTGGGAATGCACCCGGAATTCGTGCAAAACCGACGGGAAACTATAGGGAAACGAGATGAAGATCCCGTCAAATCGATCACTTCTCCGCCTTCTTCTGCGTCCACATCAACCTTTCCAACTACATCATCGGCCGCTGCTCTTCTAGACTTTTCCCTTTTCAAATCTGAATCTCCGAGCAGTTTCACCGCATTCTCGCTGCCTGCGTCTCTGCCCGGTCTCGTCATCACTCCGTCGTTAGAGAGTATGCCACTTCTGGAGAGAATGATGATCAACTACAAGAAAATGGAGAACGCGAGAAGTGTTATTCACCGGCTCGAAGGGGAGAACATCTTCCAGCAGAAAGTGCCGCGTGAAATCAACTTCCGGCAGGCTACAGAAGTGACGACAAAGGAAGTTTCCCTGGTGGCCGACTGGATCGAGTGGTGCTTCGATGACTTTTCGGTGCTTCCGGTCGCTCAAAAGACGATTCTCTTCCAGAACTTTTTCATTTATTTCTCAATGCTCGAGAAGGCGTTTATGACAGTCAGAAGTGGTGAGTAGTATTCTGTTATTGTTTGTCAACTGATTATGTTTCAGGGAGAGATAATGTTGTGGTGATGGCATCGAAGGATTACATCAATTACGCGAATCTTGAGAACTTCTTCACTGAACTTGATAAGGAAAAGTCGGCGAGTCCGGAAGAGTGTCTAAAGTAAGTGGTCGATTGTACTAGAGTACGGTTTCGATGAATGATGTCTAGAATTTGCAGACTGATTCTGCCGTCGTTTGAACTTCAAAAGAAGAGTTTGTTCAACTTGATGAGGATAGAAAACGTGGATATCTACGAGTTTTTCGCCCTTTGTGTTCTTCTTTTCTGGGATTTCGGCCTCGAAGGACAGAGTGACGAGTGCAACGAAGTGGGCAGAAAAGTGAAACAACGAGTCACCAGGGAGATGACGTTCTACTTGAAACACGTGAAAAAGCACGAGGAACCACTGTGTCGACTGGCCGCCATCGTTTCGATTCTGCCGACACTGCAGGCAAGCGCTCTTTCACTCAATCTTTAAAGAATACGTGCAGAACTTGCAGAGAGCTGTGCGACGTTTCCAAGAAGACATCGAAATGGCGCACATCTTCAATGTCTACGCCCTTCCCGACGATTTCTACAATATTGTTAACGGGAGGTTCGGCTGATAAGTATTTCGAAATGAATAATGAACATTTATCACTTGTCTTGAACAAAAAATAAATAAAATCGAAGTGTGATGTGATATGAGCGAGTACGTTCAAAGTCACGTAGACTACAACCTACGAGCGTAGTCTCTTCTTCTGACCTCCTCAACAGGCATTCTTTTCTCTTTACCACTGTCGTCTCCATACTTCTCTTTTCCTCTCCTATTTCCCGATCTATGGAGCCAGAAAGATCGGAGAAGTGCAGTCCGAAGCGGAGAGGTGAAAAGGCAAACTGTGCGGTGTGTGACGATATCGGAGATGGATTCCATTTCGGCGCCGAAGCTTGTCGGTTTGTTCTTTGCTATTTGAACTGACAACTTTATAATTTTCAGGGCGTGCGCAGCCTTTTTCCGTAGAACTGTGGCACTTGGAAAGGTGTACGAATGCAGACAGAACGGATATTGTACAGTCAATTCCAGTGGGTTCTCCTTTTCCAGCTTGTACGTTCCATAAGTGAATCATAACATTATCTTTAAGTCATTCGCTCGATATGCAAGTCGTGTCGTCTTAATAAATGCTACCAAGTGGGCATGAAATCGAGTTGTGTTCAACCGAGAAGGGACATATTGGGCAAGCGAGAAGAGGAAACGTTCTCAGATTCAGTTCCGAGCACAGTTTACAATCTGCCGCCTGTTCCATCTTTCGAGACGATGCCAATACTGGAGAGAATGAGGATGAACTACGAGAAACTGGACAATGCGAGGAGTGTGATTCACCGAAGAGAAGGAGAAAATATGTTTGAGCCGAAGGTCCCGAGAGCTCTGAACTTTCGAGAAGCTCTGGAGATGTCATCGAAAGAGATTTCCCTGGTGGCCGATTGGATCGAATGGTGCTTCGACGACTTTGGCTTGCTGCCGGTCGACCAGAAAACTATTTTATTCCAGAACTTCTTTCCCTACTTTCAAGTTTTAGAACACGCATTTCTCACATGCCAATATGGTAGATTCCAATGAAATTGAGAAGAGAAACGTGTCTTATTTGTCAGGAAGTGATGACCGAATGGTACTAGCATCCAAAGATTACGTGAATGTGCAGCAACTAGAAGAGTTTTTCAGTGATTCCCATTTTGAAGTGGGTGGTCGGAAACTTGCTGAGTGAGTCGGAAAATGTCGATTCTTCAACCCCCTCTCAATCCAGAATCTTCAAACATACAGTGGATCTTCAAAATCGCAGTCTGCACAGATCGATAATAGCGGAGTGTGTTGATTTTTATGAGTTCTTCGGGCTCGTTGCCCTTTTGTTCTGGGACTTCGGCCTCGATGGACAATCGTCGGAATGCAATGAAATCGGCCGAAAGATCAAGTTGGCAGTGTCCAGAGAGATTAATTTCTATCTGACACACGTGAAACAAGTGGAAGAGCCGTTGTGTCGAGCGGCGATGATAATCACCATCCTGCCATCCCTCCAGGTTTGACTCACAATCGGAAAATGCTAATAGTAAGATTTCAGAGGGTCGTGCACCGATTCCGAGAGGATATCTCGCTTGCTCATATCTTCGATGTCTACACCATTCCTTCTAATTTCTATAATGTGTTGAATGGAAGATTTTCCTAACTGCTGATTTATGAAAACATTGTTCCGCATCCCCCACATTTTCAATGACCCCCGCGTGCTCCGGTTGCAACGTCACAGTCATTCTTCGTTTTCCCATTCCCATCACCATGAGCGCAAAAACGATGTACTACACGGAGAGCAACGTGCGATTACTGTCGCGTGACTCACGCCATCAACTCTCCGCTTCCAGGAGCACTTCGCTCTCGTCTTCGCCTCGTTCGCCAGCATCATCGTCATTCTCATATTTGCGCTGAGAGCTCAAAGAAAACGGATTTATGAGGATAACCTCTTCAAACAACGCATGCTGCTCGGCCAACTTTTCGACATGTACATGGTGTGAGTTCTTTCAGTTAGAACAGTGTTGTTTGATCTGATCTGCAAGTTTCCGCGTGCGGAAATTGTCGTTAAACCCACTTGAACATTGAACGATCGGTTCCTTTCAAACTATAATCTCTTTTTCAGGCGCTATGAAATGTTGAAGATTCGGCTGAAGCAACTCGAAGACCACCGACGCGTCTTGAAAGAAGGAAGAGAGCCCGATCAGGAATAGGATGAGAATTGCTTGTTTATAACATTTATAACAATAGTTTATTGCACAAAAAACGAAATGAAAATGAACCGTTTTGGAGGAACATACATACAGAAATGCAATGAAACATGCAGCATTATAGACGCTCTCAAGAGACCAATTTCGATTGCGATGTTTTCTCCTGTTGCTCGAATCCGTCATTATCGAAGACGTGTCTGGCCAGTGGTCTCATGGGAACAAGTCGTTTATCGAAGAGAATCCAGAGGAATGTGGTGAAGAGCAGCAGGAGACAAAGGAATTCCCACGCTCTTCTCGGGCCAGACGACATGTAGATCATTCTGAAATCATTACGAACTGATAGTGAGAGCAAAGATCGTTTTCATTTCTTACGTGATAAGAATCGGAGCAAAAATGCGAGCCATAGTGTTCGAAATGTCATAGAGACTCTGCTTAGTTCCTTGGCAATCTGGATTGAGAAGTTTCGAGTAGAGAGTGGCATTTGCCACGTTGATGAACGGCATGAAGAGGCCGAAACTGAGAACGTAGCCGACGTAGAAGGCCCATTGAGGAGAGACGGTCAGGTCGAGACACCAGAGGAAGTGGGAGTCGTCGCATCCAGTCAGCGTTTCGTTTGAGAACTGTTCGGAGAGCACGGAAGTTCCGTAGAACTGCCAGGAGTAGGTGGCCAGAAGATGGCAGACGAAGAAGAGGAGAACAAGGGAGTTGAAGATCTTGTCGCGGACTCTGAAAAAGCAAAGATACAGAGGAGAAGCTAAATAACAGAAAAACTGACATTGCCGACAATTTAGTGAAAATGATGAGGAGATAGAGGACGGTGGCGATGAGCCCAGTGATCAGATAGGTGGTGGCCATGCTGGCGACTGCTTCCTGAAATCCTCTCGGTACCTGCCTGGTCGTTGCTATGAGCTAGCTTTGAACGAATTGCTGACTCACTCCAAACATTGAAAAGGCTATTTTAAAGACCAACAATAGAAGTTTCGTGGGAACGTTTGTCGTCACGAATCTATTCATTCGCTGCTTACCTGTCTCGTCTGGAAATACATCATCATCAGAATGGCGGGAGCCAGCGTCTCTATCGAAATTTGCATAAAGTTTTGAACGAAACGGGTGAGCATACAGATGAACATTGCAATTTTATCCGCTCTCGGGTACTCTTCCTGAAGAATAGTGGTCAGGGGAAATCTTAAAAAAAAACCTTTTGAACCTTGACAGTGTTGTACTGATTTTCGAAGTCTGCAATCGTAATGGCCATCTTGTCCGAGTCTTCAGCGGATTCCTCCTCGAAAAATATCATGAGCGACACAAAACCGATCATAGTCAAGACGATGCCAAGGAAAGCGGGGGCGTTGTTGGAGTGGAGCGAGAGAAGGCCGGGAAGAAGAACGAATCCAGTCTCTCCGAGCGGCAGGAAGATTAGTTGGAGGCCAGGGCCAACTACAGTACCCACGGAACGGCCTCCCGAGATGGAAGCCATCGCTTTCGAACGATCGGAGGAAGTGGAGTGGAGAGAGGCGCAAGTTCTCATCGGGCTCGAGTTTCCCATTCCGAGACCGCCCAGGAGCCGGGAGAACATCATGAGATGAGCGACCCACGTGGCAGGCACGCAGTCGATGAACAGGTAGACGATGTTGGAAGCGAGCATCAGAAGGAAGCCGCAGTGCATCGAAGGAGAGCTCTGGAAGCAAAGATCGTTTGCGAGGGAAGAACGAACAAAAACAAAAACCTTTCTAGATTTACTATTCCACCAGCCCAAAACAAAACATCCGATGCAATGGCCGAGACTCGAGGTGGCCATGATCCATCCGAACTGTGACTCGATGGCGGTGGCGTCCAACTTCTTGAGGTACGAGAACATTGTCGTCAGATAGATTGAGTACTGCGTGTTCTGAATGAGCGAAAAGGCGCCCATCAGGTAGACGACCCTCCAATTGGTGCGCTCGCAGGGCATTTCGACGGCTGCAAAGGTAAAATGAATGCGGGCACGGCAAGCTAGCGACGGAATAATAAAACCGTCCCAAAGGGCGAGCGCCGTTCTCGACCACCTCCGCTTTTATATATGGTTTCACTCAAACTTTTAAAGTTTCATCAAGTGAAGACTGGTTGTTTACTGGTCCCTGTCCCATTCTCCCTTTTCTTTCCCTTTTTTGTCTTGATCCTCCGAACCGGTCTGGTCAAGAATGTGTGGGAAGAAAAAGAGGTGAGAAAAGCGGTCGACCCAGAAAGAACGGTTTGTCACTGACAACTGCTGCTTTTATATTCCATCTGGGAGGTAAGCTATGAATACATTTAGGCACACTTGGTCTTCCGTTGATCAGGTTCTGCCGCGTCACCTGATGTTTGCCGATTTCTCTCTGATCAAACCGTTGACTCCAACTGAAATCGAAAGCCCTGAACTCATACTGAGTGATATCATCGAACCAGTTTTCCAGCATTTCCCGGCTGAAAAGACCACACACGCGGAACCAAACCTGACTCATTTTCCGCGTCCGCGCCGTCATCGAGTAGCCGATGCAGCTCTGTTCGGGTCATTTGAATATCAAACAGGAAGAGACACTTTTCGATTCGCTGTTTCCCCGCTCCCTTTATATATATATATCTTTCTTTGTTTCCCAAACATTTCCCGTTACGTTCACGCGAACATGCTCCGATTGTTCTCTCCATTTCAAATATCATTTTGCAATGCGCACCTTCGTTGCCCTTTTGTGCGTTCTTTTCTCTTGTTGCTTTGCAAATAATTGTGAGCATTCCTTCGAATTAAAGCTGACAATAAGCTGAGAATTGCAGCAAGTACTTCGACAAGCCCGACCACAGTAGTGCAAAGTACTACTAATGAGATAGTGACTACTACCACCTCCCGGGCTACGGATCCCGGGATCACTACAGAAATCATTACCACAAGCACACAGTGAGTTTATCTTTCTCGTCACCGTAGAAAGACCGAAAAATCAAAAGTTCGTTCACCGCAAAGAGTATACCGCTGATCACATCGCCGCTGTTTTCAGCCCGTCCACCACTCCACCAGCACCTCCCAATTCGTCCATTTCTTTTTCCACCCTTGTTCACCGAACCTCTTCTACTTTGCCGCCCCCGAAGAACGAGAAAGTGTATGTCAAATGCCCGAAAGGATCGCTGACAGAGTATGGAACGGAAGGATCAGGGAAGAGTGGGTCATGTAACAGTGCGGAGGAGTGTCTGAAGGTTGGACCAGCCAGCAACATGAGTTTGAGATTAGAGTCAGTCCTTTTTCGTTTTCATCTTCATAATCGGTTAGGCTACTGTCCCGTGGTCAACCGAGTGCTTTTCAGGAAAGAATAACTGCATTCGTGTTCGCTCCTCGTTCATACTTTTCTGTACAGTTCATTTTTCCTGAAAAGCATTCGGTTGACAACGCGACAGTCCTCCATTCAATGTTTCAGCGTGACATGTGTGTTTAACCCGGATCAAACTGCTTCTCGCTGTTGCTACAGTAAGATTTCGCCCCCGAAAACCCTGTACCGTCTTTTTTTTCAGGAGACACCTCCCATTTCTGTTCCCAGGGCGTTTCAATTCTTCCTTCTGAAAAGTGCGAAACAATCGATGACTGTAACACGCGGGAAGTGCACACAACGCAGAGATGGTGTGATCCGGTATCGAAAATGTGTTGTCGAAGTACGCACGGCTTCAGAGACGAATGAGGAGGAATGGGTTTGCAGATCAGTACAAGGAAGAGCACGAACTGTATTGCGCGGACGGAGTGACCGCGTTGATGAATGAGCCGATTTGTGCTGGCTACAAACCAGGGAATATGAACAGTGGAATCTGTCCGATACCTTTCGGAGTGTGCTTGCACGGACATTGTTGTCCACCCGGTAAGAAGTACAATATCATTCAAGACAACATTTCATACTTCAGTGTACGAGAAGAGCATCGAGAATGCGTTCGAAGGGACTCCGTACCGAACGAACACGAAATGCTCGAATAGCACTGTGATAGACGAGAAACAGATCGGAGGCTACTGTGATCCGGAAACTGCAAGAGTGTTCATAATGGGGGCAGACAACTTTCATGGACAGCCGAACAAACAGATTCATTTCTTCTGTTTGACATCCAGGTGAGATGGGCATCAGCATGACTTCGACTCTATTTAAATTCAGAGATTGTGGTCAGACTTTCGGAAAGGACAATGTTTGTGTGCGTCTGAAACGACGAACACAGGCGTGTTTCGTCGATCCGAATGTACTGTTCTTCACACTTTTCATAAAATCTGCTGCTTTCTCGTTTTCAGTTCGAGTACTACATTCCGAAGAAGCCGAATCTCGTTCTAATCTCGACCGTCAGTTTCGTGGCCCTCGGCACTTCGCTTCTCGCCCTTCTCTTCTCCGTTCTCTACCGAACACTGGAAAGGGACGACTCGTTCCCCGGAGAGGCTTCAGAATCGCAACGCCCACTGATCTCTCAGCGAGGATCCGCACAAAGCTAAACGAAATTTAAATGATTCATTTTTTCGACTTTTTGTGTGATTTCACAAGAGTCTTGACATCTCTGCGATGCAGTATCGAATCTTTGGTGAGCGCTTCTATGGCTGCCGTCGCGACGGCTTCTTGGCGACGTTGTTGAAGGGCTTCTCGGTATTGCACTGCAAGTTTTCTCAAATGTTTGAAATTTCTAATCGAATCTGGACCCCACTGGAATGGATTATGAGGAGACCGCCCCACGCGATCGACCAGAACCATCCGACGAACAGAAATGTGATTGTGAAGAATTGGGAAATGCCGACGAGCAGGTTGACGACGAGAGTGATCAGTTTGCGGCCTTCTTTCATGTTTATCCGAGGCTGGCCCATGCAAAGGGCAGAGAATCCCGATATTATCGTTCCTAAACTTTGAGGCTTTGTGGAAACTGACGTTTTCTAATGATTACCTGAGCCCGGAATGATTATATTGAAGAGAAGACAAGTGATGGCCACTGGGACCGGGAGAAATGGAATCGCTTCGTGCATTGTCGTGATGTCGTTCGTCGGCAGATTCACCTAGAATTGAATATTAAATGTTTCGAAATTAGATCGACCCACTTTGTCTCCGGATTTGGGCTCCTTCTGGGTGTGCGCCTCCTCTTGAGCCGCAATCACAATTCCAGTGATATTGAACGCATTCTGCTGCACGTTCACCTGCAGAATACCCTCGGATCTTCCGTACTCGATAATCCGCGGAATCGTCTTCTGAACCAGCTTCCATCCGCGCACTTTTTCCGCTGAAAATCATCATCGACTGGACGATCTGAATGCTGCTGAGGAACTTACAAGTCTGAAGGATGTTCGCCATTCCGTCGGCCACATTCTGTATCATTGTGCGCAAAAAAAGTAATACGAAGGTTGAAAGGGGAGAGAAAAGAGAGGAATAAAAGAAGGTGGTCAGGTAGATGGAGCGGAAAAACGAAGGAGAAGCGGGAGAGGGGACTTCCGGAGCACGACAATTATGAGAAAGGGAGCACTGCATGACAGGTCGCATCTTGTCTGCGAATGCGACTTTTCTGAGGGAATCGAGCTGGCATAAATGTTACATATGTCACATAAACTTTATAAGCAATAAGGAAGTCTAAAGATCTGTACAAATTTTTGAACACGTTTAGAAAACAGCAGTTGCGGGCGGAGACACTCTTTCCACAAATCCGTCAATGATTTCCGGCAACGCTGGGGCCCGACAAATGAACTTGTGGCCAAATCCGAACTCCGATGAGAACTCCTGATACTGAATGTCTCGATCCGCTTTTTCGCCGCCGCGTATAACGCTCTGCCCAGTTTGACGGGCAGAATCTTGTCGTCTTCAGCGTGGAGGATAATGATCGGGCAGGAGACTCTGAAATCCGTCAGTTGTCAATGAAACATCAAAACGCGCGTACAATTGGATTCGTTTGTCCGATTGCATGGTAAGCCCGACACTGTTTAACGGTCGGATAATAATGCGGTCGACCATGGAGTCGTTCATCCAGCTGAATATTGTGAAGATCGGATGATTTGTGACCGCGTCTTTCAGGTTGTTGAACGGCGATTCGAGCACAAGACCGCACGGCGGCTGCTTCTCCTCCGAAAGATCTTTTACCAACTTGCAGGACACCCTGATAATGATGTTTTGGCGCTTCGCTTGCCAATCCAAACATACCCGGTTCCCATAGAATGTCCCCAGACGATGACGGGCGTCCTTCCGCTTCTCTCCTTCACCCACTCGTAAACTATGCGTGCATCATTGACAATGCCCTTCTCGGTGGGAGTTCCCTCGGAATCTCCGTAGCCGCGATAGTCAAAACAAATGACGTGGTAGTTGCGCTCGCTAAGCAAATTATACATCTCGACACGGTGATAGAAGGTTCGATCGAAGGAATTGCCGTGCGCGTAGACGATGATCCTATAATTACTTGTTTATTTATCCTCCGTTCCCCGAATGATGTCATCTCACTCACTTATGTTCCGAATCTCTCAGCATGTCTTCGAAGTCGGCGTCAACCGGGTGACGTCCTTCCGTACGCCATTCCAAACTCAATTTATGCGGCAGAATATGCCAAACTCCGATTTTTCCACCACTTCCGCGCAAATGGAACGACCTTCCGATCGAATTGACATTGTTTGATGGCAGATCGTTGTAATCGGTGTTTGGTAGACGGCCTGCGAACGAGATATGTCCGATAAGAGATAAGATAAGCGAAAAAACTTACGGAAATTGAGGAAGAAGATGAACTGTATGTATTGCGGGAAGAAGTATACCAGTATTGGAAGGAGAACGACGATCGAAACGACCAGAAGAGTGATGATTAGCAGAAGGGGCTGAATAAGTGTGCTGAAACTGCAATCTATGAGGAACGTGACGAAATAGTGACAAAAAGCTTACATAAAATAGCCTAGCATATTCGTTAATTAACTGCTGCCATCCGAGTAGTTGAAGCACCTGAATGCAGACGAAATGAAGCAGAGAGAAAGTGAAAATAACTGGAAATTATATCTATCTAGCAGAGAAAAGAGAGAAGAGGAGAAGTAGAGACGCATAAACACACGAGGAAACACCATCAAACGCGCCTTCTTCGTTTCCAAATGAATGGCTAAACCGCTATCGATTTTTTGCGTCCTGTTTGTACTTGATGATGGTCAACGCACGCACCTGACCGCCGACTGTCGTTTTTTTAATGCGCAGTTGGAAAAAGCTTATTTTGCGGGTTACGGTCTGCAAAGTGTGTGAACACAGCTCGTCAAGACTACGTACTTTCGGTAATGAGTTTCGTTTTTTAGAAAATTCGACAACTCTTTCGTTTCTGATTCTGACTCTTCTTTTCTTTTTCAACATTTCATAATTTCACTTGTCATTATAATTTCGCACAGTCTGTTACAGCTTGACTAAACCATGACGACTCTTCGGCCGTTCGATGTGATGGATCTCTTCAAATTTAATAATGTCAACCTGGACATCAACACGGAAACTGTAAATTAGCTTTGAAGATGGCAGTTGTAACCTTTAAAATATTTCAGTACGGCTTCAGCTTCTATTTGCACTACATGCTCAACTGGCCTGAGTATTATCAGGTGGCCGAGCATCCGAACGGCGAAATTATGGGATACAGTGAGTTTTTTTTTTGTAAAATGACGCGCTGCTCGTCGAAAAAAATTTAAAGTGTTGCCAAATGTCTGACATTTGAATGTTTGTGTGTTTCAGTCATGGGAAAGATCGAAGGACGCGACACCGATTGGCACGGGCACGTCACCGCCGTCTCCGTTGCTCCGAGCTACCGCCGTCTGGGTCTTGCCGCCTATATGATGGACTTCTTGGAGGGAACTTCCGAAGCGTAAGGTAAATTCCTTCTCATCCAACCTCATCGCTCTATTTTATAGGCGGAATGCGTACTTTGTCGACTTGTTTGTTCGCCTTTCCAACAGAGTTGCCATCGAATTGTACACGAAACTTGGCTACGTCATTTACCGCCAAATCATAGACTATTACACAGGAGAACGAGATGAAGACGCTTACGGTAACTATTACTACAGTCTTATTGTCGTAACCCCAGAAGGCAAAATTGTAGATATGCGAAAATCGTTGTCTCGCGATCCGGAGAAGTCGGCGATGATCCCACTGCCTCATCCTGTTCACAGTCGAGACTTGGACTGACTAGGCATCGACTTCTTGGTTCTATTCGTTTTTGTGAATCTAATTTTCTTGCTTCTATCAATTTTTCTGTCTTAGACTATTTTCTCTTTTTAGACTTGTTTTTATTTATTTAGTCCGTTCTTTCCATTATTCCCACTGAGATGTGAGTTAAAATGTTCGCAACAAGCTGATTGGCATCCAAGTTGTTTGCATCCACGACAATCACATTGCTCTCGTCGCGTTCGGGAAGTTCCAGCGTCGCCAATTGACTTTCGAGAAGTGACGAGGGCATGAAATGACCAGCACGCGAGGAGAGCCGCTTCTCGAGAATTTCCCTGAAAACCCGGAGAGTAGGGTGTGAAAACGAGTGTGAAAATGAGAGGACGGAAGTGAAGGCGAATTTGAGTTGTTTGTTGTGTGTAAAAGGGTCGTCGGGCTCTCTTTCACATTCGGGCCACCCCACTCGCCTCTTTATATTCAAAAGAAAGAAATTGGCGGCGACGCGTTCGGACAGCACTGTCCGGTACGATTTTTTGAGCGACGAGCAAGCGATGACGTGGCGTGGATGGGAACGAGCGAACGTGTTGATCGTCCGGAGCCACGGAAGACGATCGGCGTCGGTCAGCGGGATTCCGGCGCACATTTTTTCGATGTTCTGCGGCGGATGGAATGTGTCGCCGTCTTTGAATGACCAATTGAGCCTTTCTGCGAGGGCACTGCCGATTGTGCTCTTTCCGCATCCACTCACGCCCATTACGAAGATTATCTGGAATTGCAGCAAAAATGTGATTTTAGAAAGCGTTTATTCAATTATTTACTCACATCAATGTTTGACATGTTTAGTGGGATCAAGTGAATCGAACGGTGGAAAGTAGAAGCAGCGGGCGACGGACGCGTAGAGAGGAACTGAAAGGGCTTTTTGTGAGAGGTAGGCTGATCGAACAGGCGATTTCAGTGCGCCTGAAAAGCCACCGCCTGTTTTTTTCAGGCGGCTGTTCGACTAGCCTAGTGAGAGGTAATTGAATAAATGATCGAAAATACCTGCTGATAAAGAACGAACTAGATGGCGAGTGAGCGGTCTGGTCGCATAGTACCCGACGGGTCGGGTTGCGAAAATAATGTAGCAGCCGATGCCAAACAAACTGAAAATTGAAGAATTTGACAAACGAAAGAAGAACCCGGTTTTTATGGATTACCTGGCTGTGCCGATTATTCTGCACGAGACACAGTCTTGTTCAGCGGCTGATTGGGAAGTTTCAGGTGCCAGCTCTGCAAGGTTCAACACATTTCGGCGATTTTTAGGGATATTGGGTTTGATTGTAAAGTGTTATTTATTAAAGGCAGTTTATTTTTAGACTAAAATCGCTTATCGACGCGATGAGGTGTCAAATGACCAGCATGTTTCTCTTTTTTTCGCTCCGATTTCTTATCTTTCAAAGAATGTTGCGACGGGGTCAGCAAGTGCGCCCCACCGCACTCGTCAGTACTTCTGAGCGGATAAACAAAACGCAATTTTTCCGACCGTTTCCGCTTTTTTCAAACCCATTTTCTACCGGAAATTTAATTGTCCATTCATTTCTGACGCGACCTCCACTAATCGTTCTGACAGCCTTATCAATATTCGGTGATCCGAGAGAGAATGGAAAGTGCAAATCCGGCAAAGAACGCGGAGAGGAAGGCGAGTCGGAAGAGGCCCTCTTGTCAGCGCTCCGTCTAATCCTCACGTGTTTTGTGGCAAGCTTCATGATGGCCAAGGATAAAAATATTGTTTTTGTGATTTTGACGCCTCTGCCGTTGTCGCTCGTGTCGCATTGTCATCCGTCAGTTCGAACGAGACAATTAGGCTCAGGCTTCTCACATTTCTCTCCGTCAGTCACTTTCAGTAGGCCCTCTAGACTTCCTCTAGACGATTTAAACCTCTAAACACTGATCTCATTTTCTTTCACATATTACTTTCTAAAGTTCCGATTCATCGCGAACCATGTTCTTCCCGCTTTCTCCTCTTCTTCCAAATGTATACCAGAAAACGGTTGGTTCCTACTAGATCGTTCACAATGCTCTCGTGAAACTGTTCTTCAGTACCGTGAGTGGCAGGGCATGACCTCGACCATGAAGAGAGGCCGAATGACAATCGGAGTAACGTATGCGTCTGCGCGAAACGGTGCCGTTTTCCGCGTGCAATGTAGACGAGCGAAGGTTGTTTGCCGGAGGAGAGACCCACCTACCTAACCACCTACCAACCCCGTACAGCCAACCTCTGCCCGTGTGCGTCGCTGTGTGTGTGTATACGTGTCTGTGTGTCCCCACCGACCATTCCGTCCTCTCTTCCTCCCCAACACACCTCACACTCTCTTTCTCTTCGTGTGAGCGGAGGGAGCGTAAGCGTACAGTAACATGGCCGGTAGACCGCTTGCGAGTGTGCGCGACGCGTTTTATCGATTTTCTGCCGGTCACCGATTCGCCGCTCGCTCACACTATCACCTCCCTTATCAAAAACAAACCTGTATATTGTTTTGTGTAGCGAGCGCGGCGGGGTCGCCGCCTGTCATTTGCATTTCTAGTTCCGCGCGACGACTTCGTAACATTCTAACCCAATTTGGCTCGCACTTCAGCTTATCATCATCGTCGCATTTATTCGCAAACTCGGAGGACTTTGAGCATCTATTCTTGCTGTTGCTGCGTCTTCGTCGTCGTCTTCTCCTTCTTCTTTCCCTTCTTGTTCCCCTTATCATCCCTCTTTCGGTCGTCCTCCCTAAATCGATAGCATGCTGATTCACCGCTCCCCCGCTTTCTTTTATTTGATATTCTTCCTTTTCCGTCGTTCGGCTCGATTCCAGGCTCTTTCCTCCTTCTTTCCCCGTCCCATTCATGCTGAATTTCGAATTATCTTGGGTTTGGTAGTGGTGTTGCGTGACAACACGGCTCCCCTTTGGGCGCCCACTGAGATACACACACACCCATACGGCGGCCTACGCTCTGGCACATGTATTTCTCTTTCTTGGTGCAAGAAGAGGCCCTCCGTCTAACTACTCTCCATTCGCCCCTCTCTCCAATCTCGCCCATGGGGCTCACACATAGAAGAAGAAGAAGAAGAAGGAAGACGAAAAAAAAAGATTGAAGCAGATTTTCATTGCAGACACGAGTAGATTAACCGTGTGTGGCGGCGGAGCAGTGCGCGTCAAAGGGGTCCCACACACACGAAATGCCGTCCTTCTTCTGTCTTCCGATGGCCTGTCAGCGCCAGGTCGACGTGCTCGACAGAAGTCAGATGAATCTACAGTCCGTCCCTTCCGACATCTTCCGGTAAGCCTTTTTTCTTCAGGCATTGTTCAAAAATTGCTTATTTTTAGGTTTCGGAAGCTCGAGGATCTCAATCTCTCGATGAACAACATAAAAGATCTGAGCAAGCAGCTGTTCATGCTCCGAAACCTGCGGATACTCGACGTGTCGGACAATGAGGTGTCCGTACTACCACCCGAGATTGGACAGCTTACCGCGCTCATTGAGCTCAATCTCAACAGAAATCTGATAACGGACATTCCGGAGACGGTCAAGAACTGTAAGCAACTGATGAACCTCAATCTGAATGGTAATCCGTTCACAAGGTTAGTTTTTTTTTCAAAACATCCAAAAATATAGTTTCCAGTTCCCAAGAATATTGAGCTTCGCTACAATAGGATTATCCTTCCAGTGATATTATTGTTTTGCAGATTACCAGAGAGCATCTGCGAGTGCTCTTCCATCACCATTCTCTCGCTTAACGACACCACACTGACGGCGTTGCCATCGAACATCGGGTCTCTGGTGAATCTGCGAGTTCTCGAGGCCCGCGAGAATCACCTTCGGACGATTCCCTCTTCGATTGTGGAACTGAAAATGCTGGAAGAGCTCGATCTCGGACAAAACGACATTGAGGACCTTCCGGCAAAGTTCGGAAAACTCGTAAATCTCCGCGAGTTCTTCATCGACATGAACGGATTGTCGACGCTGCCGGACACCATGTCCGAGTGCCGGAATCTCGATCAACTGGGTGAGTCTTCCAGAGTGTTCGGAGTCATCTGACAAGGGAAAGAAAGCTTGCAGATGTGTCAGAGAATCAGATTATGAAACTGCCGGATGACATAGGAAACATGTCCAGTTTGACGGATCTCAACATCTCGCAGAACGTCATCAACGAGCTACCGTATTCGATTGGAAGTCTGAGAAAGCTGCAGATGCTTAAAGCCGACAGAAATTCTCTGACTCATTTGGCGCCGGAAATTGGAAACTGCCACGCGCTGACCGAGCTGTATCTGACAAACAACTTGTTATCGGTGAGGAGATTCAGGAAATGTAGACCAATATCGGCATGTTAAATGATTTCCAGGAGCTTCCCGACAGTATTGGAGATCTGAAACAGCTCACAACCCTCAACGCAGACTGCAATCAATTGACGACCATTCCGGCAACGGTGAGTCATCTCTCGCTTCTTTCTTTTGTTCTCAAAATAAACGAAAATCGATGTTTTCAGATTGGAAACTGTCGAGAGCTCTCGGTCCTTTCTCTCCGCCAAAACAACATCACCGATTTGCCGATGGAAATCGGACGGTGCGAGAAGATGAAAGTGATCGACGTGGCCTCGAATAAGCTCACCTACCTGCCGTACACTGTCAAGGTTCTCTACCAACTGCAGGCTCTGTGGCTCAGCGAGAACCAGACACAATCGATTCTGAAGCTGTCTGAGAGCCGAGACGAACGGAAGAACATGAAAGTGGTCACGTGTTATCTCCTTCCGCAATACGATGCGCTGGAATCAGGAGTAGATCACGGAGCCGACCGTGGACAAGCAAGCAGATCGTTCCTCGGAGGGCCGAAAGTTCACTTCCACGATCAGCAAGACACGACGTTCGAAGAACCGGAGCTTCCGGCGCACGGCAACTTCGAACGGCACAACACGCCGCACCCGAAGACGCCGAAGCACAAGAAGGGGTCGATAGACGGACACATGCTGCCGCACGAGATGGACCAGCCACGACAGCTTTCTCTCGTCTCCAACCACCGAACGTCGACCTCTTCCTTTGGCGAATCGAGCAACTCGATCAACCGGGAACTGTCTGATATCAGGTTCATTGATGCTCCTTCGTGAGTGTTTCGTTCGCCTTTGTTTCCTTTTTTGCATGCGCGTTCCTGATTTTTACCTCTTTTTGTTGTGAAAGTCTAGAATCGATCAGTATTTTCCTATTTTCCAACTTGTGTTACCTAGCGTTGTTCAGAGTTGCGAACGGTGTCCGGGAAGTGGCATCGCCAGATCGGGAAGAGCTCGGAGCATCCATGTCGAGCCTCTCGAACCTTGGATCCACTCAACATTTGCACACCATCAAAATTCAAAAAGATCCGACCGGAAAGTAAGTTAATCTATTATTTTTTTAAACTTTTTCTTTGAATACTGGGAATTCTGGTGGGATTACTGTGCTTCTTTCGTTCTTCCGTTTTTCTAACCTCTCCTTTGTTTGCAGACTGGGACTTTCCTTCGCCGGCGGCCGGTCCAACGATCAGGCGCCGAACAGCAACGGCGACGGCGGACTGTTCGTCACGAAAGTGACACCGGGAAGCTCGGCAGACCGATCCGGCCTCCGAAAGGGCGACAAACTGATCCGCGCCAACGACATCAACATGGTGAACGCGTCGCAGGAAGAGGCAATGTCCGCCATTCAAAAACGGGATACCGTCGAACTGGTCGTTTCTAGGCGAACGCCGTCGCCGGTGTCAAGAACCTCTGTGAGTCGGCCATGTGAGTGTGGACTGAAAGGACACAACGCTACTAATATTGTAATCTCATTGGATTCTCAGTAATAGGAAAATGTCTATAAAAAAAGGGGGGGGGTGGGTGGTTTTTTGAGCCGGTTGATGCCAATAATGAGTTCAACTTAGTGCGACGCAAAAGTAGTACTAGAAAACGGCGTTCTGAGTGTGAGTATGAATTCGGATTTGCAGGACATAAGCTACGGCGGCAGCACTCACCAACTCAACCATGAAGCGGGTTCTCCGGACAGTGCACTCTTCCTGTCCGCCAACTGCACCACCACTCCAGTGTACGCCTCTTAGTCTGTGATATTCCATTCTTTTTAAAAACATTAACCTCTACACATTACCTGTTCTATTTCTTGTGATCGATGTTCAAAATAACAATAATCAAAAGAAGCCTCTCCCCATTTTCACTTTGCGAGCTTTAATACCCTTAACTTATTAATGTTCCGTTTCTTCTTTCATGTGTTTTTTGTCCCATCAATCGAATAATCAAATTTATGTCCCCCCTCCTCCCCAAGCCCCCAAAATACAGGCCTACTTTCAAAAGTTGTGATAACCTCGCCTTCAGATTCTTGTTGTTCATTGTTATCATTTTCGTTTTCGATCAGCAATCAAAGAAGTATTCTTTTTGATCGGAGCAAAAACTGTGTTTCTGTGTGCTCTCCTATGTGTCTATTCATATTCATTAGCCCCTTTGCTTTACAATCCTGTTAATTTTTCATTCGGCCCCTCTTCGTTTACCATACTTCCCTTCCCCCCCCCCTTCCCTTTTCTTTCAACAAGTATATTTTCTATGTATTTTTTCTGGTATCAAACAAATTTTAATCAATGTTTATTAATGGGAACCTGCTTTCGTCAAACGCTCGGTTTCCACAACTGAAGAAAGAGGCGTGGCCTAACTAAATTTCGGCGGAAAATTGAAATTTAACAACGAAACTTTGGGTTTTTCAATGAAATAAAGACTGGATTCAAGTCTTGGTCTGAAAATGCGGTTTTCATAGTTAAGTACACACAATCCGCCTTTTTGCTGAGACCCCGCCCCTTTTGAGCTTCGGGGCCCACTGTCGGGCAGTCGTCATTTTTACCGGTTCTTTTTTCGGTTATTTACGTACGGCATTTTGCCAGATTTAGCCTTGAAGCCTGATTTCGTATGACGTGAATCGAGAAGTTCACGTCAAAATTCCAACAAACAAAGATCGGAATAGATCAAAATTGGCGGTTAGCACGTAATAATTGCTCACTCTGAAACCGACAATTAGCGCCGCGGCAGGATAGGTTACAATATTTTTGAGCAAGCGAACCGCCCAATTAGACCTCCATTCATCCGTTTTCTTAAATCCCTTCACGGCGCGGCGGCAGCGGTGATAAGCCGTTTTGGGGCGAGAGCCGAAGAGCCGATCGATGGCGGCTCTTCTTATCCGACACACGTCTTCCTTTTTTGCTCTCCGGCGACAGGGACACACCTCCGGCCAGGAGATGTATAGTGATTAGGAGAAGAAGAAGAAGAAGCAGGGAGGTTCGGAAGCCGAGAGACACGCAGACATGCCGCCACGCCACGCCCCGCCCACTTTCTTCTCCGTCCTCTTCTGCTTCTTCTGCTTCGTCTTGGTCGTCAACTATTATGGATACGTGGAGAAAAGCAAAGCAAGATATCAATAAAATTGACTGCAGTGGTGGTAGGAGGAGGAGGCGAGAAGAGATTAGCGCTCGGGCGGAGCCGCCGCTGTGCCGTGTGATGAGGTGGAGAGTGCGTGAGTCGTTTCGGCTCTCACCTGGCAACAACGTCGTCTCCTTCTCTCTCTCTCTCTCTCTCTCTCTCTCTTTCGCTCGCTCGCTATCACTTGTCTCCGGCTCCCTTCCCCATCAAAGTGCATCGTCATCATCGGTCACACATTCATAACATCTCTCTATAGGAAGAAGAAGAAGAAGAGCGAATCGATCCCTCCGCCCCGTTTTTGTTTTTTCCACCGAGGTCCGGTTTTTCTCACGTTTCGTTTCTGCTGCCGAGATCTCTTCTCCGCCGGCTTTCCCGTTTCGAAAGTAGTCTCTGTTTTGGCTCTAATCTCTGTTTGTGCATTTTTGAGGGTTGTGCAATCAAATTTCTGTCCAAAGTAGTACAAATATCCCCCATTTTCATTTTCACTTTCCCACCCAAACTCCAAGATCAGTGCTTTCTCCTTCTCCTTCTTCTTCTTCTTTGGCCAACTCGCTTCGCTTCTTTTTCTTCTTCTTCTTCTTCATCCCGTCACTCCGTTTCTGCGCCACTTTCCTTCGCCAATTCATTATGAATGCACCTCCCGCGAAATATACCGCGATTTGCAAGTTGGCGTGGTTGGCACTTTGCCAAGTTCCATGAATGTATATCTGCGAAACTTTATTAGGCACCTTTTGAAAATCAAACCGCCCTTCTTGTGTACTGATAAGCTCAGGCTTAGACCCAAAGGCTTTTTGAGGCCTGAACTTCCGATACTTCTTTAGACCAAGTTGCAGTTTTCCAATCAGACCCAGACTTTGCAGGCTTTTTGAGGCCTCTCAATCTCTGAATCAAGTGGTCCAATCGGGCCGAAACTTGGAGACAAGATACTTCAACCTCCGCAAAATCGAAGTCCGATCGGTAAATTGTAACTGGGCCCCAGTGATAAGTCGTCATTTCCGTCACTTCCAGCAATTCAATCTTTTATTCTCTTCTCGTTCGCCTCCCCGCCCAAATTCTCCCCATTTTCTCCTTTTCATTATTGTTTTCGACTGCCTGTCGGTGTGCTCGTCGAGAGGGGTCGAATCGAAGAAAAAGTGAAGCTGTCATTATGTTTTCTTCCATGTTTTTCTTTCCAAAAGTCTATTTTTCCAGAACGATGTGCTGCCCGACGATCTAATAGAACGAAGAATGGTAAATAAAGTAAGTCTCTCTTTTTCTCTAGATTCTAAACTTGCAAAGCGAAGAAATCATTCGCGCAGCTTTTCGCTTCTCGCTTTGAAATATTAATTATTGTGTGGCGGTGTTCGTGGCTTTACCCGGATGTGCCGCACCTCTTCCTTCGCCTTTTTCTTTTCTCAAACTTTGTGCTTTCAGTTGATATGCCATCTACTCAACAACACCAATCTACGCTAAAAAACGGTGGACGCGGACGCAACAAAAAGGGTAAGTGTCACTGTGTCTTTTTTCATTTTTCCCCCCTCAATTCATTTCGCATTTTTGATTATTTGTTGTTCGGTAATTCGAGAAGGCGCTGGATATTATGAGGGGGATCTATTGACACGTTTTGGGCGCGACACAGTAAGACACACAAAAGTGTGTGTCGACTAGACTTTTTCGAAGATCTATCTGAATCGATCTCCTTTAAACGTTCATGATGATGACAAACCTTTTCTCTCGCAAAATGGCGTGAGCTTTGAGGCTTTCGAATAATTAGTTTGTCTCTGGGTCTCCCGGCCACCTGTCCTTTCACTCCAAACACCTACTAGAAGTTGGAACCCAATGGAAGTGCACAAACCCGTGCAATTAGGCTCCGGAAGGAAGGACGAAATCGTTTCCAGCCGAGTAGTCCTTCATTCTTTCTCTGTTACTTGCCCGCTTCCCTCCCTCTCTTCCTGATATATTAAAAGTCGGTCCCCGTGTCAAGTCGTCGGCGGATGCACTTGAATTGGAACCTTTTTGCCTCTCGTCGCGCTTCTTTTCTTTTTCGCTCCTAACTTTTTGCTGCCCCTCAAGTGGGAGGGGTGCCATCGTCTTCGTCACACGTAGGATCAATGTCGTCGGACACGAAGACTTCAATAAAAAGTGGATAGGGAGCTCACCGCTGCGCCTCTCCAATTAATACTTTTGCCATCTTTCATGTGTGCGTGTGTGTGCTTCCTTCGTCTTCACAACTTTCGGAATAAAAATAAGATGAAGAAGAAAAGTCTCAACACACGCCTCCTCAAACTTCATAAATTCTTGATCAGATTTTCGTTTTGTTCTGCCACGAACACCTTCTCTTCGTGGATTTTTCACCTTCATCTGCCTCCTTTTCTCCCTCTATTTTTCAACACAATTTCAATTATATCACTAATAGCTCTCCCGCTCGCCCCCTTTGAATTTCATGCGTGTGCTTCCTTCTTCCGGAAGTTAGAGAGAGAGAGAGATACTAACACCACACTTTCCCCCCGCTTCCCTTTTACCGAATCAATAGAGGTGGCAATGCGCCCGATTGCCACGTCATCGACAAGAAGTAAGTTTCGTCGTCGCTGTGATCCACCAACCTCTCGCCTATATATTACGTTACTCGTCTTGTTTGGAAGACATCCGTGTTGATACAAATTGTAGGGAAAAGGGTGTGAAGAGACAAAGAACGGGAAGAGAGAGGAAAAGAAGGGCGCACTGCACAGCAGCGGTCGCTCTCTGCTCTGAATGAACAGACGTGCCGGCGGCCACGCTTCTTCGGCGTTCTGGAATCGACGCGACACTGCCACTAGTACACATAGAGAAGCAGAAGTGCCCCGAGAACGGGGGCGGGGCCTCGACATGGCTGGCAACGTCTTCTGATTTCAGGACACGGTCGCGAGTCATCTGGGTATCATCACGCCGCTGTCGTCGAGGTTGGAGCCATGGTGCTCCAGAATATGTTCAGGTCGGTTTTCTAAGATCACATTATCATGCGGCGCATCCGGAAACAAACAATTTGCAGTGCTCTCTCCTTCCTGCACTACCGGAAGGACGACGACTTCGTGGACAGGCTCTCCTACTTCTACACCTCCTCGTTCCTGATCATGATGGCGGTTCTGGTGAGCTTCAAGCAGTTCGGCGGGCGACCGCTCGAGTGCTGGGTGCCCGCGCAGTTCACCGCCAGTTGGGAGGCCTACACGGAGATGTACTGCTGGGCACAGAACACCTACTGGGTGCCCATCGACCAGGACATCCCGGTGGACATCAGCGAAAGGGAATACCGACAGATCTCCTACTACCAGTGGGTTCCCTTCTTCCTGCTTCTCCAAGCGTTTCTCTACTACATCCCGTGTCTCATGTGGAGGCTGATGAGCGATAAATCAGGTGAAACATCTCCTGTTGTGTCGATTCAAAGGTGAATTTCAGGAATTCGACTCAATGACATAGTCCAAATGGCGACGGAAAAAGAGAATATTGAACCAGATTATAGGATAAGAACTATTGAGAGTTTATCTAGACACATTGAATCCGCGCTGAGGTGGGTGGTGACGAAACGATGTTGTTTTCCAAAATGATGTTTTCTCGGTGTGCAGGTATCAGCACACGGCCACGTCACGCACGCAGTATACGCTGCATCGGGTGTTCAAGTGCTTCAACATGCGGTACTACGAGAGTTATGTGACCGGAATGTACTTGGTGGGTTTTTGACTCTCTTTTGTCTCTTTCGCTCAATGGAGGCAAGTCTGCGTCTCTTGAGACAAAGATCGGTCCTTAAGAGTGGACTCTGTGATCCAAATGAAAAGGCAGAGAATATTAACGAAAAAGAGAAGGAAGCAAGAAACCCTTGGGAATTGTGATTGCAGGCGACAAAGATCATGTACGTCGGCAACATTCTCACCAACCTGGTCCTCGTTAACAAGTTCCTCGAGACCGACGAGTACTCGATCTACGGACTCGGCGTGCTCCGAGACTTGCTCTTCGGCCGAACGTGGATCGAGTCCGGCAATTTTCCCAGAGTCACATTGGTGAGTTTTCAATGCATTTCATTTTGATCCTCTGCTCATTTCCAGTGCGATTTCGAAGTGCGTGTACTGGGAAACAATCAACGGCACAGTGTTCAGTGCGTTCTCGTCATCAACATTTTCAACGAGAAGATCTTCATTCTGATCTGGCTCTGGTTCACTCTGCTCTTCGTCGCCTCCACTTTGGACATGCTCTACTGGTTCAGTATATCCATGTTCCATAGGGATCGCTTTCGTTTCGTTCTCCGCCATCTGGAGCTCACCTCGGACCCCGACAAGCCCGAATTGTTTAGGAAAGAGAAACGGAAACAAGTGGAACACTTTCTTAGGACGTATCTTAAAGTACGGTTTTATTCTATGTATACGAGTGAAACAATCTCGAGTTAAGGTCGACGGTGTTCTGGTGCTCAGAATGATTGCGCTCCACGCAGGCGTCATGTTTTGTACCGAGATTACCGATGCATTGTGGAAGAGGTATTTGAGTCAACACCCGGAAAACCTCATAGACGATGACTCATCGCTCATTACTTTCGCCAGGTGGGTTGATGTTTGGTCTGCCGAATAATCTTTCCTCGAACCGGCCGATTGTACTTTGCCTACACTTCAGAGCACAATCAATCCGGCGGAAAAGGAATGATAGCTCCAATTCGGATGGTCAGAATCATCAGAGACTCGGGAGGATTCTGTCGCATCGGAGCACCGGCGGAAGCTTCCGTTTGAACAGGACACAGTCGACAAACAGGAGTCTCACGACTGAATCCAAAGGAGCGCCCGCCACGAACGCGACGGCCTCCCCGAATACTCCACCTCCAGCGGCGCCAAAGTAAGACTCTTCCCCTCTCTTTCCCAGTAAATTCACCGCTGAAACAGAGGCATTTGCAGCTCTCGATTCGGAAAAGTAAAACCGCGAAGGACCGTAGTCACTATCAACTCGCAACAGAACGACGCACGGACAAGTCCGGACCCGATTCAGGAGCTGAGTCGGATGGAGAACGTTCCGTTGGCCGTATGAACACTCATCTCTTCACACATCTCCTCACAATCCACGGGTTTGCCCTTCCCCAATGTATTCGATCCGTCACGAGTCCCTCTTCTCTTTCGTCTCCCGCGTTCCCACCCACTTTGAACCAAACTCTCTTCGAAATCCATCGAAACTTTCTCAGCCCACTTCACTCACTCTTTTACATCGAAACTTGCTCGTTTAGATTCATTTCTTTCTCTTTTCTTTATTCTCTCCTATTGTTGTTTTCATTTCAACACATTTTGCTCAAGTATGAATTTATTAAGCGTTGAGGAATCATTCTTATTATTGGCATCATTATTATTTTTTGCAGCCGCCAAAATCTGGCAATCGCGCTTTACCGCTCTCCACGTTGTATTGCGGTAAAGCGACATTGTCAGCAACTTGCGCGGCTAGTAACAGTATTTACAAACAAAAACGGAACAGCCATTCACAGTAACCTCTCGAGACGCATCTTTTTCTCCTGAACTGTCCTTTTTGACGGGAGTGATCGCAAGATCATACTGCGTTTTGGCGCCTGGATTGATCGCTGAAAGAGAGCTCGGATTGGAGGCAGAAGCGACAAATATTGTAGTACGTACACTATAAACAAACGGGGGCCTCGCTGGTTTCCGGCGAATCGTCTCGTTGTATTCGGGCACATCGAGCAGGTTGATCGAAGAGAAGCGCGTTCTCTCCGGATCGGCGTAGGCGCGGACCGTGTAGTCTGCGGTCTCCACTCGGAACGATTTTATACCGTACTCGTCGAGAAGTTGGAACATCTTCTCATTGAATGTAACTTGGCCCCGCAACGGACTTCTCCTTGTGCTTCTTGCCTCGATCTTCGACAATGGAAGTTTCTTGGACGCTCTCTTTCTCTTCATCGTCAACTCTCGCTCCTTTCTCTGTCTCTGCTGGGCCTTCAGCTGCACCCTTCTCCTCTTCAGAATCTTCTCCATTTCAAGCTCCCGCGCTTCCCTTTCTGCACTTTTGATTGCCTGAAAAGTGTTTAGTTACATAAAATTTGCAAAGTTCGAAGCGTTGCCTTTTCCAATTGAGTTTTCGTCAGCCGTGTTCGTCTCTTATTCGGATTTCCCGGGGACTTTCTGATATCATGCGAAACGACCGACTCTTCTCGAAGGAAGTTCGGCTCGTTATTGTGCGTGAAGAACATCAGTTTGGTGGGTTCCAAAGGCTGCCGAACAGCCGGATAGTTCTCGTCCGCATCGATGAGCACAGCGTTCTGCGCGAGCGCCGGAGCATCCCTCCTTCTGTGATCCTTTGCGTCTCCGTACTCTGTCTTCTCCTTCTCAATCCCTGTCGTCGCTTCTCCCATGTGCAACTTCCGTTTTCCGGATGCCTGCTGGCTCATGTCCATCTTCAGCTTCTGCTCGATTCGCTCAGCCGCGTTACTGTATATCAGCTGAGAATAAATCAGGTTGAATCGAAAAAAAAAACAGAAAAGCACTCACATCCTCTACAAAATCTAGAAAGCTGTTGATGGCTCCTTTGGAGTCTTGTGGCAAGTTCACATTTTGAACTTTCCTTAGGATAATGTTCAAAAGTTCCTGAGCTCCGAACTTTTGAATAAACTGAGCCGTTTCCAATTGAAGTTTGATTCGTTTGGAGCTATTTGTGACATCGGAGAAGAATGAGGCATCTGAACAGCAAATCATTGGCCTTAGAGAGAAGTCAAAATAACTTACCGTTGAGATCAAATGGATCGTAACTATTGTAGGCGTCGGGGTCTTCTGTGGTTGCTTCAAACCTCTTAACATTGGAACATCACTCTCAAACAGACTCAAACCCCTTAATTAGCCGATCACTCACCTTTTCACTCTTCCGAATACTTATTTTGACAGGCTGGAAGCCGTCACAATGGCCCAGAAACAGGAGAAAAGCGACAATGTCCGGCCGCATCGGTGACGAGAAAAAACCAAAGTGAATGCGGAGTGAAAACGATTTCACTAATAACTCTCCAGGAACACAGAATGGGCGGATTCGGATGTTTATCGGCCTGTCTCGCCCACAAGATCCGCCAGATATGCCTGGTTTTACCAAACAAAAACTATTCAAATATTCAGGTTATCGGCCCGAAAGCATCTGAATTACTTTCGCGATTCGTCTTCGCGTGTGAAAAATGTACACTTTTACTTTTTAAAAGTTTTTTATTAGCCGGAACGGAACTGTGAAACAATGTGCCACGTCAAAGTGTTCGAGAGTACGGTAGTCGTTAAATGGATTTTAGCGGAACATTAACGGTTTATGAGTGATAAAGAGTTTATGAGTTCGAAGTGATTGTATAAAAACAAGGGGAGCAGAGGATGGGCTTCATTTCGAATGGGTGGCAAGTTATTACTGTTACTCCTCATCGGAGTAGTTCTCCTAAATACTGCTGATGCGGCCAGACGACGTTCGAAAAAGGAGGAGAGTGTTGAAGAAGAGAGTTGCGACGAGGACGACGAAGACGAAGACGTAGGCACTCAGAGGCAGCCGAACGTCGGAGCTTCAAGACCGAAACCGAACGCTCGCAAGTCGCAGATTCAAAACGACGAAGGAGATGGTGTGGAGGACCCGACCGACGAGGACTACCTCAAGTACGAAGACACCAACCAAGAGGGACTCTGTATTTTGGGTATGACTAACCGATGTGTTCATAGTAATCGAGGCTTTCAGAGCGGGGAAAATGTCCTCAAGGAGACTGGCGGATGTTCAAGAGAAAGAATGAAACGGTGTGCCTTCAAGTGATCGGATCACCCGCCAAAATCGACAGAATCACTGCTGGAAGAGTGTGCCGCACGCATGCGAACGCCCGTTTGATGAGCATCGACAACTTGCAAGAAAGAGAATGGCTTCACAGTTGGTTCTTCTTTCACTTGCTCACAAACTTTCTGTTTTTGTTTTTCAGCGCTCGGCTTGGTCTCCAACGGCTCATTCGGTCAGCTGCTGATTGCCGGATACCGTAACCGACAGTGTCAAATGCAGCCATGGGATTGCAAAGACAGAATGAAGGTTGAATGGATCATGTTTAGGTGACCCATCACTTTTCCAGATCTTTGTTCCTGCCGACGGAACTGCAAATCACGAATACCTCCACTCGAGATGGGTCGCCGGACCTCAGAATCGATACACCTACGCGTTAGTTCTGTGTTCCACTCCATTTTGAATCGTTCATACTCTTCAGAGAGCTCGACGACTGTCTCGTCATCCACACCGTCTACCAACCGGGCGACAACCTCAACGCTATCCAGGACTGGACTTGCCACGATTGGCACAACACCTTCCTCTGTGGTATTACGGTTATGTGAACAATAAACATAGTTTATTCATTACATGGTGATCATAATATGAATTGAGTCTGGAAGTCCTGATTCGTCCAAGAAAACAACGGTTAGCTCACTCAATAAGGAGGAGAAAAAAATGTATCAAGTAGGAAGGGTTTGAGAGAATCCAGAAGGAAATTCTGAATAGGAAAGTGCTCAAAATTTGGGACGGGAAAACGAACAAAGATATGATCGTGGAAATAACAAAATAAACGATGCCCCGGAGATAGAAGTAAAGAGAGAAGAAACAGAACAAAGGCCAAGCTTAAGGGAGGAATGATAAAAAAAACAAAATCAAAGTGACAATCTTTTCGGATTCATTGACTGCGGGCCAAGATTCTTTGATTCTGTGTATGACTGAACGTTCATGTTGTTTCTGAAATGATTGATATGTCACTGAACTAAAATCGTTGTCCATAATACCAGACTTGCAACGGGCCGGGCCGGGCCGGGCCGGGCCAATATTGGAAATTTTCCGGCCCGGCCCGGTCGGCCCGGGAGGATGCACCTAAAAATTCAAAGCGAACTAGAACTTCGAAACGAACATAATTTTATAGACTTAAAATTTTATAGACTTAAAAAGGCAATGTTATAGCATAAAAACCTGTTAAAAAATAGAAATTGCTGTTTAAAGTCGCAAAATTTTCACAAAAATTACGAAAATTTTCTCAAGAGTGGGCGGAGCCGGGCCGACCGGGCCGGGCCGGGCCGACGATTTGCTGGCCCGGGATTTGGCAAGTCTGCATAATACTAGTTCTTTTTCTTCAACTCGTTCTTTTTCTCAAACATTTTTTCGATCACAAATGGCGTAGAGATGATTGATTATGAACAGTTGTATCTCGTAAAATTCTGTCTGCAAATTCTCATAATAAAATGCGGTAAATGAAAGAAAAAAAGTACATTCTGCTGCATTTCAATGTTCGCATAATTTGATTGATTAGCAATAATCCAGAAATTCAAAGCATTTACCGTAAAGAACTGTTCGCTCTGAAAAAAATACATGGAAAAATGAAACGAAAGCAATACAAACTTACCGAAAACCGGTTTGTTGTTCTGGGAAATCGAACTGTGGGTACTATTGATGCAAAATAATAGTTGCAAAGTATTTTGGAAGGGGAAATGTTAAGAGTGAGCAAGAAAGAGAGAGAGAGAGAGAGAGAGAGAGGAGGAAAGAGGGAGGGGTCATTGCTATATTCTGTTTACTTCGTCCTTGCAACACAACCATCCGCTATCTCACTCTTTCTCATCCGTTTTCTCTTCTTTCCCTCTTTTCATATACCTTTCCAATAAAATACGTGTTTCATTCAAACAACACTTGGAGTTCTACTTCCTAATGGTCACAATTTGCTCGTTGTTTAAGTGTTGAAAGGCTCTGATAGCAGTGTGCAAACAGCACGAAACTATTCTCTGTTTGCAGAAATGAAAGATGAGAACATGGTTTGGAAGGAACTTAATCAGACCAGTCTCATAACTGGTTAGTGGCAATGGATTTCAATTAACCTTTTTCATTTTCAGACATTGTCGTTGAGCAGTCATTGCAAAACGGAAGCAGATCGGTGGAAATCGGATGGAAAGAGTTGAGAGAGCTACTTAAAACGCAGAGAGAACTGGTCAGATTCAACGCGGAGCGAATAAAAGCTGATCTTAGAAACGATTGGAAGCTCTGAGGAAAAATGTGAGTTTGAACTGCACAAACCTAGATACAAATTGCTTTACAGAAAAATGCGATAGAAGAGGAAATAACGAAGACGAGAGAATCGAACGATTATAGGCTATTGATAGAACGGCATCAGAAGGATATTAATGAACTGGACAAAAGGAAGTGTGCACTCCAAGACGAACGTAAACATATTCTGTGGATCCTTTTGCACCATTTTGACTGATTTCAGAAGCGGCCCTCATGAAAGAATGGAATCTATGTTTGAATGAGCTGAAAATGATGTCATCGGAGGACAGAATGCGGATAAGAGACGCGCACGCAAAAGACGTTTCGGAGGAACCGTACGCCCGCGCAGTCACCGATATTCTCAATCAAATCGAAGGACTCGGAAAGTGCGAGAATAATCTCAAGAAATTAGTGGGTTCGTCTGTTGACTAGCTAGTCTATGATTTCAATTATTTCAGAGTGGTTGCATGGCGACGGAACAGTTGGACGAACACCGATTCAACTATACATCGGTGACTGAAGAGATTCAGCATTCCGTATAGTTCAACTTTGCAGCATTTAATTGAAAAGATAAAACTTTACATCGTCATATTGGAAAAGTCGGTACGAGACCTAACCGAAATCGACCATGGTTCGAGTGAAAAGCACATTGACCTGAGAGTGCTCATTTCCAAAAAACTTTTGCTACTTCTGCAAGAAGCATACGGTATTGCGTCGGGTTTGCAAGTTTGCGAATTTCTCAGAGGAAGGATTTGCACATAAGGAATTCAATGAGGAGATTGAGAAGTTGGGACAGCTTCTGAGTGAGATCGTGATGACTGGAAATGAGATGCCGAAAATGGAAGCCAGCCGTCATTTACAAACGATTCTGCGGACTTACAAGACGAAGAGCTGGAACCTTATCACACTTTTCCTCTTCTCTCTCCTCCTCTGTCTTCTTTGTATTCTGTTCATGAAGCGTTGAGCTCATTTTTTATCATAATGTTTCACCAACTGGTCAATCGACCACATCTACTTATTCCTGTGATTTCTGTATTCTCTTATTCCAATTCACACCTGAATTTCCAGAAATGATACCGACAGTGAGATTTTATTCGCCACACCGATTCTGGGTTGTTTCTTCTTCTTTTGGTCTTTTTCTTCATCCTAATCTTGCAGGGTAGTGTAAACTTCGAAGACTATATTGTGAATTTTTGGATTATCAGTAATCAAATGAGATATTTGGACATTGAAATGCAGCAAAATGTAAGTGTCCTTGAAACTCGTCAATTGTTCTTAAACTCATTTTTTTGTAGGCGGACGTGTACGAGATTCAACAATTCATTATCCAGAACTTTTTCACAATCTGTTACAACGTAATGTGTAAACAAGAGAGTGTGAATTCTTACAGAAATACGGTATTATTTTTTTTCTTATTTCTCTTCAAACCAATTCTGAAACATCCAGTTTAGAGAATCCGATCATTTCTAAAGGATCTTCAAGTCTCCAAGAGGTTAAGAAATCAATTTAATTGGTACGATGCATTCCCCTCAAAACATTGGCCAATATTTCATGAACTAATCGTTGAATGCGAACGGCAGGGACTTCTGGTTGTACTGACCGACGATGTGCCGATGACGGAAATGCAAGTAATGCTGATGCTTTCCTTCAATAGTTGAAGTGAACATTCTCAGATCTTTCCTAACTCTCACTTCCGAACTGATTGTTGGTGGCCCTCGAACATGACCAAAAAACAAATGGATGACTCACTGTTGGCAGTTGTCTTTGGTGTTCCTCTCATCTCAATCATTCTACTTTGGTTCAATTCGTTTTACCTTTATCTCTGTTCCATCTGGATCATTGGCTTCATCCCGTTTCTAATACCTTCATTCATCTCTTTTTTTGCAATGTGCTTGTTTTTATCCGACAATCCCGAGAGTATCTCACCAGTTTTCTATGTTGCTTTCATTGTAGTCTCCTATTATTTTTTCCCATTCGAATTCTTCTATTACAATCTTTTCCACATTGGTCTTTGGATTCTCTTCAAATCTTTCTACATCATATTATTCATTGTGGTTCTATTCCAGATAGATTCTCTTTTCGAAAATTACCAAAATGATAACTTTACACTCGTTTTTGGAAGTGTAAATATATTTGATTAACTTTCCATACGTTTCACCCATATTTTCTTACAATGTTTGTTCTAAACAATGTTGTGTACAGCAATGAATGTCAAGAGTCCAGACCTCGGCAGCTTTCTGCCCATTCCTGGTTGAATTCCAATTGTTCTATATCTTTTGCAAACGATCTCCATATCTCTCTACAAATGCGTTCAGAAAAAGACCGTGCACCACGACTCAGAGAGATTGTGTTGATGATCGTCATAAACAATTTTAATCATAACAATGACCCCTACGTTCCTGCGTATTGCTCACTCTTATCTTCTCATTTTCCGTGTAATTGTTTTCTTTTAGACGTGTATCGAGCAAGCAAGGACTACACTGCTCGAACTGACATTCAGCGTTCGACAGACTTGAAACCGACCAGCGAAATAAAGCAAGAAAGTGATAGATTGTGACGAGAAGCTTTACATCAAATTTGTTCATCGTATGACTTGCCAATAATAGGAATTTCCGTTTCCCTTATCATTTTTGTTGCCGAATGACATTGCAAACAGTGTAATCATTAGGAAGAATGCGAGTGTCGAAATATTCATTGCTAATACTAATTTCTCTTCATCTCGTTGCTTATTTTCTCTCACTCCGTCCCTTAATGGTTTTCTCGCTAACAAGTAGCCGGTATTAGTTGCCGATCAAGACTTTGGTAGAACATGTCCTTGCATAGTCTTTATTCATAATTTGATTCTTCGCCTCTATGTACATATAGATGCTCCTACTATTAATCGTTCCTTTTTTCTCTTTGCCAACCTGAAGTCTTAATGCAAATAAATTAAAACTCAAATTCGAAGTATCATTTTACATACATTGCAAGCAATTAGGAAGAATTCCAGTGTCAAAATATTCATTGCTAATTCTTGTTTCTCTCTCTCTCTCTCTCTCTTTTGTTTGAGCAGAGAGGAAAAGAAGAGGGAGCACTATGAGAGAAAACAGGGGTTGGACGAATAGGCAATGAGGACCATGGGCTCGGTGAAAGAGAAGTAAAATGCTTCGAGGAGGAATGTTTCGAGGAGAACTACGTGAGGTCCGTTCAGAGAGTGCAGACTGTGAATCAACGGTTGCTCGGTCCCATTGTGACCATCAATCAGGTCAGTTCACTGACCCAATGACAGCAAATTAACGATTATTTCAGTTACAAAACATTCACAATCTCACGGAAAAGTTGCGAAAGGAACAGTTGCAAGGAAGTATGTTTTCAAGAAATCTATAATTTGTGAATATATCCCATTTCCAGGAATCGTGCGTAGCAATAAGGAGGAATGTTCTCGATGATTTGGTGGGAGACTTGGAGGCCATCAAGACGTTCCAAAATTCAGTAATAGCGAATGATGAAGTGCGCAAGGTAACATTTCGATTAATTTCACAAGACAACGCTGATTCAGGGGAAAGCAGTCGAAATCGACGAGAAAATCTTAGATTACATCACTGCTACGCACGAACTGGAGGGCTTCATAAAGTGTTTCGACGGATCCCCTGAGTTGATACTCGAAAAGGTTATCTTGACTGCGAAGATGCATAAGGAATTGACCGCGCTCTGCAATTCGGTTCCAGCAGCCAAAACTGGCGATCACACTATGAACGCACTCCGCAAGGCTATCAGTACGACGTTCGAGGAGAAACTGAAACGGCAGACGGAGAAGGAGTCGGAAAAAGCTCCGGATCCAGAGGCGATCGATGAAGAGAAGAACCATCCTTCGACCTCTTAATCCGACTTTGTCCTTTTCATCACTTTTTACCCATTACCTATATTAAACTATCGAATGAACACTTTCTTTTTTGTCTTTTCGGAAAAATTTGGGAAAAAGACGAAAACGAGGGGAGAATGTTTCGATTTCACAACGGGAACGGACTGCATACATCACTACTCTCATTCGTATTCCCAAGTAAGATGCATTTGATGTGGCTCCCCTCTGTTATCGTCATTTCGTCCATTTCCCTTTTCGTTTCGGTTTATCAGTAGTCCCGTTCAGATGGGCAACTTTGCCTCAACTTCCGCTCGACACAGCCGAGTGGTCGGTCCGGCCCGCGAGTACGTGACGTTTGGACGCAAACTGCACACTTACGTCGAGGTACTTCCCGTATGTGCTGCAAATAAGCTCTGTTGCGAACAGAACACTGTGCCAGTCAACACAACTGAGTCTCTAGGTAGCCAATTCATCCGCGAAATTCGAATTTTATTAACGCGCGTACTTCAGCACACCAAAACACGGATTTCAGGCAGAAGCTGGCGTCAAACCGGCTTCCAACAAAAAAAACCAGATACTTCCGGTGCCTGGCTGACATTGAGAAGATATCCCATGCAAACACGAGGATTGCAACACCATTCGAGGTTGGATATAATAAAATATCCGCAGTTTCTTTGAGTCCGATCGTTCATATTTCAGTCAATTCACACGCGCATAATCGACGTCTGGCAGAATGTGATTGAACTTTTGAAGCTGTCGGTCAACAACGTCGACTAGCACATCGGGCAGCGAAGGGAACTGGCGAAGAATATGTACATCATTAGCGATTGCCTTGGTTCGCCATCATTCAAACGATCGAGGGAGAGCCGTTCCAGTTGTGCCACTACCAGAAGGACATCGACCAATTGATCAAAACCACTAGGGCTCTGACCACTCTCAATTGAGATTAATTGTACAAAAATCACAGTTTCCTGGAAAAATAAACATATGACGTTTTGTTGGTCAATAGAGCGCACTTGCATACTGTCACTGTTTGTCCAGTATTTCATAATTTTTACTTAAAACTTGTGCAGATTGTTCCCGATTGGAATCATGTCAAATCCTACATTCGACGCAGCTTGTGAAGCTTGTAATAAACTGGAAAGTTCTATATCTACTCTTAAAATGGTAATGGTTCCATCACAAATCGATAATTTCTGTGTTAAGATCGCCAACATAGTGGAATCCTTGAATTACATTTATACAGATGACCCAAAACATAAAGATTTGGTTGAAGTCTGCAAGGTAGTTTATATTCATCTCATAATCAGATTTCAATTATTGTATTGTCAGGCAGAACACACAAATGTTCTAAGGAATCTTGGAGTTCTGCGTCAATACTTTGAAGGTCCCGGTCAAAATGAGAAAATGGTCAAACAAGTTTGGCAGCTGGAACAGTTATTCGTTGGTTTTCAGTCGATGATAGCTGAAATCGAGGTGGAGGCGGCCGTTGTCCACTACGTCAGCCAAATTGAGCCACTTTTCAAAACAATCTCTAATGAACTGAGGAAGTGAGCGGCAAGAAATTGGATCACTTCCGGGGGAAAAAAAACAAAAATAATGAGTGAGCAAGAAATGCAATTGACTCTGTTAATATTTTTGACTCATCGCCTGTTTACCGTTCATTCCTGTCGATGTTAGTTTCACAAGTGCTTGCTGGTCGGCGGATAATGATGGGTGTAAGTGGAACAATTTCAGATTGAGTACAGTACACTGTAATTGCAGGCTTCTCATTCTACACCAATAACTGTGAAGACCATTAAAGACGACGAAGGTGAAGTTGAGGAGATTCACGACGAGCTCGAGCATGAACGGGCTATCGGGGACCGATTCGTTGCCGATGAAGTTGGAGATGTCAGAATCATCCACGCGCGCGAAGTGAATCGGAAACAGATGAACTTTGCGGCTGTGATTGGGGAAGTTCGTAAGGACGCATTGTTTCGCCAGTATAAGGTACCAAGATTTTCATGCTGACTGATATAATCTTCTTTAATAGACGTATGCCGAGCAGGCAAGGACTACACTGCTCGAACTGACAAAACCGACCAGCGAAATAAAGCAAGAAAGTGATAGATTGTGACGAGAAGCTTTACGTCAAATTTGTTCATCGTATGACTTGCCAATAATAGGAATTTCCGTTTCCCTTATCATTTTTGTTGCCGAATGACATTGCAAACAGTGTAATCATTAGGAAGAATGCGAGTGTCGAAATATTCATTGCTAATACTAATTTCTCTTCATCTCGTTGCTTATTTTCTCTCACTCCGTCCCTTAATGGTTTTCTCGTTAACAAGTAGCCGGTATTAGTCGCCGATCAAGACTTTGGTAGAACATGTCCTTGCATAGTCTTTATTAATAATTTGATTCTTCACCTCTATGTACATATAGATGCTCCTACTATTAATCGTTTCTTTTTTCTCTTTGCCAACCTGAAGTCTTAATGCAAATAAATTAAAACTCAAATTCGAAGTATCATTTGACATACATTGCAAGAAATTAGGAAGAATTCCAGTGTCAAAATATTCATTGCTAATTCTTGTTTCTCTCTCTCTCTCTCTTCTGTTGCTCACTTTTATCACCTTTTTCTCTCTCCGTCTCTCTCAGTCCGTTATTTAAACCCATCCCACTTTCCATTTTCTCGTCCACAGTTCATTTTTCTTTCATACATTCCAGCGCTCATCTTGGAAACTCTTCAACAATGGGAGTGAGTTCACAGTTATCAATCAATCTGCTATTATCGCATTCGTTTAGGAAGGACAAACCCGCCTTGAATCTGCCGCAGAAGCGGAAGTCAATGAAGAGCAAGTGCGAGCTGAGCGGCTGAGACATGCGCAAGCCATTCAGAGACAGGAAGAGGCTTTCAAGGCGGACTTGGCGAAACGAGCAGAACGCAGAAGGATTGAATTGGAGAGAAGCGAGCAGGAAGACAAACGGGCCGATGAGCAGAAGGCGGTAAGTGCGGGAGGGAGACAGCAGGTCGGAAATGCAAAGGCAGAAGTCGGGCAATCTCGCTGTACCGCACTACATGTGAATTCAGTGCTAGGGTTTTTACGTGGATTTGTGGTAGTTATCAATCAAAACGACATTCTGCAACAGGGATAGACTTGGCTTAACAATATCTCATGGTCCCTTACAATGCACAGTATTTCAGGCGATGATGGAAAGAGCTCGCGAAAGCAGAAACGCCGAGCAAGCAAGAGAGGAGAAGATGAGAGCGGAGAACGAAGAGAGATTGAAAAAAACGGTGGAAGAGGGAGACGCGGCACAGGACAAACAGAGGGCTCAGAATCAGGACGACATCAGGCGAAGGACCACGGACCATCAGAACGTGATGAACAAGACGGCGAATCAGATTGCCGAGACCGAGAAGAAAGCGCAAGAACGAATTGTTGATATAGGCAAACAAGTTGGTTCTTTCGTCCGTTCTAGAAAAAATGCTTAAAGTTTTACAGACAATGGAGGCCAAAAATCAATTGTACAAGGAGAAGGAAGGATACGGGGAGAAGAAGCGGTCGGAAGTGACGGAACATCATCAAAAGATGGAGAAGCTGGAAGGGAAGAAGTTTGAGATACTAACCGAAAAAGAAGAAAATCGACTGGAACACGAGAAAAAAATATATGCAATGCAGGAGACGTATGGCGCACGAACCCACTCTATCAAACTAGCTGGAGAGCAGGACAGAAAGGAAAGTCATTTTGCGGACGCTGTCCAACATTTGAGAATGACCGATCTGTCCAGCTCGGTTTCCAATTTTGGGGCGATACAAATGATGATCAACTGCAATCTTCCAGTTCCGGTGAAAGTCATCAACAGCTGCAAGGTAACTTTTCCTTCTTTTTCCCAGCTAACAGTCAACAAATTTTTGCAGAGCAGTTGTGATCAGGCGATAAGAACAATTGGCGTGTTGACAGACAATTGCAATGCAATCCTTAATGTTAAAGAGAGTAATAATCAGGACACTGTGAAATGCCAGAAAATTGCTCGCAATGTCTTACCACTAGCTGACGAAATCAAAGAGTCACTTGACAGTCTGTGCAGTTGTCTGGAGTGTCTGGAGTCTTTGTCGACGGATGAAGAGAGATCCCGAACGGCCATACTCGAACTGGTCAACAAAGTACAGGCCAAAAAAAAGGAAATCTTCGAGCAAGTGAACAGTCTGCCTTGTGTCAAGAGAAAAGACTACGTGACCACGGAGATCACGCAAAGTATCAAGTCGATCGCCGGAAGTAGCAGGCTGATTGAGGGACCGTCGACCGGAGGACCGCAGTCTATTTCAGGACAATGGCAATGAATTCTTCTCGTTTTTTTTTTGCAAATCGTGTTTTTATTGGTATAAACCTTTTGCTGTTGACTCTCTTTGCACTCAAATGATGAAACAAAGTAGTGGTTCTAATGAGGATAGCACCCGATGTCAGCGGTGAAATATGGATCTGTGGCATAGTAATAAGTAATCGGGAACAATGGTTCCATGTAGATGTGGGTGGCATTCACGTGCATACATTTGATCTTCGGGTGCTGATAGAATCCGCACAACTGCGGGCCCGGGCACTTTATCTCTCCGATCCTTCCAGAATAGTGATATCTGTAGTAGCGGTCGTTGTAGCACTTGGTGACCAAATCGGAGAAGTAATGAAGTCGCGGAAGGTCCGGAAATATCTCTCGTATCCTCGGCTTCCGCATCATTCTTCGCAGATCGGCTTCAATCTCCAGTATCGCTTTGCTGCCAATTATTTTCTCAGATGAATTGTTGTAATAAGAAGGCTCGACGAGCGTTCGGCCGCTCCGATCTCCTTGATCACTCTGAAATGTGCTGTGTAGCAAGAGATCTCTTCTCAACCCGTACCCAAATGATCGTTTTCAAATGAGTAATCACATTCTCCGTCACTTCATACTTTTCCATTCCGTTTGGTAAGAATGGCGGGAAATGGATCCACGTATAGTTCAAATTGGCAGGATCTACGACTATTTTTCCAGTTTCTCGCTGAAATTTGTGTGTGTCTACGAGTAATCAACTGGAAAATAAAATATTACCGCTTTTTTGTATTCCAGTGACGCAAACATCTTCTTGATGGAAAATTTAGAGCCATCTCTGACGGTAACCACATCAAAGTTCTCTTTGTGATAGAAAATGTAAGCCAGCCGCTTTTTGTCAGCCATAATCATCTGAAACTCTTCGACGAACGTGGGCGCGAGCTTTGGGATCAGAACGTCGTCCAAATCGAGAAAAGTCACGAATTGAGCGGATTCCTGAGAGATTTCCGGGTTTAGATGATACTCGAGCGATGCTAAATACTTTGTACTGCAAAAGACAATCAGACTGAGCAGCAGCTTGATTTCGGAATTCAATCTGTTGATAGGCATCCGCCGTGACACCGGGAACGTACGGGAACTTGACACTGACCCATGGCTGAATCGCCATGTAACCCTAAACCAACTATTGTGAAACCGAGTAAGTATGGTTTTTTGTAGACTAACTTCCTTCTCGTACTCTTTCATCAGTTCGAAGAAAGACGTGACGGCGCTGATGAGATAAAGATTCATGTAAGCGCCGAATCTGAAAATAAAAATGAAATGTCATTGCTTGGGCACGACTATTACTTTCTATAAATATGAACTGCAAACAAGAAGTTTTGCCATTGCTCGCTGACAAAAAGTGGAGATGTGCACACGACGACGTCGCGTTTTGTGTAGGACGCAATGGTGAACGGAATCTGAGCCATCAATTAATTATTGTTTTCCCTGCACCCGAAATGAGCTCTCACTTCCGCCATCCCGTTATCCGCCACCATACTGATGCTCTGCACATTCGGCAACAACTGGACTGTGGCGAAAATCGTGATTATTTGGCACACCTCGTGCGGAGTCACCCTTCAATTTTTGGACTCGTATATTGTATTCTTATTGACTTCAATTCTCACCGGACATACGGTGTGCTGACTACAACACTCGACGTCTTGTTCCTTGCCATTACTACGATTTCCGTCGGATCAGTTGATTTGCCGGCCTGCATGTCCATGTAATTCTCTTGGCTTTTCACCAGATTTATACTCATGACTAGAGCAAGCGCATTTTCACCCAGACTGTAAATGTTATTCTCGACAAAAAACGGTCAGATGAGAGAATTGATACCTTTTGGATTTGGGATAATAGTATGCGGAAGTGATGAAAGCTTTCAACTGCCGATCTTTGGGAGGATGCATTGTGAGGTGATCTCTGGAATTCAATCCGACATTGTTTATTCATTCGAGTTCCCACTCACATCGTTCCTCCAATCATTCCGAGAATGAATCCGATAATTGTGATAGTGAGCCATACGGAGAATAAGACGAGTAGCACTAGAACTGTGATCTTTTTGGGGCGACAAGTAATGCGCATGTCAGAATTGAAATTGTCCGCGAAAAGCGGAGAAGAAGTTACCATAGATGTCTGTGAAGATATTGTCGAAATGGAGAAATAAAGAGAAAGAAGTTTTGTAGATGGGATCTCGCGAATTCCCCGATCGAATCGAAAGTTAGCTAAGGAAACTTCGAGGGATTTCCGGTTCGAAAGTTCTTCAAAAGATGCTCCCCGGAGTACTCAATTAGCATCGTTCCGAGAGTCTCTTTCCAACACGGAACAAATCTATTATTAACATGTTCCTAATGTTGTTTTGTTATTGCATCTCGCAGACTAAGCCTGAATTCTGAAGGCCGTCCGCTCTCCTCTGCTCTTTTCCGAATGAGTCAGTCTTTCCGACCCACTCCTCATTCTGCTCCGTTTCTCTTTATTTCCTTTTCACACACGCAAACTGAGCATCCTTCTCATTTCCACACTTGTTTTGACCACCAAAGTCCTACTGAAACCTGCACGTCATGTTGCGAAGCCCTAAAAGTGTGAAAGTTCAGTATCAGTTTTCAATTGCATTGACTTCAAAAGTTCTTCGAGGACGTTTTAGAGTCTGAGCACCCTTTCTCTTCGTTTCATCTTTTAAAATCCAAACAAAGCCACTTTGATGTGTGAGAGTCATAATCCGAGAAGAGATGGGAAGGAGACAACAAAGTTTTATTTCACTATAATCCTTCTGACCACAAATTGGCATTAGCCATCCACCTCTGAACTACAACGCCCATGTTTTCGGCTCATTCCTTCTTCTCACATCCGTCCGTTCCTCCTCATTTTCCTACTCTTCTTCCTGTTTCTTTTCATTTCGTTTTTCCAGAATGAACAGGTACTTGTATTACGGAGGCGCAACTTCGATTCCAGCCTATAACTGCACGGATTTTAAACCGGTCTACCCGAATCCTAATATCAAAATGTTTTCCGGAACGCTTGATATTGTATACGGACTTGTTGTTATTGTGGGTTTCATTCCATGAAGCACAAAGGTTCCATAACTACTTTTCAGTTTCTGTACGTACCCACAATGATAGTCTTCTACAGACAATCCAGGCTCGCCTGCTTCAAGATCATGTTCCTTCTGGCAGTGGTTGACGTGGGAGCAATTCGTGAGTAACCTCTAAGAATCTTTGTGTACCTCTAGATCCTTCCTACAGTAATGAACTCCCTCGCCACCGGATTCCTTCTTATGCACGGCGCTTCGTTTTGCGACTACCCTGACTTCATCTACATTTGCGGAGCAGTCGGGCTCGGCTGCTGGTGCAGTGCCTGTCTTACCTGCCTGATCCTTGCGCTCAACCGCATTCTCGACATGGTCTGTCCTCTCATGGTCAAGATTTACTTCCGCGGCTACCGTACTTGTGTCGTCCTGCTCGCTCCGATCCTCTACGGCCTCTTCTTCACTTTCCTCACTCCTCCAGTCATCTTCTCCGCCGAGTATCAAACCTGGTTCTTTGATCCTCAAACTTTGAAAGACAAACAGCGAGAGTACACGAACATTCCGCACACTATCAACAACTTCTCGCTGGTCTTTCTGACCTGTTTCCTCTATGTCTTCTTCTGTTTCAAGGTTCGGAGACAGTTTCAGAAGAGTTTCCGGCCGAAGCGAACTGCGAGACAACGTCAGGTAGGATCCGAATACGCACGAGTTCGAATTCGAGGCTAATCTTTGCAGATCTTCCTCCAATCCACCCTACTTTGTCTCATCCATCTATTCGCCTCCATCATCTACGTCATCATGCAGTTCATCGTCGTCCCGAAGTGGCTGACGATCCTCTCGCAATACCTCTGGCAGTTGGCTCAGGGTATGTTCGATCATTCATTGAACTCGCGTCTCAAAAGATCACTTCGAAAGGTTGCCCAGTCATAATCTACCTGCTGTTCAACCGCAAAGTACGTGCGGCTCTGCTCGTCTTCATGACATCTTCTTCACAGGTATTGCTCGTGATTTTTGTTCCCGTAATCCTTTTTATTTTCTCAGGATAAGTCGTCCAACTACATCCGGAAAAGTGGAGAGACGAAAACGTTGATGCAGATGAATCAGCTTGCTCAATTGCAGCAGAATCAGAAGGCGACGAGCGCTTCGACGACGCTATAAAAAGGAAAGGAAATGAGACGGAGGCGGCCGCACAGGAAGAGAACCACATTTTCAGTGGCACACAATATAATGAGATTGAATAACAAGAATGTATATGTATATAAATTTGTTCGGTTGGAACGATTTGAGTCTCATGAGACACTTTCTGACTAGCTGATTATCAATCAGAACGGAGAGGAATCGTGTCTCATTTCATTCATTTCACGCCATGATTCTCATGCATTACTTCAACCGCTCCTATTTCGAAGAGAACACCAGTCAATGGCCGCTCATTTGTTTCATATTGCGAATCGAAATAGTTGCCATCGTTTTAAGTACGTTTTGGTACGTACATAAACATCGACAGAAAAAGATTTCAGCATTTTGCACGCGTTGTTTTTCCTTTGGATTAATGTGAAATCGAAAGAGTTCCATAAAAACTGGACCATTATCATGAGTATCCTCTATATTCAACATATGATAGCGGATGTGGCGTGGATAGGGCAAAGAGTTCTACTCACTTTGCCAGATTATCAAGGTATCACCCATATCCATTCTCTCAGAGTTTCATTCCGTTAAGATCCGTTCGACTCTCGCCTATTCATCGTTTTCTCCTACATCCGAGTGTGTTGTGTCTTCCAAGGTCTCCTTATTCTACCAATCTTGGTGCTCGAGCGATACTTCGCCACCATATGGTTTTCCGACTACGAATCGACGTCGCGCACATATATATCCGTCCTACTTGTGGGACTTCTCACTGTCGTCGGAAACGCTGCCGCCTACACATTCCACGAATGTGAGCAAAATGAAAACGAGGGACTAGAATCAGATGTTTAAATGATTTCGTTTCCAGATGAGTCGACCTTCATTAGCATTTCGCTCGTGATCGTCTTCAACTCGCTGGGCATTCTGGTCGCATCACCAGCACTGTCCTTTGTGTTTTTATCATCTGTCTAGTTTTCAGGGAAACGTACATCTATTGCGAGTCAACAAGAAGTACTGCAGAGAGCGAGCCTCTGGAAAATTCACGCTATGTGCCCGATTTCAAATTGCGGAAAACATAAAGGTGTGCCAGTTGGTCAACTGCATCGTTCTTTCGATGGCCGGCTTCAACGGGCTCATCTGCTTCACACTGCTTCTCGATAACTTTGATCTCTCTGTTCCGTCGAGAAGCCTTTCGTTGTTCGCTTTCGACATCTCCGCACTGATGTCAGTTGACACTAATCACAACTTTGAGTAGGGAAGATGAAATTATGTTTCAGATACAGCACGGTGTTTCCGTACGTTTGCATGCATTACTGCAAAAGAAGCAAAGCTACGTTTAACAGAGTGATAAAGAAAGTGCGTTGCGGCCGAGTTGCAACCTTTTGAACATGCTTCGTTTCAGTTCTTCAAAAGAAAACGTTCGATCCAACCGTACACCACCCCAGAATCCGGAGGAAAGAGACTAAGCATTACTTTGCGAAACACATTCGGCGAGATTATGACCGAAATCTCGACAGATGTCTACTTCCGACAGCTTCAACAGAGCTGGAATAAATAACGATAATATCAAAGTTCTAAAGATAAAAGCAAAGATCCGGATCATATTGAAACTAGCTTAATGTATTTGAGCTTAGGGCAAGTGCCTCTCACGTGCTGCTATAAAAGGAAAAGGTCTAATTATTTCCAGCCTAGATCATGGAGGTACCCAACCAGATACTCATTGCTCTGGAGATTGCCGTATTCGTTGTGTTGGGACTGTTTGGAAACTTCAACTTTCTATGTCTGACCTATACAAATCCACAACTCCGTTCCAAATCTTGTGAGTCACACTTCATACTTCATTAATTCTGAAATTGCACATTTCGCAGCATATCTCCAATGCGCACTCAGTGTCTCCCACATCTTCTGTCTTCTGTTCGAACTTCCGAACGCCGGACTGCTCTTCACTGGAATCCAACTGAAACGGAGTGTTTGTTTCCCGGCCATCGCCATCTACATCTTCTTCATCTGCGCCCAGGCAGTCATCATGCTTCTTTTGGTTGTGGACATTTTCCTCATAGTATTTTTTCCTGCTTTGTAAGCCTGAAACACAGGGTTCTATAAATCTATGCATTTCAGTTACCGTCGCGTGGACAATTTCTCCTACACATTAGGAATGCTTCTTCTGCCGTTTGCGTATTCAGCTTTCACAGTCATTTGGGGATTCATGAACATGAACGATGAGCTGGTCTCGTATTGCAATCCACCCGTGGGCCTTCATCCCACAGTCAGCAGGTGGTGGTCTCTTTCGAACGTCGTTCTTAACACCACTACTTTCATACTCTTCGTGGTTCTTATCACGATTTTTCATTACAGAGGTACGGTTTTGACTAAAGATTCATCGGATTATCGTTATTGTTGCAGGCAAAAAGCAGAGAAGTGATACTCGACAAGTGATGAAACGGCTGCAAGTGTCCGTGGTCGTCTTCATTCTCTCCTGGTACATTGCCATTCTGGGCGTCGACCTGTTCACAACTCTTGGCTACCAAGGACAGCAACTCGCCACTTTTCAAAGCAACATGATTTTCTTTGCATTGCTCTGTTATACACAGTCGTTTTATGTGATTCTATGGAGAGCCGCCGAGTACCGGTTGGCTTTTTTTAAATTTTGGAGTCGCTTCGGTTGTTTCAAAAACTCGGCAACCAGGAAGTGGATGGACAAATCTGGAAGGATCACAACTGTAGTTTCCACTGTCGATTCGTCCAAACATTGAATGTTTATTAATAAACGTAAAGATTCTTCCTGTTGGCAATCTAGATTTCCTAGTAATCCAGGTGCGTCTGTCAGTTGGTCGGATTAGTTTCAAAACTGTTTTCTGGACTAAGGTACTCAATTGTTCTTTAGGAACCCAAATCACGCGTGAAAGTTAAGCCTTTCTCCCTAACCGCTCTCTCATTTCATCAGTGATGTCTTGCAGTTTCTTAACTATTAATCACGGATTACCAGGCTGTGAGTCCCGTGGTTTTGTCTTTAATAAATTGTTAATCTTCCAGGTTATTGTTCGCGTTAGGCATTGAACCGAGCACGATAAAAGCGTGGCGGGCCAAGGATAATGCTGACGTTAGCGCTCGTTAACCGTCGATTCAGCACGTAAGGTGAGTCAAAATATTCAGGAATAGGTCAAACAATCATTGTGTCTGATATTTTGCTCTAATGATGTTGATGTTATTTGTAGAAATTGTATAGCTAGACACGTAGCCCTACGGAGAGTTTGAGTAAACATTTTGTTCCGCAATCCGCATTGCTTCAAGAAAGATGAGCTCGCTGGTGGAGCTCGGTAATCAAATCTTCATCGCTTCTGAAATTGTGCTATTCAACGTGCTCGGACTGTTTGGAAACTTCAACGTTCTCTGTCTTATCTACGCAAAGACACAGTTGCGATCAAAGTCGTGTGAGTCCCCGACCCTCCCATTGGAAGGATTATACCGTTATGTTTGAAGCTTACATCCAATGCGCTCTCAGCATCTCCCACATCTTCTGTCTTCTGTTCGAACTGCCGAATGCCGTGCTGCTCTTCACTGGAATCCAACTGAAACGAAACGTGTGCTTCCCGGCTATTTCCATCTACATCTTCTTCATCTGCGCCCAGGCAGTCATCATGCTCATGCTCGTCGTCGACCTCTTCATCATTGTTTTCTTTTCCGCATAGTCAGCCTGAGCATCCGCCTCTAAATATCTCACAATCCTTTGATTTTCAGCTACCGTCGCATAGACAACCTCTCCTACACGCTCATGATGCTCTCGCCGCCTTTCGTCTATTCGGCATTCACCGTCGCATGGGGATTTGTGAAGATGGACGACGAGTTAGTCATCTTCTGTAATCCGCCGATCGGACTGCATCCGATCGTCAGTAGGTGGTGGTCCTTCTCGAATGTCACTCTCAACTCGGTCACTCTCTTCCTCTTTCTCTTCCTTATGGTCATCTTTCATTTTAGAGGTACATTTGAAACAGTGTAACCCGAAACATTTCACGTTTTCAGGTAAAAAGCAGAAGAGTGACACCCGCAAACTGATGAACCGTCTCAAAGTGTCCGTGGTTGTGTTCATTTTCTCCTGGTACATGTGTACCCTCGGCGTCGACATGTTCGCAGCTCTAGGGTTCACCGGCTCTGCTCTCGCCTTCTTCCAGAGCAACATGGTCTTCTTCGCGCTCCTCTGCTACACACAACCCTTCTATGTTATTCTATGGCGCTCATCCGAATATAGATTGGCTTTTGTGGAGTTTTGGAGTATCTTGCGTTGTTTCAAGAGCTCTAAGACTAAGAAATGGCTCGAGAGAACTGCAAAAATGACTACGATAGTCTCCACAGTAGAAAATTCCACGAAGCAATGATAGAAATGTGTCCAATCGCTCTTTGATCATCAAATAAATTGTTTGAAGTACAAAAACTTTCCAGTAATTATTCAAGTCCGCGCAGAGTGCAAACTGTTCGCCTCTCGGGTGGTACACGAAGTGACACCATCAACTATAAGTTTGCAAGAGAACCTTCTAAGCGTGTCGGCCAACATTGCAGCTGCGCCGGTGTTTCATTTCTGAGCAGATCGAAAAACTAAAAACTCAAAAGACCGTAATCCAACAGAACTGAAATGACCTGGCAATTGTCGAATTCCGAGTATCAAACGGGCCTGACGCCATTCTATGGAATGGGTGCAGATCTATGTTGTCCGCGACCAGGAACGTACTTGTTTTCCTGGTCTCTCGTACTCGTAATCTGAAGTCTAGGATTCATCGGATTACCGCTCCCTATTCGGTCGCTAAACAACTTTTTCAACCTTTAATAAACACACTGAAATCTTTTGAAACTATATTTGATTTCTATTTCGGATTCGCAACCAAAAGCTAAAGTTCAACCTCCTCGATCGTCTCCTCACTTCACTCAATTCTACCATTTGTGCCCCCCCCCCCAATCATTTCGCGATCATTCAATGTGTGGGCATCAGTGCTTGCGGTTCAAATTAATCGCATTTTCAAACAGATTGGCTGCGCGTTCCGGGGTCTAGGTGAAAAAAGTAAACTCATCAGGTGCCCGCCACACAAACCATATTTTTTAATGATGAGTGCACTACAGTACCTCTCCTTCGTCTATATAAATCGTTTTTTGTGTACAAGCAACGATTGTTGACAAGACAAGAGATGGCAACATCCTCCTACTGCTGCTGTCCTCTCCGCTTATAAATACCGCTTATCATCGGTTTCTGTTTCAGGTATGCCTACAACTTTCATTGTTGTTCTCGTCAGTCTGCTCCTGATTGGCAACAATGAAGCACAACTCGGCCAGCTCTTCCAGCCATTTGTAGTTGGTCCTGAGAATCCGAACAACCGGAGCCATCTCGTGCTCACCCAAGAGTTGTGTGCTCAAGATGAATGCATTCTACAGAAAGGATGGACTCAAGAAGACGTCTGTGCTTATATTAAGTGCAACAATGAGGCATGCGAAGGCGGCGGATATCTTCAATGGTCCGCGTATGTGAAGTGCGAGCACAGAACCACCGTTCGGGTGAGTTTCGACCGCTTATCAGCCCCTAATCAGCAAAAAAACTTCAGGTTATTTTGATCATTGTCAGCATAGTCTATCTATTTTTCCTTTTTGTTGTGATGACTGTCGTCGCTGACGACTTCTTCTCTCCCTCCATTGCCGGCATTGTCAGACATCTGAAGATCAGTGAATCTATTGCTGTTAGTTGTCACATTATGATCCGTTCAAAGTTAAACTTCAGGGTGTCACATTTCTAGCGTTCGGAAATGGGGCTCCGGATGTGTTCGGAAGTATCGCTTCAGTTATCACTAGTCCCAAACCTAAGGCAGATTTGGCGATTGGAGATATTCTTGGTTAGTACAGTAACCATCAAGTTCATCGTTGAAATCAGTGTGCTTCAGGAGGCGGAATCTTTGTGACTACCGTAGTCCTCTCAGCAATCATCATTACCAAATCCTTCAGAATTGCAGTGAGTGCGCCTTCAGACTTTGAAATTGATCCGCATTCCAATTAGATTCTTGCCACCGTCCGTGATATAGTCTTCTTTATAATCGCTGACATTTGCATTGCCGTCTGGTTTCTCAACTTTGACCACGTCGAAATTTGGATGCCTCTCAGTTGGTTACCCTTTCCCATCACCTCCCAATTCCATTCATTTCAGCATTTCTCGGCCTCTATGCCGCTTACGTTGTCTCGGTGATTCTGATGAGATGGAATTCGAAAAAAAGAAAAAGAGTGAGACAGTTGAAAGCGGAAAGTACGTAGGCTCAAACAAGGACATTCATGGGCTATGCTGGGTTTTCAGAAGCCAGAAAGGAGAGTACTGTAAACCATCACACTCATAAGATCTCCACAGTAATCAGTGTTCTGATGGACTACGCGCATGTTCTCAACTTTCTCGCCAATAATAAAAGTGAATAGTTTGCATCCCAATTTCTTTCGATTGATCTCTGTTTTCAGTTACTGCGGCTACTGCAAACGTGAAATCGTTCCTGGATGGAAGAGACTTTGAGAACAAGGACCTGGAAGGCCTTGTAGATGACCAATGGGACGGAGACGACGAAGGAATCGAGGCAGAATTCCACATTGCCCACCGTCACGTCTACAAATCGTACGATGAGGCGAGTCTCGCATTCACAGAAGTCGAGGAGATCCAGCCGAAAAGCTGGAAGTCCTGGGATTGGGTCCGAGATCTCGCCAACCATTTGAGACCGTGGCCGACGAGGGACCAGTTCTGCGAGCACAGTCTCTTCTCGAAGATCATCTCCATTGTGGCCGTGCTCCCGACGTTCTTCCTCAAGCTGACTGTCCCATCGAATGAGATGCCTTGGTCCAAACCGTTGCTCATCGTTCACTGCTTCTGCTCCATTCAATTCGCTCTTTTCGCCATTCAAATCTCGGATAACTCACCGTTTCACGGCAGTCCAGGACTATGGCTGTACGGGTTGTTCGTCTCCACGTGTCTCAGTCTTCTCGCCCTAATGTTCACTCCTCTAGACAGAGAGCAAAAGCACTATCGGGTACGATTTCAGTACAATGCCTAGATAGATATATAGATTTTCAGGAGGTCTATTCATACTTTGGCTTCTTGATGTCAATCGCATGGATCTATGTAACATCCTCCGAAATCATCAATGTTATCACTATGATTGGTGTGCTAACGGGCATTTCACAGGAGATCCTGGGACTGACCATCATGGCGTGGAGCAATTGTATCGGAGACGTCGTTTCCGACATTGCCGTGGTCAAACAGGGATTTCCAAAGATGGCGATGGCCGCAGCGATCGGAGGACCTCTTTTCAGTGAGCAAATAGTTTCATTTGATATCAAGAATGTCTCATTTTCAGATCTCCTGGTTGGATTCGGTCTCCCTTTCACAATCGCGTGCCTCCAGGGAAAGCAAATCGACCTGCAAATCAATCCAATCTACCGGCTGCTCATTCTCTTCCTCGGAATCTCACTCATAACTTCTCTTATCGGTTAGTTGATTTTAGATCTCGAACACAAAGTAATAGTTTCTCATTTCAGCAATATTCGTGCAGAAGTTCACGGTTCGCTGGCCTCAAGCCCTGGTTCTTCTC